CAAAAAGGTGTTCCTGGCTGGAAGTGCTAGGTGGACTACAGTGCAGCACGATTAAAATAAACCAGGCAACAGGCCAACTCACGCATTTCCGCCAAAAGCCCGGGCAAACTCCCAATAGACTGGTTATCCAGCTGTAGTACTAAAATAAATCACATTCGCGATGTCATGACTTTGCGATGGAGCGGTCAACGCGAATACCGCGAAAATAAAACCACCACGAACATTACAAGATTTACAGTACCATATGTGTACACAGTATGGCGAGATCAAACAAAGATATGAAATACCGATCCTGTATGCTTACCTGTTGGAGTTGTGACGGCCAACAATGATGCCATTGTCACCAAGGAGAGTACTGAGACAAGCGGTCGCCTGAAATACAGGGAAAACTTAGAGTTAGGGACGTCGAGCTTGTGCCGTATTCTGACTATAAACCTGTGATAACAAAGGGTCATCATATGGTAAAACTTTGATCATATGGCAAAAGTATACCCGCAATTTGATTATCGTTTGAACTTATAATTTTGAAAGTATTTGCGAATTGGCTTGCCCTAAAATTTTCAGGCTTCAGTATTTTTTACTTCGAAACTCGCACATTCGTTGGCCTAGATATTTCTAAATCTGTAAGCAGATCTTTTGGCCACAGTGGCTGCAAGACATACGTACAGAGTCAAATTGGCAACATAGTACCCAATGGGAAGGCATGCACACTATCCATTTGGCTGGCGTAAATAAGATACAGTACAGAAACGCTTAAAACCACTTGAAATAAGCCAAGCCTAAACCTCTGCATGGAGAGTAATAATTTCCTGTTGAGAGACGCCAGCTTTAAGCTTTACAATGAAACTTCAATTCAAGACACAAACTTTGTACGACCCTAACGGAAGCAACACACAACATTATCCGCCCCAGCACACAGGCAAACCCAAGTCACCTGTTAGTCCGACTTTGCCACAACTGTTAAAGTTTACCTACGGAATCATACGTTCCCTATACCTGTACGTCCCCCACGCATTATGTATATGTAACAAAACACAAATTAAACGTGACAACTCACCAAGTTCTCGGCATCTTTGTAGTAGTTTCCTGCGATTTGTGACAGAGTAAGTTTTAGGTAAACTAACCGCAGAGACGGCCGGACTGTTCGTGAGCGAACGCGGAAATGGAGTCCTGCTTTTGTGGGCGCACGCAGGTGGTAAAAAAAGTCCCACGCGAAACCCGATATAGCCGATAAGGCGGCGTGGCGGACTGTTCGATTTGTTTTTAGAGAGAATTTCTTTCTAAATGAAACCCGATGCGCATGCTTTTATGCAATAAATGGCGTTAGCAAGAACAGAAAGAACACACAAAAGTGTGTGTTGACCCTCTTTATCTGTCAAGTAAGTTTTAAAGTCCAAATAAGACGTATTTACGCTACTAGAAAAAAAACGCAGGTCTGTACACCCCTCTTATTAGCTTGGCACAGTCTCAGGTGATTCCCCCCTACCTTCCCTGTATTGTTTGCCTTCGTGACGTTGGGCTAAAAGTGTTAGCAGGTGGCACAAAGACGTCACGAAAGTAAACACTCCGCCGCTCAAAAACAAAGACAGGGAAGTTTTTCGCACCGTTAATTTTGCCCGCACGGTGTCATGTGTTGTTTTTAGGACGTCAGGGGGACTTTTTTTGTTAAACATGGAGGTTCAAGTTGGACTTTCTGGAATTTTCTTTGTTTCTTTGTTCCTCTTCGATTACTGTACGTGTGGGGGCATTCTGGATTTTTTGCTGCGTTATGTGATATTTCTTTCACATATTTTTGTGTGTCAAGGCCATTGAACAGTGCTCTAGACACATTGATGAACGATGTTGTGACAAATAGAAGACGATACAAACTGGTACTACTAGTCTATAGGCAAGTATTTGTTCTGCTGTTGATGACCGCAACTAGGCACTTGAGTACAAATTTAAGGTTTCCGCCTTTTCAATCATTTCCAACAGGTGTCCAATGAACACAACACAGGATGCATCTGAAAATGTTGGCGGATATATTTCATTCTGTACGTAAACCGTTTGCAAACCCCTTTTTACTGGCTAACAGGAAGAGAAGAAACTACAAGCACAAGTGTAAGAAGCCCGGACCCACGTTTGCATTACAAGCTATACACCCTCCCCTTCCCCAAAAAAACACCCCCCCCCACCCACACACACACTAAATCCTTCCTTGCTTGTCCAAAATCGGAATGGAATGACAATGACCACGAGCGTTGATCTTGCCCTCTTGTAGTACACCAAAAACTCCCCAAGCTATTCACCGGGGGCGACGTAACGTAAACTTTGTTGTTAACAAATTACACCCACCTACGTCACTTGGGGCAAAGGTGATTTCCTCATATGGTGCAGTACCAGGATTGTCCGCATGGGTGCTTTCATGCCATACGATAAAGAACATGCTGTCAAAAGGGGTGTGGCTTTAGAAGAAAATGGTTTGCCAAGGGAGGGCTAAAAAATTGGACTTCTTAAATATCATTTGTTTTGCCCACCCACCTCCATGTCAAACACTTCAGTCTTGAGTTATCCATTTTAGGCCACAGCAAGTAAATCTTATGGATGACATCCTCTGCAGACTCCAAATCTACATTTGTAATGCGAGAGGGAAAAGAACAAGGCAAGCCAAAAAAACAAGATTCCTACATTTTCAAATTTCAACATCATAAACAATGTCAGCCATTAAAATTACTTGCTGTGGCCTTACTATGAAATAAACATGCATTTAAAATTATCAGTATAAAAAAACTAGCAGAGATGGTACAATATAAGTATAGCACAGTATAGTAACAAGACAAGCCAGACTGTTTTATAGAAATGCTGTAGCACAGCAGTGTGGTTTATCATGTATTTTCTCCTGATATCAGTACAGTACAGTTGTAGTGGAAGACTTAAAGCTGTAACATGGGTCAGTTTATAATACTTACTACTGGGGATATCACATCTACAATGTACCTATTGTATCCAGAACCATGCATGTCTAGGTCTATGCCTGAATGGGTTAGGGTTAGGATCAGAAATTGTTCTGGATGGTCTGTGCATATCCAAGAACATAGGATTTGCCTCGGACATGGTTCTGGATACATGTGGACTATCCAGAACACTTCTGGGCATATCGCATCTACATTGTTGTACATGTACCTATTATATCGAGAACCATGCATGTCTAGGTCTACGCCTGAATGGGTTAGGGTTAGGATCAGAAACTGTTCAGGATAGTCTACGCATATCCAAGAACATAGATTTGCCTTGGGCATGGTTTTGGATACATGTGGACTATCCAGAACACTTCTGGGCATATCGCATCTACATTGTTGTACATGTACCTATTATATCGAGAACCATGCATGTCTAGGTCTACGCCTGAATGGGTTAGGGTTAGGATCAGGAACTGTTCTGGATAGTCTATGCATATCCAAGAACATAGATTTGCCTCGGACATGGTTATGGATACATGTGGACTATCCAGAACTGGATGCCTGAGCATGGCTCTGGATAAAGCATGGTTCTGGATAAATGTGGACTATCCAGAACTGCATGCCTGAGCATGGTTCTGGATAAAGCACAGTTCTGGATACAATGGTAAACTCACCACTATACAACATATTGGTGCTTCAGAAAGTTTAAAAAACAAGGCTCTGAAGGTTTGAGACATTTTTTAAGAAAGTAGACAAGTGAAAAACCTAAGATTATATCCAAAACATTTGTAAGTATGACAGGGAAACATGTTCAAAGTTACTAAACCTACATGCTGACTTGCTGAGGATTGTGCAATTCATAAGTTAGTTATAAAATGTATCTGTGACACTAACAGTTTCAATTTGAGCCTCCAGTGGTGGTAATGTTATAAAGAATAATACTATCAATAAATTACAGAAGTCATGGCAGTACATGTATGTACAAACAATTACTACAACATCCATGTCAAAGCATGTCAAGAAGTTTGTACCAAAATAAAGTAGAAAAAAAGTTAACAAAACAAGATTTTGTTTCACAATGTTGCAGAGCACTCAAGTGTAACTGCTTTTGTTTTTCTCTTTGCTACATTGATTTTTTAGGGACACATTCAATTTCAAAACTACTGTTAACATATATATATATGTATATGTCAGGTTAGAGACTTCAATCAGGATGCTGTTAATGTATTTGTGTGGTTTCCCAGTTACAAATCCTAAATTTCAAGTCAATCCAAGTGACTTGAATCTGTATCTGTATCAGTATAGCCATTATAAGAGCCCTTCGGCGTAACACACCAGCTTCGCAGGCACTCAGCGCAGCGGCAGCTAGCTATATCACTCCGAACGACAACAAATTTGAAACAAATTTAAAGCACTATCTTTTGAGTGAATATTTTAAAGTTTACAGACTCCAATTGTTGATTCTACCTGATTGAAGTCTCTACCTTGACATATACATGTACATATACCTCATATCACAATGAATAGTTTGATCAGGATGGTATGTAATGTTAGTCATTTGAAGATACAGTTCTTTCAACACAACCTGAAGTTATCTACCTGCCAATATTTGGCAACTTGCTAGCAGCATTAACTTTTGGTTGTGTTAAAATAACTTTACCTCCACTTCATACCACCATTTCATGCAAGAATGTATTATCATAATGGTAGTCAATGCAGCAACCAGTTGCACATTAAGACTCATACACTAATTATCAATATTTTGTATCAGTATTTAATAAAAAAAAACTGTTCACACTGTTTGCTTCTTATCACCTATGGCATTATGTAGATTTTTAGAACATTTGGAAGTAAGAATTGTAATCAAGAGAACCTGAATTGAGGAGCAATATAATAATAAATAGAGATTTAAAAGGAACCATAAAAAGTGTACATTACAATGTCATTATTAAACTTACCAAAAACATAACATGGAAAAAAATTACAACTGCACTGAACATGCCTGTACAGTAAATATAACATTACTCAACTTTGGTTGAAATTCAAATATCTCTTCTTTGTATGATACAAATATTATAAAAAAAGCCCTGTAATATAGTTATTAGTGAACATTTCACTCAGAATGCGCAGAATTTACACAAAAGTTCCCTTGGAAATGGCAGTAATAGTAATAGCAATGTACAGACAAACACACAACATACTACAAGTACACCAATTATTATACTCTACACTAAGCATGGTAGTATATATATATCTCAAGTGGTAGTTTCAATCACTACAGTGCACATGTGTAAGTTGTAACACTGCTTGTTAAGGCTTCACAAACATGATTTTAAGGCTGACATTCCTGTGAAACTACATGTTGGCTTTTCCACACCAAAACTTTACAGATATTGCCCCTTTTTCCACAATACTCCTTATATCAAAGCCAATACATAATTCTTTTAACTCTTACACAATGAGAATATGCCTTAGTTATAACAAGACAGTTGAGAATTCACACGTCATGAAACATCATATTACCAGCAAGCTACATCTAGCTTTGAGTTTGTGTAGAGGATGTCATCCATAAAATCATGTTTGTGTGCCTTACAGGTAGGTACAGGACTAATGTTGGTTTTTCACTGCTGAGAGAATTGTAGTTTATGGTAATGTGACTCATATCCTGGCCTTTTCTTGTCAATTGTGTCTTCTGTACAGGTGTTTCTGTTTAAAATTATGTTTCCAACCACTTTAACAACCCTTGAACATTGAAACTTTCTGGCATCTTTCCTTTCTTGCTTATTTTTCTTAAGTTAAAAGTTCATTCCCTTTGTTTCCATCTTTAATACAATATTTGACCATGTTGATAGACCTATCCAAACTTTAGCTTAGCCACACGTACATCATGATCAGTGGGCTGTAGTGCATGTAGAGAAAAAAGGTTTTTGAGCCCTGGGTTATCATGCAGAGATGCTATCATACACACACAAGACTACACATTCGCATCACAGCAGCATACAAGACTGGCATCACTGGCCAACATCCGCAATTGCTTATAGAAACATGCATTCTGTCATATATGGCACCAGTACAAGCATGATGATGATGACAAGCATGATAATATATTGTATATATGTGTAGATATTTGTTTCCAGTTTCACAGTCACAAGAAGAAGTCACTAGTATGGCATATGCTGAGAGCATCACTTTTGCATGGATCGCAAAAGGCTGTCTGGATCAGTTTTTTTTAGGAACTTACAGGCCTAGGTGAAAACTTAGGGGGTTTCGTAACATAGGTTAAAAGTACCATTTCAGCATCTTAGCTAGTGGTTCAAAATTTTCTGTAAATCAGTATGATTATCTGAGCATGGACAAGAGTACTTCAGTAATCCATAGTTGATGCTACATGTACATTCAATATGTTCTGCACCATTAATTTTAGTCTTAGGTAGACCCTCCTTAATGTTGAAATTTGATACTCAACCTATTAATCTAATAATCACTCAGAAAGAAACTTGCATGAGGAAGAGCAATTATTATTATAAAATTTTCTCAAGCAGCAAGCTGTTCTTCTCCTTTTTTTCACAAATTAAGAAAAAAAACACAACATTCTCCCTGATAAATGATATAAACTCTATTAATAACACAGGTGGAACTGACCCTTGCACTCTGACCCACAGGAAGTAGGGTCAGGGCAAAGGTCATGAGGGTCCTTTGGTGCAGGGTTCTATTCCCACGGCAGCGCCTGACCCGCTCCGCCCACTGCTCATGCTGGCACAGATGGTCCACTCGTTGGTCTGAGGGTCGTAGACCTCTACGGACTCCAGGAAGTCTGTACCGTCATAACCACCTGTGAACAAAAACACACAAAATGTTATTTACATACCGTATACAGTCATACGTATATCTGATTCAGGTACATTATGTATTTTTGTGTACAATGTACATGAAGAATAAAGCTAAAGATATACATGCTCATGTAAGTTACTTTCAAATTGTATAATTGCAACTACAATGTACCAGCATTTCTTTCTGTGATCTGTGATCTTATTCAGTGCAACTAAATTTCTCCCACAATCTTCCTTTGTACAGTGCCTTTTTATAACATCTGTTTTTCAAAGTTACAAATGAACTTTCCAAGACAGATTGGTTGAAAGGTACCAAATCACCAAGTCACCTTTATAACAAAGAAGTAAAAATACTACCAGCAAAAGATAAGATAAACAAACACAAACCCAGTGCGTAAATCTTGCCGCCAAACGATGTGACAGACAGGGCACTTCTCTGTTTCTTCATGGAGGCCACAAACTCCCAGGTGTTGGCGTTGATGTCGTACTTCTCTACTGAGTTCAACTGACTCATGCCGTCATAACCTCCGATCGCATAGATGTGATGGTCCTGGGCTACCACTCCTGGGGTGGAAGGAACAAGAAATGCTTTTTTAAAAAAGATGGGTAGGAGCACACACATTTTTACCAGTACATGACTGTTTTTTAGCTGACTCATGCCGTCATATATAGCCACCGATCGCATAGATGTGATGGTCCTGGGCTACCACACCTGGGGTGGAAGGAACAAGAAAATACTTTTAAGCTGGCTAGGTAAAATTACAATGCAATGGTAGCTGAGGTGTTTGCTTTTTACATGTACATGAATGTTTTCAGCTGGCTTGTGTCAACATAACCACCAATGGCATAGATATGATGGTCCTGGACCTGGACTATCACACCAGGGGTGAAACAACAAATGCTTTCAAGAAAAGCTCTCAACATGGTAAGATGAGACTCTGAGAGTGCAATACCATGGTAGCTGAGGTGTATTGGACAACAGGACAATGTACCTGTATGTCAGAATTACATGTAACTTTCAGAGTTTTACTGACATTACATGTGAAACATACAGTTTAAGTTCTTGAGACAACAGTATACTTCATATGGATAGGGAATCAAGTTGAAACACCGACTTAGATTTAGCTCAAGAAAGTTTGTGGCATTGTGCAGCTATATTTTCTACCAGCCTGCAATCTTGTAGGTATAATGAAAGAAGCATTTCTACCACAAAAATTATAGGAAAAGATACAGCAAACTGGCCTCTTTACCTGCTCCACTTCTGGGCACGTTCATGGAGGTGACAAACTGCCACTCGTTGTTCTCAGGATGGTAACACTCCATCGACCTCAGACGGGTTGTACCATCAAAACCTCCAACAGCGTACAGTAGTCTGTTCAGCACAGCTACACCCACACCGATCCTACGTGTCTTCATGGGAGCCACAGTTGTCCACTTGTCCTGGTTTGCATCATACCTGAAACAGTGGGAAAGAGCATTACATGTTAGACTATTGCAATTTGAACTTGTTCATTCACTCATTCATAGGTTGTAGAATATACATGTAGACTGTCTGGCAATGTCTGTAGTGGAACAGAATATTATTTTTAACTGATGAAAATCCAATCATGCCACCAACAGTTTTAGATTTCTAAATTTCAAAGTAAGGTTTTAGGTTCTAAATTTCAAAATAAGCTAACTCTTCTTTTTAATACTAACCTGTCTGGAATTTCATAGTTAGCTGTCATGGCTGGGAATACATTGTGTACTTTACAATGTCTTATTTTCCACCTGTTCATGCGGAATTTCAGTCACCACGGCTTTGTATCATTGAATACAGTAGAACTAGAACCACACAAAGACTAGATTTAGGTCAACCTCATTAATCATTTGCCAGTTTGACACATGCAGTGTCCCTTATCCGTGTCAAAGTCCTGTAGAACTATGTTTACCTTGGGCTGACAATGTGTGAAAGTGCTTAGTCACCATGCGTATGACAGGTTGTACACATAGGCCGTAACACCCCTACATGTGTAATGGTATGTCTCAGTTACAGGTGCATTTTGTTCCCTTTGGAACAGACCACAAAGGATTACAGGGGGTAAACATGTTGATTTTGTTTTTGGGAGGTGACAGATGTTTTTTTCTGCTAGTGTTCCTAATTTTTTTCTCAAGAAAGTTGGCAAAATGAAACTTTCGGTTCCCTTGTGCAGTGTTTCTTCCATTTGGTCCACAGTACACAGAACAACTTTTGTTAATTTGCAAACTGAAAAATCTGATTATTAATAGTACTATGTGTACATTGAAATGGAACATAGACTGAAGCTACTTGGTTAAAGTTGAATGACCTTAAAGACATTAACTTTGTCCGTTACACCTACTCAGTTATGTGTGCTTAAGGTGTGGCACATTGTCACGTACATGCATCCATGCTTCAATTGCACCACAAATGTGTGGTATTTAACGTCTACATATAGTTTCATGTTTAGCATGCTGTAACAAAGGTAGTACCAGTTTTTGTAGCATGCAATCGATTCTTAAGTTTGCCATGGTATCTTCTTCCTGTTACTAAGTATTAGTGCATGTATGTGACTATGTATACAATGTCATGAATATATGTACATAAATGTGTAATTTTCTGTTTATGAGGAATACAGGAAGACTAGGGGTGTACTATTAGAATCGTGTACTATAAGATACCATGTACATAGGTGTGGTGTAAGACATGCTTGCTGCTTGTAACACAAAATCAACTTCAAGGGTTTGAATCCCCATAACTACCCCCCTGTCAGAGCTCTGAAACCCAAACATGCACACAGTTGTGTGCATGTACATTTGTACTTGTGCTTGACTACAGTACACTTTCTTTTGGAATGGACAATAAAATAGCTGTCAGCCAAATACTCCGAGCCACACCTTGAGCATATAAAACAGCTGAAGCTCTGTAAACCTTGATATGCAATGTCCAAAGTCAATGAGTAACCCTTATGTAACATGTAGCTTGTACTGGTCAACAGTGTCTTCATGTACAGAACTGGTGTAGAGTAGCCCAAATTTGACAGCTGATTATAAAATTCTGATAGAGATTTAAAGGACATGTTCATAAGCAAAATACTAGATTTTTCATATCTTTTGTTTATCTCCTATATGTGTTTATTTTCTAAGTTGCAACTGAGTGAAGTCAGGAATTGTAAAAACAGCTTGCTGGTACAATGTAACGAATAATCACAACAAATTCTTCACATTGTACTGCAGTGACTTGCAGAAAAAGTGGTAGCTCCTGACTTGGAAGACTACTAAGTGCAACTGGGGCTACACTTAGTTGGAGCTGATACCAGTAATCAAACTACATGTAGTAAGCTACAAAGAAAACATGATGTTTCATTCTATTAATCATTTCATGTCTGTGAAGAGGGTCTTGTTAATAAGGAAATAAGAAATTATTTCCTCATATATACTTTTGAGTTTTTAAAGGAAAAAAAAGAAGGTTTTGGGCGGATAGAAACTGAAACAACAATCAGCAGTCTGTTAAGGAACCTTGAAAAGTTGTTTGTGTAGCAGGTTCTGCACAACAGTGACACAGCAAAAACATGAAATAACAAAGTACAGCCTTCAAACTGCTATTTGCATAGCCTACCTACATGCATAGTAAAAAGAGAAAAGAAATAGTTTTGGAAACTAGAATCACAAATACGGTGTACTGGTACATGTAGCTGGTGAAGTACAACTAAAAAAACTATTGCACTTTAAAACATTATTTATTTGTGTTTCAATATAACCATGTTATACACTTTCAAAATAACCCTCAAAAGAAAGAAGTTGTACCCTTCCCAGCAAAGCACTTACACGTACGTATTATAGGCAGCAGAATCTTCATCCTGTTGATGAAGGCCTCCAAAGAAAGAAGTACAACTAAGGCAGGTAAAACAATCAACACACAAATGTAGTCAAACATTTCCCACTCACTTCTCGACATCAGAAATACCTGGACAGCCCTACTACTACCTGCACTTAGGTGCATTATGAACGCAGTATTTCAAGCCCAGTGTTTGTAAAGTCCACCTACATCAGGGCCCCAGACTTTTCAACTTACATGTAATAGAGTAGGAGCACCAGCTACCCGAACCAGTGCATTAAAAATGAAAATATTTTTCCCACTCACTTCTCAACCGTGTTGTGGTGCATACAGCCCTGTGACCCTCCTACCGCGTAGATGTAGTCATCGATGACCCCCACCCCCACACGGTTACGAGGGATGGACATGGGAGTGTACGACTGCCAACTGTTGGTGTACGGGTTGTAGCCTTCAAGGGAGTTGGAGTCCATGTTGCCGTCTGGGGAGTTGTTTCGCCCTCCTGTGCCATTAAGGAAAACAGATTAAAGTTTTAAAAAGTTTCTGCAAGCCTAAAAGTTTTGTTCAAAATGACAAAATTACACTTACAGATAAGTCATAACTATTTCTTTGAACTGGAAAATATTCTTTATTCTTTGACTTGGGGTCTACATGTATGTGGCTGTCAACAAGTTGTTCTGCTCTCCAGTGCTGTTTGGAGGTGGAAATTAGATAAAGGGTATGTTTCGTTCAACATTGCACATTGACTGTATGTACTTCATGGCAATTTTGGAAAATCTACCGAAATTTGAAGGACCTCTACAACATAAGTTACAAAGTTTAAAGTTACTGGTACATCTTACCCAGTAACTCAAACTGTCTTACCTATAACATAGAAGAAGCCATGTACTACAGCTGCAGCCAAACCACTTCTGGGCATGGGCAGATCGGCAAGTCTGGTCCACGTGTTCTTCTCAGGGTTGTATGCCTCCATCGTCGCCAGCGATTGTCTCAGGTACCCACCCGCGATGAAAATCACATGCGGAGCCAGAGGAGTCCTTTGCTTAACCTTCAGACATCTAGGCTTGTGCAGCGTCAAGTCTTGTAAGATCTTACACAAGTATTCGTTACACTCAGGATTCCTAGTCGCTATGGGGCACGCCGATAGGCTTTTCTTGATAAACTCGGGGTTGAGTTTGTGGCACCGCACTGCTTCAAGCAGAGGGTATATGCACTGCTTACGTTCATCTAGATCGTACGTAACCCATCGCATGGCGGCCTTGTAGACTTCAGACTCGCAACGCACGTTCAGTTCATCTCTGTTGATCAGGTTCAGCAGCTGGCAAGCCGATAGCATCATGAATTCCTCACTCTCGCAAACCTCGCAGAAGTTCGTGTAAATGAACTCTCGCGCTTTCTCTTCCAGTTTCTTACACCCAAGCTCCTGGGCAAAGTTCGCGATCCCGATCGCGTTACTAGGATCCAACTGGTCCTCCAAAAACTCGCAACAAAGCTTGGCTACTCTGGTCATTTGGAACATAACTGACGCAGTCATGACATGAAGAACCGTCATGTCCTTTAGGGTGATCTGTGAGGTATACGCGAACCCGATAAGCTGGTTCATAACGCAGGGGTGAACACCCTCAATGGGTATCTCCTGCATTTCGCACTCCTTCAGCCCGCCTGTAAACATGGCCTTGAAGTAGGGGCTGGCGGCCGCGAGGACCACCTTGTGGGCAAGGAACGTGTCCTTCTTGTCCTGGTACGTCACCTGTTTAACAGAACAATAACATAAAACTGAACAAGGACTCATGAACAAACTCTAGTACATGGAATTTTGGTACGACAACATAATTTCAGTACCTCTACATCCTTTTAGTCTAATATATCCACAAATGGCATTATGTAAATGTACCAATTGTAATTTGTATACTGAAAATCACAATGTTTTCACGGTACTTAAACATTCTCAGTTTTCATTATTGTGAACAAATAATTTGCCGACTTTCGTCTTGCTGCACCTGCCGCCACTGCAAACATATAGTTCCACAAACATGATTGTCAATTGTTCTCAAAGTCAGACTGCAAAACTTTTGCTGCCGCAAACTTAATTTACAGTATGGCAGCTCGATTCAGGGCCCCTATAAGTGAAGCCTGCAACTCTGTACCATAAGGAGGTGATGAAAAAAACCGTAATCAACTTAAGCGTGACGTCGCAGAGCTGGTGATGTTCTCTCAACATGTTAAAAATGGTACATACAGAACTAGCCCCCTGCTGTAGTGATTGCACAACTGTGTGGCCCAAGGGCTACTGAATAGATGGGCACCACACTATGCATCACGTGGTGCAGGAATGACTTTAACTTTAATTATTACCTTGAGCGTGACGTCGCAGAGCTGGTGATGTTCCCTCAGCATGTTCATCACTCCCAGTGCCTCTTCCGCGTGACCTCCGTCCGTGAACGTGCGACACGTGGACCCCCCGTTCCGCGGAGCGCACTCCACCTCGAAGTTAGGCCCCGTGGGGTCCATGGGCTCGTCTTCCGCCATCGCTAATGGCAACCGTCTCTATGGCAACAGGTTTTCAATGGTAGAGACATCCGAACCTGGGGATGACAGAGACAACAGGCATCAAATATCAGCATTCAAACTGTCTGTCACGAAACGTCAATACAAATGTGCAAGTCATGGAGCACTTGAGTAGATCTCGTAAAAAAAAACAAGAAAGAGCAAAAACAACAGGGCAGATGATAGAAATTTATACTGTACATACATGTAGTATAGTACTTAGTAATACCCAGTGTACTGAAATATTGCAGTGCCTGGCATTCACTGTTTATTACTTATTACTATCAGTTCCTGCTCAGTGCTTACAACTAATTGCGTACAGATAGTTCTGCAATGCTCGTTCTGGACTATAAGGTTGAGGTTTCAAATTTCAGCCAACCTGTCATTTATACATTTGTAGTTATGCAGGTTAAAGGTAATAACTGCCCTTTGGATGGTAACTGTGTCAGGTTTAAGACAGACATATCTCAACCAAGCATACTTCTTGTGAAGCCAATTTTTACGGTCAGCATGACCTCCAAAAAATGCAGTCTCATGCAGGGTAATTGGTGCAGCACTAGGAGGTTATCTGAGGTAAATGCTAAACTGTATCCACCCCTAGGCCTGTTCCATCAATTGTGCAAGTGCGCTCTATCATTATATCAATTTATACCTTACATAAGTGTGGGTGGTACGGCTCTATACAAATTCCGTTATCTCCACAGAGTAAAAGAAAATCTTGTAGCATTGCGACAAAATGATTGGAAATACATTTGGACAAGCTACATGTGCAGGTACTAGTAGTTATCATACATTACTGATACAGATACATGTAACTCTATACAGTATACCGAACAAGTGTTTTGCAAAGATAAGAAGGCATGGATGGCATTGAACAAAGACTGGGTAGAATGAAACTGGAGCCATAGGTCATTGAACTTCATAACATTACTGCTTACTCATTGTTAGCAGTCAAAGGTCATTGTATCTTCCACATTTTGCAGGTACCCGGTATGTACAGACTTGGAACACCTCAAACTATTGTCACATAACCTGTCCAGTAAACTGTAAAACTCATATAAAAGCTCGGAAGACAATGCATTCTGCTAAGAAAAGGTTTTGCAAAAACTATTTTGGCATGAAATATTCTGTAGTTAGATACACGTAGCTTTTTTTTGCTGTCATTTTTGCCGCAGTGAAAAATGATGCAATTGAAAAGAAAATGCAGATATTCTAGCTAGTATTATTTGTTTGGCAAAAATATGGTTGTTTTGCAAGAATACTGTCATTGCAGATTTTAAAAATTTCTTTTGACTCAACTGCTAGCAATAGCATAGCAGAATGTACATTTTTGCAAAAGCAATTGCAAACAGCTGAAAACATCAATTCTTTCCAAGAGGAACTTAAAAAGTGCATGCTTCCGACAGCAAAATCGTCAAGAAGTCTTCCAAACCTGATGTTCCTTGCTTCCCCTGAGCTCCTGCTTGCATCCATACTTTACTTCGGTTCAAAAAAGGTACGAATGACAGTTGGGTGATCCACCCACTATATATATGAAAATGTCAATAGTTTCCAAGCAAGAGGAACTAAAAAAATGCATGCTTCCAAAGGCAAAATCATAAAATTATCTTCCAAACCTAATTTTCCTTGCTTCACCTGAGCTCCTGCATGCATCCATACTTTAAAGACGGTTCATAAAAGGTACGAATGACAGTTAGGTGATCTGCCCACTATGAAAATGTCAATACTTTCGAATTCCAAGAGGAACTAAAAAAATGCATGCTTCCGACAGCAAAATCATCAAGAAACCTTCCAAACCTGACTTTCCTTGCTTCACCTGAGCTCCTGCATGCATCCATACTTTACCTCGGTGCATAAAAGGTAGGAATGACAGTTGTGTGATCCGCCCACTTTGGTATAACCACCTTGTAAAGCTGTTTAACGAGAGATCTCAGCTGACCTGAAAACTGCTAAGTCATCTCTAGGGCTGCCAAATAGGCTATTACAGTGCAAAGTTCAAGCAGACAAAGGGTATATACATACAAGACAGGGCAAACAATTGGGTCAAAGTAGAGCTAGCAGCGCCAATTGAATTCAAATTGCGAAATGTCTTTTATAATAATATGTTGTATACAATATAAGTGTAATGTCTAGAACATGTTTCTCACTGTTATAAACATGATCTACCTGTTCAAGAGTGGAAGACTGTTCGTGTCTCCTATTGGTATAATGGTACAGTCTAACATTTGTCTAACATTTGGCAATGAGTCCTTGTAAGAAATTACTTCAGCTATTGGGCTCAGGTATTAGACACACAATTACTACTTGAAGTACAATGTACCTCTATCGAAAACCTATAATTATCAGTAGATGTACAATGTACACAAGGTACCAGTTGATTTGACAACAAGCTACTGTACTTGTTCAGTTGCCTCTAGTTAATGTGACTATACAACCTACAAAAACTTCAAATATCAGAAACACAATTACAAGTTGAGGTATAATTTAGCTCTAACACTATACTAGTAATTATATGTACAGGTACACAAGGCAATGGCTGATTTGAAAGCAAGCTATTTACTTGTTCAGTTACCTGTAGCTAATGTGACTATACAACATACAAAAAACTTTACATCAGTTCAAATGTCAAAGGCTGAAGGCAAGTATTAAGAGTCAGAAAGGCTTAACAAAAGAGTCATTGTTCCCAAAAGCCCAGGTAACACTTTTACATAATACAGGTGAAGGTCAGAACACTTGTAACATGATACCTAAGCCTGGTGACTGACCTTCACCCACACACTGGTAAAATGTCCTTGGGGGTATGTTGGCCCTGGAACCGAGGAGCTGGCCTGTGTGGGCCCTGGAAACAGTCTGGCATTCAGCTAATCTCCAAGCAGATCCTAAGGGTCTCAAAAGTTGAGTATCCAATTGGCCAGAGAGGGACCATGAGCAACCCAAGGTGGGGGTATTGACAAAAAAAAACGAGCCATATATAAAAAGCTAACAATGATTCCCCCCCAACCTCTGCTTGGAGAGTTACAATACATTCAGTTGGCTTAGACTAAGATGCTGAACCTAAAATGCTTTTTACCCTGTCACACAGTGAAACAATACTGTAGCATCTATTTCGGTATGACCATGGTGTAACTGTTAAAAGACCTACCTCCATGGTATGACAGGGCAAGAATACTGCTCTCTTAGCTACGGACACAACAGTCAGTGAGTGTGACTAATGTCAAATCATAAAAATTTGTCAGGTAAAATTCTGAGAATCTTCCTGCGAATACCCAGAATGCAAGTCATTGTTCCTGAGCAGGTATTAGAAGGCAACAAATTAAAAGCTTCACTACACTGTTATGAAATTGTAATTAGCTTGTGATTCAGAATTGAACTTGAAGTTAGTGTTTTTTGCCATGTGGGTGTTGATATGTATCTGTATTATACTAATTTATAGCTGGTATAAATGCCCTTTGCACTTAAGCTTTGCAGGCATGTGGTGCAGCAGCAGCTGGTTCTACTACATTAAACGCCCTGACACACCTTAACCTTTGCACATCTAGCTGCAAGCGTTGTTTGACGAATCGTTAAAGCATACACTCACTTGATAAACTAAAGATCGATTTTCCAACCTATAGCTATAGAACTAAAAAAAAAGGACATATGAAAAAGGCTGAAAGCTACATAGACCTTTGCTTGTCATCTTGAACTGGACTTTAACATTTCTTGATGGCAATCTTCTCTACAACATAATCGGCTGATGTTCAGTCAACACTGTACTTGAGGTTATTGACAGGTGTTCCTTGAAAAACAGGGTCTTGACAAACAGATCTTTCCAACGTGTCATTGCGACACGTGTACGCGGAAGCAAGGACTTTGTACCTGGATGTGTTTGACATATCACCTTACTTCTGAAGACTGCAAAATGGACAATGTACATGTACCAATAGGTCCAAAAATAACAACAGTAGTATGTACATTGGTAAGCATTACGTAAGACCGATCAGTCTAATTTTACAAAAGCAATCAATTATCATTATATGCCAAAGCACCCTGCAAACAAATTGATTCTGCATCGCTTATTGATTGATAGATGATTGATCATTCCAGCGCAGCACATTTACCACCTCCAGCTGGTACGGCAGCTTGCAATTCGCAGATAAAGGTCAAACTGTCTCCTTCAGCCATCACGCAAATTGTCTAATATTAGACTTTACTCAAGTCTGACTTAAAGTCTATACTGAAATCATGATTTCTAACAGATGTTTGGGGAGATACCCCCAGTATTTCATATCTGCATTCAAAAAACAGATACTCAGTAGTCAGTATATACACAGCAATCATTATTACCTCAATATTGTAGTATTACATTATAGTAGAATTTTTACCCAAGTTGCTCATATTCATAATCAGACACATGAAACCTCCATGATGCAACCATGACTGTTCTGAATTTGCAAGGAAGCTGAAAGTAAAAATGGTTTCCAGTGTAGGAGGAGGAAACACGTTTCTGTTGTATCATGCAGGTTGGGTTGAGGTGAATCATAATATCCAATGCTGCACTATGTCTATGGTTACAAATGTAGATTTTTGCATCCTTACTTTTTGCGTTCTGAATTTTGTACATTTTGACAGAAGTGGGCAGGGCTATGAGATTTTGTCTCTTTCAGAGGATTTTGGTAAATCTTTTACATTCTTATCTTTTCGTCTTGCATTTCTCCATTTTGACAGAGGTGGGCGGGGCCAAGGGATTTGTCTCAATCCCAGTAGAGTAAAAAATTAATCCAATTTGCTACCTTAACTGTCAATCATCAATATCTGTTTGAGCATACGTCTACATGTGCACATATACACAATATGTGCATGTACATGCATATACAAAATTATTATTACATGGCCATCATTGGCATAGTTGTCATACGACTCATAGACTCATAGTGACAGACTCACACAATCTTTTGTTGCAGGATGTTCAGTGGAAGGCATTGTCAACAAAGAATCTATTTAGCAACATTTTCTGTCACAAAGAAGATGGATTATTTTCACAACACATCCACTTCTGTCAGTCAAAAGAGATGCCCTCAAACCAATTTGCTCCAGTGAACCTATCTATATAATCTAGGACAAATGTAGCCTCCGTAGCAGGCTTATAGAACTGGAGGTTTGGTGATCTTCGGCTGTTTTCTGATTAGCCCAGTTCTAAAAGCGGGGGTAATTCAACTAGGCCGGCTATGTTGTCTATATGCAATCAGAAAATAGCACATAAAAGCTCCCAAAGACCCTGAAGACCCCCATGCTATGGAGGCTAGGACAAATGTGACAGGGGCTTCAGTCACCAAGTGTCTACAAATCCAGTCTTTCAAACTCCCTACGTATCTGACAGTCACCATACTAGTACTGTCCCCGTATTTGTTTTAAAAGGATTTTCTCCTGTCAATTTGGCACTCAGCTACAGTCCATGGAGGCCTGGGCATCACTCAATATGAGTAGGGAAGCCAATAATACTCACCTTACATGACCCCTGCAACAGGAACCATACACTGGGACAAGACTGGGACATGTAGTACACAAATGTTTGTAGTGTACTGTAGGTGACATCCGGATAGCCCTACATCCATTTGTGGAGAGGATGTAGGACTTGGGAGCTTTAATAGGTTTGGTAACCAGGCTAACATCCTGATGATGAGTAAGAAATCACACATGACTATGTTTTCGTTTTCTGTTAGTGTTATGTCATGCCTTGTCATTCCTACTTCCTAGTAAACAAAAATAAAACTTTTAAAAGAGCCCAACACACAAACTGCAACTGGGGACACTACAGGCTTTTCCCATTTCTCAACAGCCAAAAATATTACCGTCCAACCATGCAAATTTTATATGAGAAATTTATTCCTTCTCTTGCAAAGATGTGTCCACAAGTCAAAAAGTATAGACATACTGTTACTGTTAGGACATGTTGTACTTATTGTACATGTTGTATACTTCTGGCTAAATAAACTGAACAACATTTAACACGTCCATTTGAATCAGGCTAGAAAGAGCAGGATTACTACAAGTACTACCGGTAGGTGAGGGTGTTGGGGATTTGGGACAGGTTGACTCTGGATTTCTTTTGAGAGGGCTGAAATAACAACTACACAGGAATTCCACTTGAGGTTACGTAACAGTAGATACATTTGAATAGAATTTTTTGGCAGTAGAACTTTATGCTAATTGCTAGTAACATTTACTTACATTTGTTATAAATTGTGGTAGCCAGACACGTATCTAGAAGTAGTTGTGGAAGCAGTCAATATCTTAATATTACCAGTTCCCTGTTTTTGTTACAAACTGTCCTCTTAAATGAGGAAAAGCTAAAAAAAATGTTAGGATTTGGCCATCCAACATCTGCTTGGATGCTAGCCAAATAGTGTTGATTCAACAAACGTTGAAGTTTCCTTCCTAACAGTGACAGACATGGAAACACCAGCTTGAACTTTATCTTGAAAGTTCATCTCTAGAGAAGAGAGCATTTTGGGGACACCAGGGGCAAATGTGCTGGAAGTAACATACCTGTGTCACTAACCTTAAATACCCATTGTCATTGTGACTCCATCTCAGAAACTTTTACAAGAAAATTCACTTGTTGGGAAATACTAGTTATATCACAGAAAAGCTTGGTTGCTTCAGACACATGAACAAACTTACAAAGAGTGAGTTAAAAATTAGTAAACATTTCCATAAGGTTAAGGTTAAACATTAAGGTAAAGGTGGGGCCATACCAGCACTTTGCCTCAATACATTGTCTAATGAGGACAATGGTACAGTACATGCCCTATGGGCTATTGGTTGCTACTCATAAAATTTTACGGCCCAATTATATAGGTGGTGACCCAGTGTTGGGATCATAAATTTATACAGCCTACCCTCCTTCACACTAAGATAGATTATGGAAGTTGAGCCTGTACTTGTCTTACCTACAATGCTACACATGCACGCACGCGCGCACACACACTCACACACACACACACAAACACACACACACACAAACAAACACACACACACAGACACACAAACACACACACACACACTACACACGTCTGAATTAACATTATTTTCTTTGCGTGCCTTAAGGCTTAAGTTAAGGTTATAATATTTTTGACCACCATTTTGGAGACTTTTTTTTCTGAAACTGAAACTTGAAATATCAATGTGTTTGATTAGGATCATCATTATGTATCTAGCTTCTTTCTAGATAATTCTAGCTTATTTGTTTAGAATATGTACGAAGTAAACAAACGTACAAACAACATGATCACTATCACGTCTTCAAGATTACGTTACCGCAAGTTTTTGAGTTGTTGCCAAGATCTCCGCAGGCCATAACGTACACCCAACGAGGGATCAAGAAACAGGAATATAATCTCAAACAGCCCAAAAGATCAAGCCAGGCTTTCTGATCACTTTAGTTTACAAATCGCGCGATACGGAAGAATGTTTACTTAGTGTAAAGAGATCCTTTCGGTACGTCGAAATTTCGACATTTTTGACGGATCTCTTTTTCGACATGACGGTGCACTTCTGATCGGCCCAGTTTTTTCGGGGCGTTCTCCGGCGAATCGTGTAAAATAAACGCCCACAAGAGACATAAATCGATAGATCTACGTCTCAGCGATGTCTAGGAAGCATCTGGGGGTTCAAGAAAGTGGAAAAACGAGAAAAACGGGAGGAAAACTTACCGTGATCTTGTTAACACACTGCATGTTACCGCCGACTGGCTCATTTGCATAATGACATTCGGACGTGACTTGCAGAAAATAATTTGACGGCAAACTTCTATTCTTAAATATACAGCGCTTAATATCACTTCTCAGAACCATTTATCGAGCACGAGGAACCCTACACAAAATATCTATGCGTTAGAATTGAGAAAATGTGAGTAAAGCGAAAGATTTTAAGTATTTTCTTGAAATGGTGTCGTAAAATCAGGTGACCTCTGGTGGCATCGCGACAGGCCGCAAAACGGTCCGTGCGTTCCTAGCGAAGATGGCGTCCCTAGCGTCAGGATTTTGGACTTTAAAGTTTAGGACAAATTTTTAGCTCTAAAAGCGATCTTTGTGCACTTAGCGACAATCTGATCTATAGATCAAGATGCCTATAATCAAAGGTAAGTGTCCTTTTGATTTCACATCTTTAATTTGTTTCTTTAGCGGTTTACAAAAGAAAATATTCGCCCTATTCAGGTAGTGCGAATGAGTCAATCGTTTACAATAACATGAAACGTTAACATTTATTTACATTTGGGTGTGTCTAAGGTTTAAACTATTCATGATTCTCTCGGTTATGTTTTTGATTGCATAGTACATTTCCATCGATAGGTTTTCATTGATTGATCATATCTGTGTCTTTAGCTACAAAATGAGGTTAAAAAATCATGTTTTTGCTGAATATTTACATTTTCTAACGTTCATGTTGATTTTTTTTTTCAGATCTTGAAGGTTCATCTGAAGGCTGGGACAGGTCTGAGACCAGCAATGGCATCCCGTACTATGTCAAGTATGATGATACTTCTTGTTTTTCTACACTTAACAACATTTATGCTGAATATCTGCATACCTAAAGTGAACATAAAGTGTAGTTTGTCATGTCTATGTAAAGGTGATCACTGTCATATATTTTACCTGTTAAGTACTAGCATGTTACAATCGAAAAAAAGAGCTTCAGAAAAAACATTAACATCACTAGTAGTGAAAAGAGTAGTAGCATACAACATGTAAGATATGTTAAGATGATATTTTACTGATTTTTCAGTTTCACATTTTTCTCTTGCTGATTTTTACTGTAAAATATTTCCTTCCATGTCCAGTCACCAGACAGAGAGAACACAATGGGACCATCCACTGCTGGCACAGACACTGGAACAGCTGGGTAGGTGCAGACAATAGTAAAATCTAAATGGCTATTGACAGGATCATCCTGTCAATAGTGCAAAATTTTGTTATTGACATGACGATCCTGTTAATAGTGCAAAATTTCAACTATTGACAGGAATAGCAAAATAAATTTGCAGTATTGACAGGACCATCCTGTCAATAACATAAAATTTTACACTATTGACAGGATCACCCTGTCAATAACAGGAAATTTTGAAATATTGACAGGAACAAATTTTTCACTATTGACACAATGTTACATTGGTCCTTGTATTAACAGTACTTAGTGATTACAATGTACTTCTGACTCATTCTTTTTGTTTGTTTGTTTTTCTCCAGATGGATTGAATGACATCAAGTACGCAGCCTACAGAATGGCCATGAAACTACGGGCTGTACAAAAGAGATGTGACCGTAGGTTTCTCTTTAAGACTTACACATGTACTTTTAGTTTTACTATGTCAAAGTCCTAACCATGGTATGATTCAGTGTTGAAATGTTTATGTACTAGTACTGTATAAGCCAGCCTTCTGTATTAATTGACACACACTAACATGTTTGTGAGAGCAAAAATTTTTGGTACATTTTGGTACATAGTCTCTTCCAGTTATGACTATAAACTTTCTTCTTTTTTTTCATATCTTTCTTTTTATTGACTTTTCAAACTATAATTCAAATAAAACCATGGCATGCATACTGCAAATTAGTGACACGTGTGTTACAACTACAAAACTGGAACATAACATCTGGAAAAAAACACTTAATTCTTGTTCCCCACAGTGCACTTTGTGGACCTGAAGACAGTGGTGTCCGTGTTTGAGCGGCATCAGCTCCGCGGCCATCAGGACTCCGTGGTGGATGTCATGGACCTGTATGACATCATCAGTGACGTCTTTGTCATGTCCAACAAGGACAGACCTGACTTCATCGACATTGAACTTGCCAGTGACCTGACACTCAACTGGATACTCAATGTTTATGACACGTAAGGATGAGAGTTGTTGGTAGCTCATTGGTGAAAATCAAATTCAAATATCTTTTGACAATGTTTATGTCACTGTCAGGCCAGCATACTACTGCAAGTACACATGTAGTATGAAACATAAATTATGTATCATCATCCTTTACATGCATTATTTGATTTCAAAGATACACAAAGATATTGCAAAAACATAGATAAGCAAAAAGAAGAAAAAAAAACTGCTCAAAACATGGTCCAAAGACATGTGCTACAAAGTTATATTCAAGCATCTTGCATTGAGCACCTCTTTTGAACACAGGTTCTTTTGACTGATTATATTCCTACACTATATATCAATCAATCTAGTATCTATATAGCTATAACTGAATACATTTTACATTATTGTAACCATTAGTGACAAATTGATGTCAGGAAGATGAATTGTCATGATTCTAAGTTTACCTCCCAAACTTGACATTTCAGGAACAGAACAGGCTGTATCCGTGTCCCCTCAGTCAGGGTGGGACTGGTGGTCATGTGCTCAGGACTACTGTCTGAAAAATACACATGTAAGTATGGAGCATAGTTCATTTGTTTCTGAGGTGTCTGCTACAAGACAATGTTGTTGATCTCTGTCCTTATGGCCCAGTTTCTCTGGATGTTATGTTCCCTGAAGCTGTGAGGTACATGTAGTAAAAATGCCTCTGTTATTGTACAACTCCTGTTAGTGGTTGACTACAACTGCAATCTCTGTCCTCCCCAGACCTGTTCCAGCAGTTCTCAGACCACAATGGGATGATGAGCAGGAAAAACCTGTCAGGACTCATACAGGACATGTTACAGGTATGGTGTTACATGTTTTATGACTACTACATCTTCGAAGATCATGAAAGACAAGAAGGTTTCAGAAAGCAGGAATCACCAGTACAAAGCTATGTTCAAGTGCCATAATGATATAACATATATAGTATACTGGCAATTCACACCCAAGCCAAACTATAGACATAACAATGTGCGAAATATTGCAAAAGGTAAAAACCATTCTCACATGTTTCTATTTTTTCCAGCTGACAGACCAGTTGTTTGAGAGGCCGTCCTTCGGTAGTGTGTCTGCTGCTGTAGCCAGCTGTTTGGAAGGGGTGAGTATAGTTTGTATTTATCGTAACATTGCGTAATATATGTATTGGAACATACATGTATCTCAATCACACACTCATGCATCCAGGCTTACTGAGCTTTCAACTCAGTGAACATTTTTTACTGAAACAGATTCAGAATGTTGCCAGGTTTTCAGTATTCAGTTAGCAATGTCTTGCTGCAACTATTTGAATTGTTGACCATTCAAACATTTCTTGGAACCTACTCTTACACGTTGTACAAGACTGTCTGTACTATGTTATACTATTTCTTCTTTACCTGTTACCAGCTGCCCAGGTTTACACTGGAGGTAACCTGTCTGTTGTGTCACTTACATTTTTTGTACTCCTGTCTTTTCCACTGTTTTTTTGTCAAGGAAACTACTAGCATCTGTAGAGCATTGAAAGATTTATTTCCTCTATAAGCCTGCAGCCATCTCTATCAGTTTACACACACATGTTTGAATAGAGGAACTCAAACCTCCCACTTTAGATTACACAGTGTTAACAACTTTTGAGAAATGTCTTTACTAGAGTGTACACTGTAGTGTTTTCATTTTTCTTCTATATCTGTCTATATCTGTATCGGTATAGCCTGTATAACCACCTGTTGACAGACATAACATACCAGCTTCGCAGGCACGCAGTGTGGTGGCAGCTAGCTATATCACACCGAATGACCTGTTACACCCAATCTTTGCACATTCAATTGTAGGGGTTGTTAAAAGATCCCGAGTGATAATGCCCCAACTGTGCTTGGTGGCATTGAGCTTTTTCTGTATCTTCATACCCAAGACCCTACAAATGAAGCCATAATAGATTGATTGCTTCCTCTCCCTCCGCAGACCCTAGGAACAGGAGTAACAGAAGACCACTTCCTGCAGTGGTTAATGGCAGAACCCCAGACTGTGGTCTGGCTCCCAACTCTGCACAGGGTGGCAGCTGCAGAGAGTGTCAAACATCAGGCAAAGTGTAACACATGTAAAGCCTGTCCTATACTGGGCTTCAGGTGGGATGTTTGTTTGTTTGTTTGTTTAATTGGAGGCTTGTACTGACGAGTGTTAAACACCAGGCAAAGTGTAGCACATGTAAATCCTGTCCTATACTGGGCTTCAGGTGGGTTGTTTGTTTATGTTTTTTCTTATTTTAAGGAGAAATATAATTTTGATTCTGCAAAGAGTTGTCTTTTTAGAGACAAAAAAGCTAGCTTTAAACAATGTTTAGAGTTAGATGTTCAAGGGTTAGGTGTAACGAGTCAATCGGTGTAATGTAGCCTGCTGCCGCCGCGCCGCCTGCCTGCGAAGCTGGTGTTTTATGCCGAAGGGAGGTTATACCGGCTATACAGATACAGAAGCTGGTGTGTTACGCCGAAGGGAGGTTATACCGGCTATACAGATACAGAAGCTGGTGTGTTACGCCGAAGGGAGGTTATACCGGCTATACAGATACAGAAGCTGGTGTGTTACGCCGAAGGGAGGTTATACAGGCTATACAGATACAGATATTTGAGATATCATTGCTAGATTCTTCTTATTTCGTACAATTTTGTGTCATCTTTTAAAAAACTATACTACTTATTGTGTACTTTTAGGGTTAGTGTATCGGTATGTTGTTTATTTTGTACAGATATTAAAAACAACATTGTATGTACCCCTACAGGTACAAGTGTCTGAAGTGTTATAACTACGATCTGTGTCAGAACTGTTTCTTTGTGGGTCGGAGTTCACGCTCACACAAACTCAGCCATCCCATCCAGGAGTACTGTACACAGGTAAGGAACATGTTTTTGCAATAGTGCTTCTGCTAGCTCCATTGTTATCGTACTTAGTGCTACCTTGTGTTGGCTTTGTTGTCTATCTAACTATTACAGTGCAATGTTATTGCTTGTTAGTGCTTGTATGAACATAATGATATACTGACCAACAAATGTACTAGTAGTCAAACCTGAATTTAAACAAAAATTATATCTTCCTAGTTTTTTCCTCTGTTTAGACTTTTGTAGTCATTCTATAATGACATGGTTGCCTTCCTTAAAAAAAAACAAGAATTCAATCATTGTTTAGCTGTTTTAAGAAAGACTGGACCTCCTTGGACATTGGTTGATTCTGACTACATGTATAACTTTCTTGTTATAGTACTTGCTTCTTACAGCAATGCAATGCAGAATAGTATTACATCATAGATCTTACTTCATTTTATTTCCTGTGTCCCTGACCAGACATCGTCCAAAGAAGATGCCAAAGCGTTTGCCCGTACAGTGAGAAACAACGTGACCAAGCGGTACAAGAAGAAGAGAAACAAGTCCAACTTCCTGCCTGTACATGGATACAGGGAGGACGACACAGAGAGCATGTGAGTTCCTACAATATGGCAGTTTAAGTCTACATTTTGATGAAATTTCTCATTTGTGTGTGTTTGTGTGGATGGCATTCAGCACCAAGGACAGGGATTTTTGCCTGTATTTGTGACTTTTGTGTGTGTTTGTGTGTGTGTGTAGAAAGCATTCATCGACAAGGACAGGAATATCTGCCTGCATGTGTGTTAGCTTATATTTACACATGTATGTGTGTTGATAGCATTCAGCACCAAGGACAGGTGCCTTGTTTATGTGTGTGTGTGTATGTGTTTGTGTGTGGATGGCATTCAGCACCAAGGACACGCATGTTTGCCTGCATGTGTGTGTATTTGTGTCTGTGTGTATGTGTGTGTGGATGGCATTCAGCACCAAGGACAGGCATGTTTTTCTATGATGTGTGTGGCTGTGTGTGCGTGCGTGCTTTTCTGTTAGTGTGTGGATAGCGTTCAGCACCAAGGGCAGGCATTTTTGTCTGTATTTGTGATGTGTGTGTGTTATGTTTATGGATGGGGTTCAGAAACAAGCACAGATATGTTTGCCTGCATGTTTGTGTGTGTGGTTTTAATCTTCTACAAAATATTTTAATAGAACAGCTCTCTTAACTTTTCTTTCTTACTGACCTCTGCTAATTTTCAAGGGCTGATACTCAAAGCGAGGCTGACATGCATGGGATGCTGGGAAGACTGGCGACCCGTCTGGCGGACATGGAGAGTTCGTTGCCCCCGACAACGGTGTCACGACCTCAGCAGACCTCTCCCAAACTGATGCAGAGGCAAAGGGTAAGAACTACATCTCACTTAGCTAGATACAAAACATCACATTTTATGAGAATAAAGCATTAGCTGGTAAAGAAATGTTCAGACATTCTTCTAGTATCAAATGTGAAATGCTAGTGAAAGTTTTGCTGGTGAAATTTCTACCTGCCTAAAGTTTTTTGCCTCACTATGTACATTGAGGTTTTGACACAAGTATACAGTTGCTTGTAGTTGCAATGATGCTAACATTTTGTAATACAAAATGAGTCAACTAGATAAATTCTTTTAGAGTCAGACATTGAAAACTCCCATACTCTTTCCCAAATGCTATAAATATTCTTTCTTGAGTGCTAAGCAGGGAAAGCATAAAGTCTTTGGTATGACTTGGCCGGGGATCAAACTCACGACCTACCTAAAGCAAGCCAAACACACCACCCAATTGGCCATTGATGTATTTTGTACTAAGCAATATTCTACCTGTATTTCTAACCTTCATGCAAACATTTGTAACCTGTGTTACTCCAGCCGACCCCCCCTGAGCAGGTGATCGTGAACTTGGCCCCTGAGGAGCGGCTGGAGCTGGAGGACATCATCCACGACCTTGAGGCGGAGAAGGACGACCTTCTGGATGACATAAACGAGCTGAGGACACAGAGGTCAGAGGCGGGGTCAGCCGTACACGACGAGCAGGAGAGGCTACAGGCAAAGGTCAGACTTCAAGACATTCAAAACTGCCCTGGAAGACCACTTAGTGGACCAATAAATCTGGTCTATGTGAACAAGTAGAAAGGATTGTTAATTCTTGTGCCTGACCAATATGTCCTTTGAATGATAGATTCATTGGTAGAACTCTTTGCAGCTACATGTATAAGGAAACCGCAAACAAAATTTACTGTAGCTTACAATTGGACTTCTATTCGTTCCTTTACAAATGAAAATGTCTTCACCTTGTTACCCCCAGACTGCTTTGATAACTGGATACTTTTATTATTTTGTATCTTATCATCACTAATGCTACATATTATCATCACTAATACTACAGGTGGAAGTGTTGGAGTCCCACAACAGACAACTGGAACTACAGCTGGAGAAATACAGGCTTAGAGTGCAGGTGAGGTCCTTAGATTGACACATGCAACACATTTTATACCTTTTAAAGACAATCCATTTGAACAACAATTAAGGCATTCACCCATTCTATGGCAGTTTTATGTAGGACTCAGAGTGACATTTCTTAACTACATGCAATGTCTTATTGGAACTATTGAAAGGCAAAACAATCAGATATTCTAGATTTGTCCGTGGCTAGCTGATGATATGATGCACTTCAGGCAGGGGTGCAACTGCCTTTTTTATCGTACAAGTTAAGATAGAAGCTGCCTATACTACATGTAGTACTTTCAACTTACATGTACACTCATTCCAGATGCAAGAGAGAAGTCCAGCAGCCCTACCCGCCCCTCACCAACCCCAACCCCAGATCCTCTCCCCTCCCTACCAACTCCAACCCCCCCTCTCCCTACCCTCCCTACCTCACCCCCCAATGTACACCTACCCCGCCCCCTCCTACCAGCCCCCTCCCAACCCCCTGGCCCTCTCCCACCCCCCTCAGCCGTACCCCTCCCCTATCCGACCCCCTCCCCCTCAGTACCAGAGTACCCCGGGACAGAGACCACTATGGCGCCCACCGGCTTTCTCCCAGCAGCCTTTGGGAGAGGAAGAGTATGAGGATGAAGAAGCTGACCAATCAGAAGACATGTATCAAGTGAGTGCTGATATTTTAATGTTATGTGACCTCTCATTGGGTACACTTTTGCCTACTGTACAATGTAGTTACGTGTCCACTCCCATGATTGTACCTCTGTCAAAATTGCTTGTGTTTTTGCCAAAAATTTTTTATTGTTTGCTTGATTTTTTGCATGAGAACATGATGATGGAAGCATAGCTCCAAGTGAATTTTCATGGATTTTGTTGTAATTTGGTTCTAAAAATTTAAAGTGGAAGAAAATATACTACATTTGAAGTAATCTTCCAAGCATTTGAATCTGTCTTTTGTCTGGTGAAGGATTGTACTCTGTGTGTGCTGCTGTTCTAAATCTAGATATGTAAAAAACTTTTGTAACCAATTTAGATTTTTTTCCCCTTTTTGTAGTAAGTTAGATCATGAATGACAGCCATGATATTTTTTTTATATCAGGATGACGATGATGATGATGATGGAACGTACCCCCTGGGCCCCGAGGCGACCTACCTGCCCGAGACGTCTCACAGGTTTCCTTCCGAGGAGGCGGAACTCGAGGATCTTGTCTCAAGGGTCAAGGACGCCTTCCCCAAGAACATGTCTTACAGTAAGTTGTCTTATTCTTGGTCACAACAAGACAATGATTCTGAATCTACTATACTTGAGACATTGTCATGCTACAATGTATGTCTGAGTACAGAGCCTCTTTTTACACAACCAAGTGTTTTATTTACAGTCGACATTTTGGTGACCATCTGTCACCTTCCTCAGGGCAATTCTGACTGGTTCACCAAAACGTTGACTGTGAATACAACACTTGGTTGTGTAAAAAAGAGTCTCTTTACTCAGTGACTTACCAACCTGATAAAACTATTCACGGATACAGTGTACATATATGTCATCATGTCAGTCCTTATATCCTTGTAGGTCATCTTCAATTTACTTGTAGAATGTCTTTCAGTTAGTTTTCATGACTTCATTGTACAATAGTTTAGATGCTAGAAGAGAATAGCAGCTCTGTTACACATTGTATCTTGTAGTGTCATTTCTGGATTGTTTCACTTAAAAAAATTTGGGTTTCAAGTTTTGTTATCCTTGTTCTTTATCAAATCAATCTGCACATTATTTTTTATTTGTCATTATATCAAAATGGTCAAGGAGCTTGAAAGTTCTTTTGACCAGACCTTTTCAATAGAATTTTCTGTCTTTGTACATTTTAGGACTGTCACAACCCCTGCTAGCTTTTATAAAAATTTGTCATGTAGTTAGAAAATGTCTTTGACATTAATTTCTTCATGCCCACCAATATTTCTGATTTCTGTCTCCCTTTTGTTACCTGCTGCAACCACTAGTAGGAGAGTCAGAACCAGGTAATGTACAGTGTCAGTAATGTGTTGGGTGGAAACTGGAAAGTGTAATGCATGCAACCTCTAATACTGCATGCCACAGTGGATACAGAGATACATTTGTGCTCATCTACGAGTACCATTGTCTGTGCTGTTTTTGTCTTGTACCTATGTGAGTTTTGATCTGCCAAGATAAGAATTGCATGCTGTACCACTAACCAAAAATAAACCTTGTGTCAGTTATACTGGTCTGCATAATGGAAAAAGGTGTTACGGATCATAAGTTTATGTCATTCCATGAAAAAGTCCTAGTACATGATTATGTTTTGAGTACTAGTCTTCCAGGATTCCATTTGAAAATTCATTACTTTGAAGCTGATTTGGACAAGAGAAAAAAATACTTTCAAACTGTATCATCTCCAACTTTTAAAACGAGGAAGGAAAGTTCCAAACTTACTACACATCATGTAAAATTAATGCCAGTAAGACTGTTACTAAGTGTTTTTGTCCAATAATTCCTGCCTTCCCTCCCCCCAGTTTACTCCCATGATGCGGGAGATGAGATGATAGCAGCTGCCAGGAGAGGAGGGGAGGCTGTGACTTTGCTCGTCAACAGGATCGTTGACACAGGTCAGGGATTTAGTCTTTTTCCTTTGGTACTTTGTAGCGTGGCAATATACAGGGCCTCAGAATAACATTCTTGACACCCTGAGTTCACTCTCCAGACTGGCTCTGGCCACATGGCCTGAGACACTTTATTGGGTTTAAGCCAACACAGATATTTTGGTCCCCAACACTTCAATATACTAGTGGTGTCAAATAGCCACTAGTGGCTAAGGCAAGCAGACTTGAGATTGAGAGGTCGCGGGTTTGATTCCTTACATTCCTGGCTAGATGTTGTGTCCTTGGGAAAGGCACTTCACACGACTTTCCTCACTCCACCCAGGTGTAAAATTGCCATGTGTACCCAACTGGTTGGGGGAGTAAAGGGTGGTGGAAGGAAAGAGATGGGCTTTGCCTTCCAATACATCAACAATACAACTAGTTTTGTAATAATAAATAACCCTTTTCCCTGTTCCCAGATTCTGGACCCAGGCGCAGTTTGCTTCAAGATGAGGAAGAAGATGAGGAGGAAGACTACTGAAAATTGTCCCAGGTTCAGAAGACATCTTCTCTATGTCTTAGGAAGTTTGCAATGTACGTAAAAGTATTACTGGAACCAGTGCAGAACAGGGTCTTCCTCAGTCTTAGGTCTTTTTCAATCTTGTCAGTATAAGTCAAGAGGACAGAAAGTATTTGTTGTTCAATACAACTGTAGCAACAAGATTTCTGCTATTTTGTATAAGTTGACAATGTACGTAAATGTAGGAATCAGCTCTGACCACTAGCCATAAAGACGTATCACGTCTTTGTACAGTACAAGTTTTGATATTGCGTGAACAAAAAATCAGCTCCTATTTCAGCTGAATAGGCTACTAGTCTTTTCTCCGGTGGTAGCAAAAGATTTCTCAATGTACCCAAGCCTTTCCTTAACTAGCTGCCAACACTGAGTAGAATTAGAAATTAGATTGTTAATGTTAGTAATGTAATTTGCACATTGTAAGATACATGTAGAGAGTTTCTGGCAGTATCTTTTGAAGATCTGTAGTTTAGATTGTGACATGTGTATATATTGTTGCAGGACAACAATCGGACAGTTTTGGTACCAATTTATAATCAGGAATCTTTTGTATAAATGGAAAAGAGTTTGATTTTGTACCAGTCCTTTATCAATTGTATACAATCGAATGAGTTAGTATGTATACCTGAATTTGAGTATACAGTCAAACTTGTACTCATGACTGTGTATTAAAGGACTAGACAGCCATTATGATCACTCTAATTTTTTGTAACCCTTTGGTTAAGTAGGTTTCCAAGGCAACAGTATTGATAAATCAGGAAATTGCTTAGTTTACATTTGTACTTGCTGGCAATTGTGAACAGAATTTTGTAATCATTTGTACAATTTAATGCTGGATCATTGGTGGTCGTGGTATAGAAATGGTGTGTAGATATTTGTATCCAGAACTAGAGAGGTGTTAACTTTTCTATTTATTAATAAAACTGTCGATTAATGAAACTAGCCTTGGTGTGAGTCCAGGTGATTTTGTCCCTTCCTTTAAAAGTACTACAGTGGCTGTATACGAGTAGAGCTGTCTTTAATTACATTTTACTTATAAGAAGAAAAGAGCCCCAGAAATGTCTACAATTCTTATCATTAAAATATAATTCCATGAAAAGGTCGGGAGTATATAATGTTAAACGTCTTGGTTCTGTACATTTTTCCTCCTTCAATGCAATGCCTTCCAAGTTGTGGCTTTTTTTTTCTTAACACTTCCTTCAAACATACCTGGTTTGAAAATGTTTGTGGTACTCAACAAGGCTACGCCAAACGATGACATATCCGTCCGACCAACATACATTGCATACTATTTGGATCATCAGGCCATACTTTTTGACGACCGTATTCTGACCTGTTTACCACCTTGTCAACATAGTTTTAATCCGAGGATTTAGCCTGATTTTCGTGGTTTAGTAGGTCAAAAAACTGGAAAACTCATTCAAAAGTAAGATTTCAGTGTAACTTGACTTTTTATGCCTCGAAACTAAGCTCCGGGTACACTTACGGCTCGGTCCAAAATTGACCTTCGGGAAACTATCAGTCGGAAAACGGTCGACAAAATGTCCTTGGTTTACCTTCGTGCACCGGTTCTTCCTTCATCGCACACGGCGTAATCGCTGTTTCCTTCCCTTGTTTTCCGTGTCTGTTGTCTGGGACTGTCCATTTTCACCTCAAAACGTGAAAAATTCGCTAAAACAAAGAAGAACTCATCAAAACACCTTTCCACTGGACCGAGGGGTTTAGAAGTCGATTTACGATGGTATATGGGAAGTTCGCTCACGTGTCAATGAGGGCCTCTAGCGATTCGTTTCAACCTTGCAGCACCCCGACTGCACTTCTACTGCAGTGACATTTATGGCCGCATGTCGCATATGGCGCTTTTGATCCATGGCGAATTTCTATCTGACTGACGTTTATCCTACTACGTTGTGCCATAGTTTACCGCTTTACCGTTTGCCATTATTTTTGAGGATTTGGAGAGCGACTGAAACTCTTAGTAAATTTTTAACCTGTGAACGTACAACTATATTCTGTCATCTTGTTAGTTTACTATAGAGGCTACAACTGTTGGATGCCAGTACTCTCCAAGCAGAGGTTTGGGCTTGGGGTTATTTTTGGCGTGTTTTTAGGCTTTTTTATCGGGGTTTCTTTTTTGCACTGGAATTTTTCTTTCACCCAACCCAAAAAAATCCAGTGCAAAAAAGAAACCCCAATAAAAAGTCTAAAAACACACCAAAAATAACCCAAAACCCTAACCTCTGCTTGGAGGGTACGAATACATATAATTATTATGACGTCATGAAAAGACCCAATGTTAATCTCCAATGAGATGTTGTGAGGAAAGGAAACGCTGAAAAGCAGTACTTCCAAGCATGAATCTTTATTCATGCCAACAATGGCCACTGTTTGCCCCAAAAAGAGAAGCACCACCATACAACTGTTTTGACACTGGAAATGTGAAGAAAAAAAGCCTATGTATTCACAAGAAATTGCAGGGCTGTTTGTATATATTTACTAGATGTGGGTCAAGGGTCATTCCTAATCTCCAAGCAGATGATACGGTGGCAAGGCAGTATCCACTGGTGCCAATGGACACTCCTCTGTCTAATACTGCCTTGCCATGGTATTATCTGCTTGGAGATTAGGTCATTCCTAGCTTTGCACCCAGAATTTCTTTCTGCTACTCTGGTGTAGAGGGAGTATAGGATTAGAACGCCATGTAGCGTACATAGAATGGCACGCAGACTGGTGCAAGGATTGAAACAAGACTGAAATCTGATGCTCAATTTGACAGAACGTTTGTAACGGTTGTGTATATAGCATCAGAGCACACTGGGTCATTTTCCCCCAGTTCGATACAGGCCAATCACTAAAATGTGAAACCAATGCCACAGAGAAATTCACATCATGTGTAAGCTCGTGTATGATACCAGGAGCCAACGCAAACCTGATTTCAAGCCAACTACCCTGCTGAAGTGTGACTATGTAGGGGGAAAATTTGATGTTTCACTTTTGTTTTTGGCAGTCTGGCTAACATTTTGATACTAGGAACACTCAAATCCAAAAACCAGGGACTAAAAAAATAGCCCTGTATCTTGAACCTTCTCTCTGCTGCCTAATACCATAATCAGTACAAACGTGCACCCTTAGCAGCCAGAAGGTTAAGCTGTATCCAAAATACTTTTTCTTACCAGCACCATTTCTTTGCCACTGCATTACTTGTGCATGCTGTATTTTTTTGGCAGAATTGTTGAGCTAAGCCTACTAAAGTCATACTACCGGTAACCATATAATATCTGCATAGCCTTTTCCAACACTAAACAAGAAGAAACCACAGAACACAATACAACACTTCCAACTTGTACAACAAAACTCATGTGTATTGCATTTGCATACTTTGTTTTCTTTACAACTGTACATTTCAGTTTGCATTTCTGACCAAGATATAGAAAAAACAAACAAAAAAACTCTAGGTAGATGTACAGAGAAGTTAAACTTAGAAAGGAATGTGAATTCATAGTAACTTTTGCAGCATCAGATACAGAACTAGTTGTATTAAACATTTCCATGAAAGCGAATAGAAAATGCCGTCACAAAATCACACAGAAGTGCAGCTTACAGTGTGGGAATGCATAGCATACAATTTGTAAATCCTTTGACAGTTTTTTTCTGTGCCTAGATAAAGAAACAAGACATCATTTTCAAAAGAAATACTGACTGAAGTGGAATATAAATTTAACACTTTGGTGGGGTTGAAAAAAAAAACATCTGGAAAGTAGTATCCACAAATTGGAACAAGGCATCATTTAGCCGACAGATAAAGGAGATATAAAAGAAGATACCAGAATGTCTTACATATGTGAAAATGTAACAACTTCTGATAAAGACGAGAGTAAAGTTACAGCACCTCATTGTATGTAAGTTATCCAAAAACTGTGAACAATTACAAAGAAACTTTTCTTTCCAGGCATTGACTTTGGATTCGTGATTGCTATTTGTAAAATAAAACAAGAAAATATAGTCCCGGTGTATTTCACATTTTAGAACCCTGTCCATTGTAAATTTTGTAAATGTATAATGTTGTATTTCTATAGGCACATGACAAGAGAGAGAGTGGTACAGAAAAGTCTAAACAAGTTGGAAGAACAGTGGCAACAAATGTTCTCTCTATTCACTTAAATAACTCTTCTCACTTTTACCATTTGTACCACAACGTCATCATCATATAAATATCTACTGTACAAAATATTTCACAGTTTCTAGTCTAGTATGACATAAGGCAGAACTTGTAACACCCCGTCTTCGAATGAGTCTTTCTCGCAGCATTCGGTCCAGTCTCTCCAGTCCCCATTGTCGTCAAAACAGCCGCTAACGCCCGGCCACTTTTCACTACTCAGTCTCTGTAAGTCTTCGTCGGAAACCGGGCGATCCACCCCTGGTCTCGGCTCGCCTTCTGTCGCTTTGATCAGCTCGAGCGCCCGTTGTCGCTTCAGTTCTCGCTCCTTAGCAGCCTCGTCTGTGATTGGTTTAGATATACTGTGCGACTTGCCCGCTGCCATTGGCTGATGCAAGTCATGTGACAGTCCCGGAAACCCTGGCCGCCCCGCCGCCGACAAGTTGGGCACGAAATCGCGGTCGTACGAAACTGAAACCGTCACCGCGGGACTCTGCGGCACGTTGGGCACGATTTGTCGGGTCACCGGGTCGAAGGTCAAAGACCGCTGTTTCAGCTTGACCCTCTTGGCAGGTTTGACCTCTGAACTTTCCTCCGGAGATTCCTCAACCAGCTCGTTGTTCTTCGACTTGTCCTTCTTCTTGGAAGATTTGGACTTTTTCTTACCTTCCGTTTTCTCACCGGATGTTTGTGAACCGGAAAGTTCTGAAGCACCAAAAGTTTCTGACGTACTGGACAGCCGGACTTTGACTGGGGATACGGAGCTGCTTTGTACTAGAGTGGAGGAGGGTGGGGACAGTTCTTCCTCTTTTTTCGTGTCCACTCTGTCTCTGTTTGCTAACTCTGTCGGCGCGGCTAAACTGGGAGGCGGTCTGGGAGACCCAACACTGGCACTTGTAACGTTCGCGGGGAGGGACTTCGTTGACGTGAGATCGGGGGTAGGTGGGGGGGTGTCAAACGTATTGCTGTCGTGTAACAACTGTAACTGTCCACTGGGTACAAACTGAACAGGGCTAGCAGTTTTCCTCACACTTCCCACAGGACTAGACGTTTTCCTCGGGCCTCCAATGGGACTAGAGGTGGTTTTTCGTAAGCTTGCGACAGGGCTGGATGTCTTTCTTAAGCTTCCAGCTACCGCAGGGCTACCAGGAGCGAGTTTTCTTACCCCCAGTGCAGGACTGTTGGATCGAGCTTTGGTACTGGCTATAGCGGGGCTTCCAGGTCTCCTTTCTGCGAAGGCGGGACTCTGCGGTTTTCTGTTTAAGGAGGCTGCGGGGCTGTGGTTTCTTCTAGAGGTGGGGAGAGGGCTGGGGACTGGGCTGTCACGGTCGCGAGGGAGACCATTGATTGCGACAGACGAAGCTTGGCTTGGTGTCGCCGGTCGCTTGGGTTTGGGTCCCTCGTCGGTGTCGGTGCTGAGTTTTCTTCGCTTGCGGTTGGCGGAATTTGTTTTCTCTAGGACTGCGCTGGAGCCGGAGCTGGAGCCGGGGCGAGCCTCGGTCGGCTTGGCGGGGAGCTTGGGGGAGATTCCCGGCCGTGTCATGGCGATCTGGGAGGATAAAAGAGGTTTGGAATTTTGTAAAGTTGACATATAAAGATATACCCACTAAAAAGTCAAGCTATACATGTAGATAAAGCATTGCTAAAGTGGAAAAAACAGCAGTAACATATCTTTCAAAAAGGCAAAACATATACTGATCTGAGTCAATATGCACAGACAGAGGCAGATTTTAAAAAATAGATACAAAATCTGTCTCTTCTACAAGTTGGATCGCTAATTGTTATCTTCAGAAGGATCCTCTATTTAGGAAGAAGGAATTTAAGGGATTTAAGAGAAGGAATGTCCATCAAGAATTCCATGAACCCATATCTCAACTTTATCAAGAATTTCTTTAAAAAGTCAACATCCAAGTAACCACACATTCAGGTGCTACAATTTCTGAATCTGATCTGTTCCTGAATTGGACAGCCAGCATAACCACCATTTGGAACAACATACCAGCTTGAATGTTCTAATAATGAGGACCAGAAAGGATGGCAGAATTGTGTGGACTGTCAGACTGTCCCTACAGCTGATGAGCTAGGGGTCTGAGAGAGAGAGAGAGAGAGAGAGAGAGAGAGAGACAGAGAGAGAGAGACAGAGAGAGAAAGAGACAGAGAGAGAGAGAGATTATTTCAAACCTACCTTGGGACTGATTCCCTGGTTGCTAGGCGTGTCTGGTGCCTGGATGTCCCCGGCGATGATGAGCTTCTGCCAGATCCTGACCAGCTGCTTGAGCCGCTTGGCCAGGTCAGCGTTGTTCGTCTTACGCCGGACATCGTTCACGTACTTCCCCAGACGCGTCTTCTGCAGGAACACGGTGCAAAAAGGTTTAACGAAATTAGCTTGATACGTCGGTGAAGGTTAGACATCCAGGTAATACGATATGCCAAAAAACAGTCACTCAGGCAACTGGATATGAACAGAAGCCTAAGTTTACGTGTTGATAGTTTGTGCTTATAAACCTGCCTTTCTCCTGCAAGTCTCTAGTGTCACTGACGAAAGGTAGTGGATACTACCTGAAATCATATCCAGTTGCTTGAGTAACTGTACTTGACAAAATTAGTAGATGTATGTGGATTTCTATTTGCTGTATTGAAAGGAAAAATGGCAATGGTTTTTGAACAGTTTTTAGTATGACCCATACTTTTTAAATTCTGAGCAGTGCAGGTAAAACATGTCTAGTGTAGGTAATTTTCCATGTTACCTGCACCAGTGCAGGCATACAGAAAAAAGGATGTCAAGGCCTGTTGAGTGAGAATCCAAACACTAACACTTGTGACAGTCACATGTTCAGGACTGTTCTTACCTCCAGGGCATCCTTTGTCATCGTGGTCTTCTCCAGAGCACTGACCACCTCCAACACTCCCTCCATGTCAACAATCTGGAGAGACAAACAAACATAACACTTTAGAAATCCATTCAACAACATCATGCAGCAGTTACACTTAACAGTGACCACCTCCCACACTCCCTCCATGTGAACAATCTAGACTAGAGAGACAAACAAATGAATGTAACTCTTCAGAAATCTGTTTACATAATTCTACAGTCAAACTCAAAGTGATCACTGCAATTTGCCATTCCAAGTGTCCACATGACACATATCTTCGTATGTGATTTTGACTTTCAAATTCATTCATTGTCATCTCAGGGTGCAAATTCATGCATCTAGAAGGAACTAATCTCCAAGCAGATCCTATGGTGGCAAGATGAGGGGTGAAGAAGAAAAGCCTTGCCACCATAGGATCTGATTGGAGATTAGAGGCGACCCCTCACTTAGCTCCATATCATGTACCATATACCAGTCTTGTCTTCACCATGTGTGGCCCAGGTCTTTCAAATTAACCAAGAAGCTGGTAGAACATTTCCATATGACTCATAGCAAGAAGGTCTGCTGCAGCATAACCAAACAGCAGTGACTCAAGTGTATCTATTAGTAGTTCAAATTTGTACTAAATTCACCTAAAACATATCAGCTAGCATGAGAAAAATGATTATGATAAACTGATAAACCCTCATGTAAAGTTTGGACGAGTAACTGTAAGCCTACACTTTACATGTATGTCTTACAAGTTACATGAAAGGCCTTCTAACATACAACAGATTCACAGAACACATGGAACCCTGGTTCCAATATTCTAAAGAATCTAATCTGCAAAAGCCTGCTCATAGAGGCATTCCATAGATATTTCAACAGTTGATGCAACAATTTGGATGTAGTGCAGAGCTCTACCATTTGCAGAATTAATAGATCTAACTTGCAATTTGCCATTCCATGATTTGATAGTCGCCCTATGTGGCAGAGACTGCCATTCTCAAATAGGACTATTCAGTGATAACCGAAGCTGTAGAGCTGATTTTGCCATGGTTAATACAATTCTGTATCTGTATCTGTATCTGTATAGCCGGTATAACCGCCTTTCGGCGTAACACACCAGCTTCTGTATCTGTATAGCCGGTATAACCGCCTTTCGGCGTAACACACCAGCTTCTGTATCTGTATAGCCGGTATAACCGCCCTTCGGCGTAACACACCAGCTTCTGTATCTGTATAGCCGGTATAACCGCCTTTCGGCGTAACACACCAGCTTCTGTATCTGTATAGCCGGTATAACCGCCTTTCGGCGTAACACACCAGCTTACAAGGTAGAATAATACATAATACAAAATCAAGCAAGCAACTTGACAAATTTTGTATCTATCTGTATCTGTATAGCCGGTATAACCGCCCTTCGGTGTAACACACCAGCTTCGCAGGCACACGGCGCAGCAGCAGCTGGCTACATTACACGATCGACTTATTACACCTAACCCTTGAACATCTAACCCTAGACATTGTTTAAAGCTATCTAATGATAAAGCCCCTACTGTACTTGGTGACAGCGAGTTCCACTCTGCGATAGTTCTAGGAAAGAATGAATTCAAAGAGTCAGACGTTTTCGATTTCAGATAGCATCCACTGTCTTTCTTCAGTGACTGAGAATGACAAAGAAATTTACGACTGGTTTTGATTAGAACCTGCATGCGATTCACACATGCATACAACAGTGCACCGCCCAATGGCAAACAGCAAATCAACCATGTTTTGTGGACCAGTTGTTGAGTCATGGATTAGAGTCAGTTTAACAAAAGCTAGGTGAGAAATCCTAATGAAAGACTTCCAGATGTGTATTGTATAGTATCCCTAGCCTCTACCAGGCTTCAGAAGTGGCTGGAAAGAGTAGAAATTAGAGTAGAAATTGTCCAAATAGTCGCTCAGAAAACATGCCAGGGGAGTTGGTCTACAAGAGGAGTACAGTTAGCCTCTTAGCTTCAGAGGTGGCTGGAAAAAGTAGAAATTGGCCAACTACTACTTGAACTAGACAGATAACATGCCAGGGGAGTTGGTCTGCTAAAGGAGCACATTTTGCCGGCTCAGGATAGACTATTGTGAATACTACACTGGCAACATTACACAAATAGACAAATAAATAAAATGCAAGAATGTCTAATTTAGACATAGCTGTCTACACTACAGAGTAAATACTTTGGTTTTCATTAACAATGGAACTAAGGCCTCTACCATGTGACTAAACTGCCAAGGTTCTAGATACTATAAATTCTGGAGAACTGTTTATACTTTGAAAATGATAATTTCTTCCTGTTGGTTAACCAACTTCTTGTTCTCAAAAAATTGATGGATGTAAAAATTATTCACAGCTGGCCTCTTTGAAGCAAAGAAGCCAGCTGAAGGAAGAATGATTTTTTTCCTCATAAAACGAGTGCAGAATTCATTAATATCTCGAATAAACCCAGTACAGTTTTTTAGGGTTCTGATCTAATAATTACGACATTTAAGCTAAGTCAATTTCTAGATATCTCTCTATAGTTAGACGACTATACAGCTGAAATTACAGATACGATTCGTATTTGGGAAGGGGGTACAAAAATTAAATCAAATCGCATAAACAAGTTCCTTGGAAACCAAAGACCGATTTACCAAACAGAGAATTTATAAAAACCTGAAATCCTAAGAGCTAGGCAAACACACACATGTGGCAAATTATCAAGCTCCAAAATATATTCCCATCGCATGTCTTATGCCCCCCTCCCCACTCGAACACTGGCGATAACAGAAATGTTCGTACAACTAACGTAACCCGTCCAAAATACTGCAATAATTATCGCGGAAGACGGCGTTTTGTTTACATATTTTCCGCATGAGATGAGGAACTTCTAATCTGGAATTTGAGGGCGAAATGGAGCTTGATTTCTTCGAAATGTTTGACAAAACGGGTGGAAGAAGGAGCGAAACACACTAGGGCGGCAATCTAGCCATGGCGGACGTGACGAAAAAAAAAGAGGGAGAATCTCGCTCGAAACCAAGCAAACTCTTTCCCCGTTTTCCACGATAAAACAACGCCTAGACGCAAAAATTTCCTCACGTTGGCATCCTGGTCGATCGCCCGTAGCAGCCTATTCTTGATTTGATGCGGATTGGAGTTCATGGGGCCCGGCAGAGGCGACTTTTGCGGGACCGTTTTCTCGTCCGTGCCGATCAGCGGCCGACATAACGCACCACTGGTACCCCGGCCCTCCCACCATCCCTCACTCCAGAATATTATGGGATGCATGGCAGCATATTATGGGCTGGAATGACGTCTTCCTGACGTCATGCCGGCAGCCCATAATATGCGTCCCAGAGGTCAAACTGGGTCAACTGGGCACGTCATTTGTAGGTATCGGACCGCAGTTTCCTTTACAATTTCGTAGGTAGGTGCAACGGGAAACGACGTCGACGTAAAGCCGAGCTAGTATCCTACCTGCCGACATAGTATACCGAAAATGCGCGGCGGGAAATTCAAATTTGGTGCATATGTGAATAAAGAGTCAACTTCAAAGCAAGGGCATTCTTTTAATATATCCTCAGTGGTCAAAGTCAAAATCTCAACTTTATTGCACAGCCCCAATTGTAACATGTACAATGTATGGCAAGTACTTGAACGTTACTAAATATCAAAACTAATAACGCCCACAATGCCATTGCCTATATAAAAATGCAAACCCTAACTCAGTATGAGATCGAGAAAACCTAAAGAACATGCGAAACGAATGGAGGAACAACAAGTTGCATGTATTTACAGACATCTTTGCCTTTCGTTAATATTTAACTTTCTAAGTTTCTTCGTGAGTTGTTCTTATCAGGGTTCAGCAACCTTTGTACTGAAAAGTGGGTCAACACGTGTTCCAACAGGTGGGCACCTGTCCCAACAAGTGAGACACGTGAAGAAACAATGAAAGAACAAATACCTGTCCCTTGTACTGAACAAACAGTTTTTTCAATCCTACGAAACGGACATCAGTTCTTCTTGTTCTTGTTTGGATACTGCACAACACCCCTAGATATATTGGGGTAAAATGTGCAGGGGAGATCAGTGATCTTAGATGAACAACTGATAATAAACCACCATCAAAATGGTGATAAAGAGAAGAAAGATCTCAGAGAAAAGCCAAGTGGGACTCAGTTGGGAAGAAACTAGACATTAACGGTAGACCTAAGGGATGGAAAATTTTATTGACGCTGGTATTAAAATTCAGGAAATCATAGTGAAAGAAAGCACTACGCTATGAATACATCTCATAGGGCATATGACAACATCATCAAAATTAAAAAGTATGAATTGCTGAGTCACGAAAGTAAATAAACATCATTAGCACGTTTGCAAACTTTGCTAAGTGCTGGTCTAATCATTAACAACTGGCCGAAGAAAATTAGTGATAAAACGTCGTTTCTTAGGCGACCAGAACTGTCACCTTGTGAAAGGCTATTATGTAAGAATTACAAAACGACCACGTGCCAGACTCAATATATAAAGGCGTGCCACATAACAACCAACGCATTTCAGCCGAAGAGTACGTGGATAAGTGCTCGGAAACCAAGACGCTAACCTACGCAGACAAATGGTGAGTTAAACACGCTTATTCTAGGCCTATTGATTTGCTGATACAATCCACAATATGCAAGCTCTCAAAACAAGCCTCTGCCGCTATCTTCTGACATAGTCACATAACTCCTGTCGTAACTACCTAGCTCAGTGCCTTAATGGTCAATTAGCTAGTTGCATTGAGCAATTCCATCAAAAAACTACAAATCATGAGATGACGCTCCATGTGTGTATCTATGTCTCTACCCTTGCATGATGCGTCTACAACTGAAAATACTGAATCATTGCTTCCATGCCAGTACTAATTGGTTTTTAAATTACCAGGATCTGGGCATATATTATGTACTGTACCTACACCGTTAGGCCGCAGAGAATTTTGGTCGGTATTACCCATGGCCAGAGCAATCATTGCAGCGGAAATTCGCTCCTTTGACCACTTCTTTACTGCTGATATCCCACAGGCTTTGGACACTACGATGACGATGGAGGAAGACAAAGACCAGCCGCCCAGACACAAGCCTCTGGGCATCCTGCTGATCTTCTTCGCCTGGTTAACCTACGTCATCAGGCTGGTGTTCGGCTGGCTCAACCTCTCGAGCGCGATTCCTGGTGAGTTAAGTCTGTATCTGTATCTGTATAGCCGGTATAACCGCCTTTCGGCGTAACACACCAGCTTAAGTCGATGAGCTATCAAAGCAATCATTAACTCATGGTACTGCTGGATCTCTACCAGAGTGTCATGGTACATTTATATTTCTAGATTTAGTTGAGCCAGCTGACTAAAACATCTATATCTGATACGTACTTACAACTGTGACTATTTGAAAAAGGAATCGTAAAGTGTTCAAAGCCCCCAATAGTTTGATCTCTAAGCAGATCCTACGGTGGCAAGGCAGTATCCACTGACCAATATTGCCTTGCCCATCGTAGGATCTGCTTGGAGATTCAGAACTGCAACGAGCAAGTCTTTACTTTACCAAAAATCTGCAAACGTTTAGATGGTGTGAATTGATATCTTACAACTTTACAGAAGATTCGTTGACAGGGGTAGCAACCTTTTCTTTACTCATCCGCCACTCTTTTTCATCATCACTAATGACGAAGAAGAGTGATGGATGTTACTCGAAACGTCCGGAAGTAATCTCCATCCTTTGCCCAGTACGTAGTAGAGTTTAAAATTAGAATTCTACGAGTATTGTTGACCTGGATGTCTAACCATCACCAAAGTAACCTTTTCATTCCTTTCCCAGGTCTGTTCGCCTTCCGGACCGGCGGCGGCAACATGACGTTCCAGTTCCCGAACGAGATCGTCCCCGCTCCCTGGGTCTTCATCGGTGTCTGGCAGATCATCTACGCCTGGGGCATCCTCTGGCTCATCTACGTCACAATCTGCATCTGCCGCAAAAACTCCCGCGGATATTTCTACGTCACTCCCGAACTCTTCCCGACCTCCTTCTACGTCGCCTGGTGCCTCAACAACATCCTCATCATCTTCTGGATATTCCTGGATGATGCGAAGGAACGTATAGGGGCCTGCATGCTTCTCGCTCTCATCGCTCTCACCCTCTACTACCAACTGTATGTCTCGTATTGTAGAATGGACCAGAACGGACTATGGTTGACAGAAAACGCGCCCGTCGACCTGTGGCTCATTCGCGCTCTGGTTCACAACGGGCTGGCCATCTACGCTACCTGGGTCACCATCGCTACTCTCCTGAGCTTCGGCGCGATCCTTACCTACGACAGCGGCTACGACAATGAAGATACATCCACTGGCATGTTAACCTTACTGTCAATCGTCATTCTTGTGTGGTTCGTCCTGGAGAATTTCACGGCGTTGGAGCGGTTCTGCCGCTACACGCTGGTGCCGTACGTGGTGGTGGTGGTCGCGCTGGCCGGGCTCGTCGACAAGTACATCACGTTCACCGGCAGCCTGGAGCCGAGGAACGCCGTCTTCGCCTGCGTGTTGCTAGGCGTGGCCTCCTTGGTGCTAGTGGCACGCTTCTCATTGGTCATCTGGCGTCACGTGACGCAGCCCCTGTACGTCAACACTATGAAGACGATGTCCGTAAAGAAGTCCCAAGTTAACGGCGGGTTCTCTACAGAGCTTTAAGTCTTGTGATCATATTGATTGCAACTTTTCGTCCCACCAAAAATGACTAGGACTTTAAATCATTGTAATGTAATTTTGATGTTCTGTTAAGGCTCTCTAGCCTGAAGATAATGCCATAGATGTCTTAATTAAAAGTAATACTAGTAGTTTATAGTCTATGCTTGTTAGGCACGATATAGATTTTAGGTTCTAATTATGTTTCCTTGTGTGTTTGTCATTGTACATTTTCTTGAGTACCCGGCCTGGTAGAGAAACTAGATTCCTGTTGCCGACTCCTTACAGCTTTTCTGTTGTTTTTAAATTGGTAAAGCCAAATAAATAAAAAAAATATGTACATGGTTGTAGATGTGTATGTGTCATAGTATCATAGATGGATTTATATGTGGAAACATGTAAGTAGAAAGATGAGAACGAATGAATAAATTTGATGATGAGTGACATACGCTAGAAACAGTCTGAGGATCTTTTTTTCTCAACGACGAGGTCAGGGGACAGAAATCTGTGTACGGACAAGTGCTAAAAGTAGGTCAACACGTGCTCCTTTGAACAGGTAAGGCACCTGTCCTAAAAGGCCTTGAACACACGTGTACAGGTAAGACAGGTAGAACACAAAGAATAAGAACCTGTGTATGTAGTGGTCGTTTGTACCGAACAAACATTTCACAAATCTTAGCAAACTACCTCATTGAGCTTGGTTTAACAGAATAATAAACCACCATCTTTTCTAATCAATAAACCATGACGGAAGAAAGAGACGATTTGAAAGATCTTGAAAAGATGGGCACAGTTGGTAAGGAACTACAATATGAGCAGTGGATTGAGGGAGTGAGAAAACGTCTAATACGTACACGTCACTTTACATTTTGGTAAATTCAAGAAATCATAGTAAACTAACTTACGAAACATCAGTCAATACCATTAGAACATGTGTAAACTTTGCTCGGGCGTGGAGGTTTGGTTTTCAACCACCTAGAAAGTAAATAATAAACAGAGCTGTCTTGACAAGGGCCGTTACATCATAATTACCAAACAATGGCCTGTTTACCGAGGGACAGTATATAAAGGGCTGCGACACAGCAACCGGTACATGCCAGCTGAAGTGAACGTGAATAGCGCTTAGAAACCAAGAAGCTAAACTTCGCAGGCAAAATGGTGAGTCAACTACGCTTATTCTAGTACAAATTGATTTGGATCAAACCTGTAGACGCATTCTCTATTAGAAGACACCCCATGTTTGTATCTCTGCCATAGATCCTTCTGTCTAAAACCGACCGAACAAAAATGTCTTATCTTATCGGCCGTTATGATAAACATGGTCTGATTCACTGCTCAGAAGAGAAGTGAACCAACGAAAAGAACTCTGCAACAGACCTGAGTAAGCTTACAGATGTCCTATGTGGCAGAGACTGGTAGTTCTTTTTTAACTTTTCGAAGCTGTAGGGCTGATATCAATTAGAATTTAGTCATGGTCAATATTGACTGAAGAAGGCCTTATTGTATGGGTATATTGCTGAGCAATCATTGTAGCGTGATGATCCTTTAACCACCTCTTTACTGCTTATAATCCCACAGGCTCTGGACGCTGCGATGACGATGGAGGAAGACAAAGACCAGCCGCCCAGACACAAGCCTCTGGGCATCCTGCTGATCGTCTTCGCCTGGTTAACCTACGTCATCAGGCTGTTTTTCGGCTACGCTCGGCAAAACAACTGGATTCCAGGTGAGTTAAGGCGATGAGCTGACGAAGCAATCAGATAACTACATGTAGGTACCGCAGTTATAGTGTAGAAGAGTAGAAGTCCTTTCCAATTGGTATTACCTACATGTAATTAGATTCGTAAATCTTCAAGCAGATTCTCTGGTGGGAGTAAAGTCTATATATATAGGCCACCTGTACTGACCATTGGCCACCTGTAACCATTTGCCGCCCTCGGGTGGCGTATTTGATATTGCCTGGCCTTGCAGCCACGCAAAGATCTAACCTCCAAGCAGATCATACGGTGGCAAGGCAGTATCCATTGGCCTTCGATGGCTAATGGCCACTCCTCTAGCCAATGGATACTGCCTGACCATCGTAAGATCTGCTTGCTTGGAGATTAACAAGGATCTGCTCGGAGATTCGCAATACCTTAAGCTTTCCAATAAGCCAATGAATACTTACGCTTAAGTTACTTCTGTCAACAAGGACTTCATATTGTTCTATTCTATTCTACAGGACTGTTCGTCACCACGGTTGGCAACACGTCCCGCTGGTTCCCGAACGAGATCGTCCCTGCTTCCTGGGTGTTCGACATCTGGTTGGTCATCTACGGCTGGGGCTTCCTGTGGCTCATCTACGTCACCATCTGCATCTGCCGTAAGACCCCCCTCGGGTATTTCTACGTCAATCCCGAGCTGTTTCCAAACCGCTTCTACGTCATCTGGCTCATCAACAACTTCCTGATTCTCTCTTGGACCTTCCTGAATGACTCGCTGGAGCGTGTGGGCGCCTGCATGCTTCTCTTTCTCATCGCGCTCACTCTCTACTACATGTTGTACATTTCCTACCGTCGCGTGGACCAGAACGGACCCTGGCTGACTGAAAACGCCCCAGCTGACCTCTGGCTCATTCGCCTGTTCGTTCACAACGGGCTCGCCATCTACGCCACCTGGGTCACCATCGCTACTCTTCTGAGTTTCGGCCTAGTCCTCACCTACGAGAGCGGCTACGACAACGAGGATACGTCCACTGGCATGCTGGGTTTGCTGTTGGCAATAGTCCTGGTCTGGTTCGTCCTGGAGAATTTCACTGCGTTGGAGCGGTTCTGCCGCTACACGCTGGTGCCGTACGTGGTGGTGGTGGTCGCGCTGGCCGGGCTCGTCGACAAGTACATCACGTTCACCGGCAGCCTGGAGCGGAGGAACGCCGTCTTCGCCTGCGTGTTGCTAGGCGTGGCCTCCTTGGTGCTGGTGGCTCGCTTCTCATTGGTCACCTGGCGTCACGTGACGCAGCCGCTGTACGTGAAAGCCGTCAGGACGACGTCGATAAAGAAGACCGAGCAAAATGGCGGGTTCACAAATGAGCTTTAAGTGTTGTGATCACATTGCTTACAAATTTTCATGCCTCCAAAATTAACCCAAAATTTTAAAGTCATTTTACTGTAACTATAAGTTTTTGCGAAAACCATATAATCTGCATATGACGATAATGCCATAGATAATGTGTCTTAATGAAAAGTCAAGAATCTATGCTTGTTAGGCCCGACTTGTTAGATGCATGTATCATAGCGTCATGGATAAACATATAGAGAGATACAAGTTGGTATAAAGAGGATGAGTCAATAATTTTGTGTCTACACGTCAGAAACCTGACTGTGTATGTTGTTCTTTTATATATCATTGTGCGTTGTAATTTCTACGCAGCAATTGCAAAAGAGTATATGTGCATGGTGTTTGAAATAAAGTTTTGGAAATAATTTGTACTCCTGTTCTGTCGAAATCGCTTCTATTAATGCAAGACCACTGTGGCGTACACTGTAGCCTCTATGGATACCTGAAGCCAATACCTTCGCAAACCTAACAGGGAAGCGTATGACAAAAGCCGAATCACCGTGGCATCCTTTCTGTCCATTCGGATCGGACTTTGAGCTAAGACATTTTGTTACCTAACATTACGTCATATCGTTATGCAAGGATGACTTGTATGGACTGTTCCATAATAAACCTTCAGAATGCGGAGATCTCAACATTTTTCATCTTCACCATCAACCGACTGTTTTACATAACAACTTAACGTTTCCATTTTTCATAGTGGCATCATCTTCGAGTCATAACATGCATATATTAATTGTATCCATTCTCAAAGGATTCTGATTCTTTTTTCTGTGAAAAGAACCCCCACACCTCATAGCTGAATGGGCGGTCCTGTAAACATTGCTACCTGTATGTGTACGTACATTGTAAACAATTCACACGCTGCAACACGTGAGTTTTGTCAAATCTAGGCCAGGTTAGGGACCAGGTACCCCCGTGTTTCGCACGTAGTCGGCGTCGGTTGCAGCACACAGAGAGTTCGGCGAGCTTTTCAGATCTGAAGTCCTTTCTGTAAGGTAAGCTCAGCTAAGTCTTCTACCCGCATGGCAGTTTCACATTACAATGTGCAAAAATGTCTAGGATCTGAAGGATAAAATCCCCCAGGCTTTATCTCTATTTCTGAGCCTCTTTTAGCTAGTTACTTTGAGCTTCCAAACCAGCAAAACAATTCGTTGTCAGCAGGTTAACGACATCAAATTGAGGGCTTTGGCAAGAAAAAAAATCCTGTGCTGTGATGGTTGTCGGTAGTCTTTGTCAACGTCGCGGTTTTGTCGTAGCCTTGCCGAACATATCGCACGACAGACGCACTGCATATCCGAAAAGCGTATGTTGCAAAAATGTTGCATTTTAAAGTTGCAAAACGACGTTCTAATGTTCTACAGATTACTCCATCGTCACCATGGACACCATGAAGTCAGGGTTCCAGCACCAGCCCGCCAAAATCGCCATGATTGCGGGAGCCTGGGTCTCCTACATCATCATGGTCATCTTTAACGCCATTTCCGCCAGCGGGATCGACAGAAGTATGTTGGATTAACGTTATTTCATTAGAGTAATGGTTTGGCTATTAAAGAGGCCTCTCCCTTTTGTTTTAACGAATGAGTAAGGTGTACAAGATGTCTTCTTTACAATTGAGGAATACGTTGAGAGGCAATACTGTCCAAGTATCCGCCAATTAATTTTCATGATTCCAAACTCTGCCAGGCCAGAAGAGGCTGGAAAGTGTAAAAAAAGTAGAAATTGGCCAAATAGACAGATAACCTGCCAATTTGCCAAATGTACTCCTTTAGCGGACCAATCCTCCTGGCATGTTATCTGCCCTTTTGCCAATTTCTACTCTTTCCAGGGGCTTCTGAAGCCCGGTAGAGGCTAGGTGTTTACCTGCTCCTGTTCACCTGGTTGTCCCTGACCTCCTGGTGACCCCTGTCCACTCATCTGGGCCAGGACTCACGTGGAGTCGGATAATTTTATTACCAGCACATCAAACAACCCCCACGCCCAGTCATTGTTTGTCTGGCTTCAAGCTTTGTTTGTTAGTACGTGCTCTCCAAGCAGATCCTACGATGGCAAGGCAATATCCAGTGGCTTGAGGAGTGGCCATTAGCCAACGTATAAGTAGGATCATGCTTGGAAATAACTGTTTGCAACTACGCCATGAGTAATTGTACTTAATGACAACGAGCCCTATCTAAATCTACTTCATAGATAGTTTTTAATAGAACGAAAGCTTGAATACCTGAATCCTGGACTTGTAAACAGCTTCTAAACTGGTAGCAATATAGTTCCCGTCCTGTTGGTCATTTTCCCTTGCGTCTTGCCTTCTCCGTAGATCTGTTCAACAGCACCCAGCGTCAGATATCCGACAGGTACTACAACGACTTCGTCCCTGCGGGTTGGACCTTCTCAATCTGGGGCTTCATCTACGCCTGGAACGCGCTGTGGCTCCTCTACGTCAGTTCAACCATCTTCAGGAAGACCGACCAGGGCTACGTGTACATCGTGGCCGATCTGCTGCCCTGGTACTTCTTCGCCGCCTGGTACCTCAACAACATCGTCAACGTCATCTGGCTGTTCGTCTTCGACTTAGAGTTGCTCATAGCGTCTGTTGTAGTCGTATCTCTTGTCCCTTTTACTCTGTACATCTGCATGATTGCCTCGTATCGTCAGGTGGACAGGCGCGGCGTGTGGTTGACGGAGAATCTGCCGGTAGATCTCTGGCTCACTCGCGCGTTTGTCCACAACGGGTTGGCCATCTACGCCACTTGGACAACCATCGCCACCATTCTCGGTCTCGGCATCGCTCTCATCTACCCGGGCGGGCTCGACAACACCGACGTCTGCACTGCCATGTTTGCCCTTCTCCTGTTCGAAGTTCTGGTCTGGTTTGCCCTTGAGAACTTCGTCCTTGACCGCTTCTGTCGCTACACCCTGGTGACCTGGGTGGTTGTGATCATGGCGCTTGTCGGGAGCCTGGTGGAGCATTGGGGGCCGGAGAAGAGGAACAGCATCTTTACGGCTGTTCTCCTGGGCCTGGCCTTGTTCCTCTTCCTGGTTCGCATCTGCCTTGTTGTCTATCGCCACTGCAAACACCCCCTGTACAAGAAGCACATCTTTCCCAGTACGGTAGAGGGTAAAAGCAACGGCACTTTCTCCATGACTTAGCTTTCATTCCCACTGGATCTCTATCTCCAAATGTTCTTCTGTAGCTATCCTTTTTCGCACATTCAAAATTCAATGGAATTCATTGTAGAAATTGATGTTCAAGCATTCGACCAAATTCTTTAGGTCATTATTCTACCTATCATTAATATTGAAAAATTGTTGCAGTTCCCTGTGTGTCAATTGTTAAAGATTTAATTCATTGTTGTATATATTACAATATTTAATATATACCTTAAGTATGATTATGTTGCTTCATTGCATGTGCACATAACAAGCCATATAACGATATGAATTTGTACACTAGCGACAACTGATACCATTTCAGTGTTTTCAATCTTTGGACATAATAATGACTGTGACACTCATAATGATGTGATGCTGTTTTGTTATCAAATGTGCTGTGTCGTTTTCCATTGAATGACTCTGTTGCAATTGTTATTGATGTTACTACCTAACCCAGATGTGTGTTAATGCAAATGGCCTACAGGCCTACCTACCTACCTATTTAGGTAGCTAGATAGTAGGTAGGTTAAAAAGTACATAGTTGTACTCATATATTTGTTGCAATTGTTATGAGAAAGTAAATGTATAAAATCTCTGTATACTTGAAAGGAAAGGTCCAAAATTATGGTCGTCAATCTACCTGTATGTCTTTATCAATATAGCTTTTGTATACTCATGTGCAGATCACAATAAATACACTGAACTCATGACGTTTGATTGTTGTTTTTCTTTGGGGTGATATCAGGATAGTTGATATCGAGGTATTTTTTATAGATCAGCAATATGTACTTACTAGTATTACTTATTAGTGTGGTATATACATAGATAAAAATCAGATAGCATAGTCAAATAATCTCAGTAATTTTATTGCAGAATATCGCTATCAAATTGAATACAAAACATCACAGCTTGTGCTACCTACATACATGTAAGTGGTTTGATATAAACCAATGAAGATATAATATAATACAGGTAATTACGCATACAGTATATATATAGAGATATACAGAAACACTACAAATGACGATGAACGTTAATTTGTGTTAATACTGTTGAAAAAGTTATAGAGCACATCTTGCTTTACAATACGATCAAAGGAAACATCCCAGGAAACTTCAAACTCTCCTATCATAAAATAGAAAGTGAGTGAGTGAGTGAGTGAGTGAGTGAGTGAGTGAGTGAGCGAGTGAATCTAGGTCATGTTAAAAGTGCCGTTGTTCTTGCCCTGTTCTGTAGTGGGCAGCACGAATTTCTTATACAGGGGGTTCTTGAAGTGTCGATACACGACAAGACAGAGGCGGATGGTGAACAGGAAAGCCACCAGGCCAATGAGAATAGCCGTAAAGATGCTGTTCCTTTTCTGGGGCCCCCAGTGCTCCACCAGGCTACCGGTCAGAGCCACAATCACAACAACCCAGATGATCAAGTTGTAGCGACAGTAGCGGTCGAGAACGAAGTTCTCCAGAACATACCAGACCAGGCACTCGACCAGAAGAACAGCGATCAGGCCGGTCACGACATCTGTGTTGTCGTAGCCACCGGCATAGATAAGAGCAATGCCGAAGTTTAGAAGGGTTGCGATAGTTGTCCAGGTGGCATAGATGGCCAGGCCATTGTGGACAAACGCACGGGTGAGCCAGAGATCAACAGGAGAGTTCTCTGTTAACCACACGCCGCGCCTGTCCACTTCACGATAGGAGGCGAAAAGACAGATGTAGAGAGTGAAGGGGATAAGAGCGAGGACGCAGGCAGAAGCTACGAGATGTTCATTGTCGAAAACGAAGAGCCAGGTGACGTTGCAGGCTTGGTTGATGTACCAGGAAACGAAGAAGTACCAAGGCAGCAGATCGGCCACGATGTACACGTAGCCCTCGGACGTCTTGCGGAAGATGGTGGTGGTGACGTAGAGGAGCCACAGCGCGGTCCACGCATAGATAAACCCCCAGATTGAGAATGTCCAGCCGGCGGGGACCAAGTCGTTGTAGTACTTGTCTGATAGTTCACCTTGTGTGCTGTTAAACAGGCCTATGGGAAAGGCAAAGCGGGGAAATGGTGTTAGGACAGGTATTAACAATCAGAATGCACTAAGAAATATTACATTAACTTCTTCTTCTTGGCTTGGCTTCGTCTCCGAAGATATTAACTATATCAACTAGTTACTAGGAAAATGAGCGACACGTATGTTTCTCTATTCTCATGCAGAAACAGTTTGTTGTTTTCATTTTCACACACACACACACACACACACACACACACACACACACACACACACACACACACACAAAGGTCGAAATAGCTCGTGCAATTCTGGACGGGGCACTTCTATCAGTCTTTCACCCACTGCGTTCATAGTCGCGTCACATATTTTGCCGTGAGTTCACGCGTCCTGAGCATATAGGTCAGATCTACAAAGAAAACGTTGCCTACCTTTGCTGGCTCCGCTGGCTGACAGCGCGTTGAAGGTGATGCAGACGAAGAAGGCGAGCCAGGCGCCGAGGATCATGAGGATCTTGACCGGCTGGTGCTGGAACCCTGACTTTGAGGTTTCCATGGTTACTGTGACGTAATCTGTAGAGAACCAAAAGGTGGGGAAGATAATTACATGTCCTTTGGCTATAGGGTGGTGAGGTCCGGTGGGGAGCAGTTAAAATCTGACTTTTGCAAGATCTCTGGCAGTTTAGCCCTGTGCGAATTCTGGTGAGATATTCTTTGTAATATGGGTAGATAACTCACACAGGACCACACAGTAACATGTTGCACTGACTCCTTGCAGATTTCTTTGGTGTCGAGGCACTATCAAATTGGTCACGTTCACCAGTTACTACTGGCCCCCGTAGAGTGGGCAAATGGCAACTAGAAGTGGCCATATCGGCAGTGCCTTGCCTCGGAAGGAATCTGCTTGGAGATAACATGTTTACTACAACCATTCAGTAAACAAACCTGCTGGTTTGTTTTGCTAGCCTCGCCTACTTAGGCTGGGTGCGGCTATAATTACCTATAGTTATTCCATTCCGCAAAGATGACCGAAGCTTTTGAACACGCATCTTGAGGTCACTGTGGGAAGTGGACCGGAAAACAGTGACAGATATACGGTACTGCTTCTTGAATATTAAATGATAAAACGTCGGGAGTATAGGTCGAGTTACTTACACCAACGAAGGAGGTCCTTGCTTACGATGAGCAACAACAGTTGGAAAGCTACTCAAGTGGACACACAGCGAGTGACCACACTTAAAACTTGTCTTACCGTTGCTTGTAGATCTGCTGACACCTGTTGGATTGACGTGGACGATCCTGGTTCTTTCTGCCGAGTCTAGTCGTTGAAAAGACGCTAAAGTTAGCCGTAGGAACGTTCTATTCTGTGCGAGCCAGTAGTGCGTGTCCTGACTTGCGACCTCTCGTGTTGCTGTTTGACCCTCTTGAAAGTGATATGTAGGACGGGACGCGCGGCAGTTCCCGATGCTTAGGGACTGTTCCACTCACAAAAAGGGGTCAGGGTTTCTAATCGTAAACTAAAGAGGAACTTTGTCGCCTTTATGGCGAATATGGGTTGTAAACGTTTACCAAGATGGGACAATAAACTGTTTGACGGTGTTTACTATCGTTGTATTAAACAATTCGAATGCCTGCCCCTCCCCCCCGAAAATTTTAATAGAACAGTCCATTGTGGTGTTTCTTGCATAAGTCAATTACGTAATTGTTACACAACATGATAAATGCCTTGGTCGGGTCAATGAACGAAATGACAACAACACCACCGGCCAAGGCCATGTGTTACAAAACCACCGTCCAAGGCCATTGCCTTTATATAAACCTTCCTTGATTCAACCAGATATATTCGTTATAACAATGATAATCTTACATGTAGGACATATGCTAACGAACGGACAAGCCTCATTTGTTAGGGAGACCAACCGCCTTGTGGCAACACACATTGATTGTAAAGGGCCCCGGTAGTGGGGGATTTTTTAGGCCACACACAGGTAGAGAAAGTGGAGCAAACAAGACCTTTCACGGCCAGTTTACTCATGACAAGCTACTAATAAAGATTGACAAATTGTGTAAGTTGTAACTTTTCAATGGCCCTTTAGGTCAGTTTACACTTTTTTTGCTTCCAGAGGATAGACGGCGATAACCCCCTTGATAGGACCAAGGAGTTGGTCTAGTGCTAGTCAAACACTAGCCTCTACCAGGCTTCGGAAATCGGACAAATAGAGAGATAGCATGCCAGGGGAGTATGTCTGCTGGAGAGAACAGTTTGCCGCTGTGGGATGCGGCAAAATGTACTCTCTAGCGCACCAACAACCTCGGCATGTTATCTCTCTTAGTCTCTATTTGGACGATTTCTGCTCTTTGCAGCCGCCTCCTGAAGCCTGGTAGAGGCTAGACAAACACATGCGTCAACATGTGAGACTTTCCGCGTGTTTACACACGTGGCAAATGTGGGGCATCGCCCTTAAGTTTAATGATATGCACGAAACCTTATTAGACAACCCTACTTTCTATAGGGGTGTCAGACTACTCTTCTTCAAAATGAAAAGCAAAGAAGTCTTTAAAATTGTCTTTTGTGTTATTTCTATAAGTCAGAAATTTCCTAATCACAAATATTTCCGTTCAACGTCGTTGGTACGTTCCTTTTTTTCGCCCTCCTGCATTAAAGGCAGACAAGGACTGACCCATTACACAATGGTGACATCATGAGGGGGGTTGTTGTGTAACTGTCGTCTGTCGAAGGCGTGTTCATGTTTTCATGTTACACAACTGGTCAAGAATCAGCTAAGACAGAGCGCACAGACTGACTCGGAGGGTAGCACGATCCAAGTGTACACAAGAAGGTGAGCAAATAGTTAAATACTTTGATCCTTAAATTTGGATGTGACAAGTATTTGCACAGTGCTATGTAGATGAACGTTGTGTGTGTGTCTCGTGTATCATGTCTTCATAGAGGAAATCTGTGCATCAGTGTATGAATAAGTATATGTATAGATATCATGTAACAATGGGGGGTTTGTAGGCGCTACGGTCAAACCATCCCCTCATGCATTTGCCTGAGTATTAAAAGATTCGTGACAGCATGAATTGCGTACCCTCTCGCGGCCTCAAACTAGCCTGGTGTCCAGCCTTGTTAGCGGATCTTGGGGAGCGGACCAAAGCTAACAAGGCTGGACTTCAGGCTAGCCCCAAACTACCCTCCTTTTTCGGGAGAAGACGCCCGGAATAGAATAACAAAAGAAGAGATGCTTGTGGTGTAGCCAGTAGAGGTAGCATTGTTTACCTCAAGTCAACGTGCGTGGCGTCTCAGATTCTCCCATATCTGTTGTGCGCAAAGCTATACACATGCTGCCTCTACTTTCTGTGCATTGTCATCAGTAAAAAAATTGGCCTGGATTCCACACTCGTTAGGTGTGTGTACGCTTGGACCATTTTCTTGTCCCAAATAATCAGGCTAACGACCGAGCCGCACCGATTGACGCCCGGCAGGTATTTTCCGAGGACAAAAGTCACCGCCCAAAAGTAGGTCAACCACCTGTTGGAACATGTGAGGCACTGAGGCTAGCAGAAGGGGCTTACCAATGCAACTAAATGCGCTGTACAAACACTTTTCTGCAGTTCTGCCCAACTCGACACAAATTCCCGCACAGGCATGAATACTGCCCAACTCCACCCAAATGTCCGTACAGACAGGCATATCTGTTGGGGCAAGAGAGAGGGCCGTAAGTTTTTTTTGGCGACGCCTTAGGGGCGAATGCAGATCCTGATGCATGCTAACAGGGTGTTCAGACTTCAGTCCCATTCTTGATCATTTGCAGGAAGAGCGTTAGCGCGCGCATTTTTTTTCGAAAAAGACAAGAATGTCTGGCCACGAAATAAGCAAAGGCATTTCCTTAGCCCGTACAGTAGATCTACATAGATAGGTCTGACCAATCCGTGTAGTGTTATGGACATTTGACCAATGTTCTTACACTGTCTACATTACAGATCTAACGTCAGCTTCACACTACATAGAGCTAGTCTGACCAATCCACGTGCACGTAAAGTAAAGCTACAGACATTTGACCGGCATTTTGTATATGTTTCAGACCTGACGTCTAACTCCACAGCACCATGACTGCAGAGGACACCATTGACGCCCCGCCCAAGCACAACCCGAGGGGCGTGGCCCTGGTGGTGGTTGCCTGGGTAACGTACGCCTTCACCCTAGCCCTGAACGCGCTGAACGGGGTCAACCTAATCCCAGGTGAGTTGTATGTGACTTGATGGGATGTGATGTTATTTTCAAGCAGATGTATAGTTCAGGTTTCCGAGTTTGCACGCATATCTCCTTGTAGCGTTTTGTACAACTTTCGAGTGGTTGGTGTAACGTACATGCACAAAACACCACAAGATAAGTTAAGCAAGCATGAGCAATACATCTTCTTGAAGATGAGAGGATTAAACAATTAACTATTATGTCCTTTGTGGGTGGGGGACTGTTTGCAGTAATGTGACTTTGCCATCTTGGCGGGTTAAGGACTACTGCCATGTAGTCATGTGAGAAACAGAATCAGAATCATTGTGTTTACATATCTAATGACCAGTCGCCATCTTGGATCCCCTTCCTCATTTACCCCACCAACATGGCTGCGACGGCTATCTTCATACATGTCCTTACGTCACATTAAAACGCACTTTTCTTCATCTCCTCAGGGTTGTTCCTGAGCACCATCGGCAACATCTCCGACAAGTACGACAACGAGGTCGTGCCGGCGGGGTGGGTCTTCTCGATCTGGGGCTTCATCTACGCCTGGAACCTCGCCTGGCTCATCTACGTCACTTCCTGTCTCTTCCGGAAGCACTCCGGGGGGTACTTCTACGTCACGCCCGAGCTCTTCCCCCCGGTCTTCTACGTCATCTGGTACGTCAACAACTCGCTGAACATCGCCTGGTTGTTCGTGTGGGATCGAGAGGTCCTCATTGCTGCTGCCGTGGTGCTAGCTCTTTGCCCCTTCACCCTCTACCTCCTCCTCTTCATCTCTTATCGTCGGCTGGACCAGAACGGGCCCTGGTTGGCGGAAAACTCCCCCGTCGACCTCTGGCTCACCCGCACTCTCGTCCACAACGGGTTGGCCATCTACGCGACATGGACCACCATCGCTACCCTGCTCAACTTGGACATCGTGCTCATCTACGTGGGAGGATTCAAGGATGAGGACGTCTCGACTGGGCTGTTCACGGTTCTGCTTGTAGAGATCCTGGTCTGGTTCTTCCTGGAGAATTTCGTCTGGGAGCGGTTCTGCCGGTATGTATAACACTGATCCGTTTTTAGCTGTTTCTACTCGCTCGCCTCTGTTTCTTACAGTGGTTCCCATCCCACACCGGCCCTGGGAGTTCTGGCAAAGAGTGCCGCTCCAGGGATGACCAATTCGGAAGATTCGAGGACGAATCTTGCAAAGAAAAGGGGGAGTAGCGTGAGAGTGGGAGGTTTATAGGCGCTACCAACTGATCCGTCTGACTTGGTCTAGACCTTTTAGCCGAGTGGTTAGAGCGTAGGAGTGTGGCCTGGTGGGTCGTGGGTTCGAACCCGGAAGCCCGGAAGGTTAGAGAATAGTTAACGCATACATATACTCTATACGTAAGATGACGTTATCCACACATGTATTTAGCTTTGTTAGATGTTTAGTTGTAGAAGACCATACAAAAGTCCCTGTACCTTTTTTTGTTGTGTCAATAAAAAATCTGTTTCTAATCTGTTTCTACTCGCTCTTATTGTTTCTTACAGGTACACGCTGGTGCCGTACGTGGTGGTGATCGCTGCGCTCTCGGGCAACCTCACCAAGAACTGGGACCCGACCAAGAGGAATGTCATCTACGTCTGCGTGTTGCTAGGCGTGACCGCGCTGTTGCTAGTGCTGCGCGTTGCCTTGGTGATGTGGCGTCACATGACGCAGCCGCTCTACGTCGCCAAGAGGAAGGGCAGCGCTAGCGGCATCACGATGACGTCAATGTCGAAGATAACACCCGAGATTGAGAAAACGCCTCTGTAAATTCCGGACTGACAAATCTCCAAGCAGATCTTTCGGTGGTCGCAAAAGACGGTATCAAATTGGCCAGGCAGTATCCATTGGCCACGGTGGCTAATGGACACGTACTCCTCTGGTCAATGGATACTGCCTTGCCACCGTATGATCTGCTTGGAGATTAGGAAAATCGCGCAGTACAGCAGTTGAAGTGAACACTAGCAGTTCAGCGGTACAGGAACTCGTTGTTGGTTCCTCTGGCTCCTATAGAGATTACATGGTTCTTTCCTAAATACATAATGACATTCCAAATACATCTGTAAAATGCTATTCTTATATAAGATAGCAGAAACCTCAACTCACCTCACCAGTCCCATAGCTATCCGGACTGCGGTAGAGGGAATATAACTTTCATCAAGAGCTGAAAAGTGCAGTCAAAAGCTGTTAATGCAGTACATTTGTATATACCGAGAAAAATGACTTTTGTAACAAAGTATCATATGAAGCACTGGGCAGAAATACTGGTGTCATACTAGTTTCATAGTGTTAATTGTTAGATCACGTACTGGGCATAAATGTTATGTACATATTGTGATCCATCTATAGGTCTAGGCACCAGCTCATTGTTTTAAATCAAGATGCGACTTGTATATTGTTATTGGGCTTGATTGGTATCACATATCACAAGTTGTAGTTATTTTTAAGATAATAAGAATATACTTAAGGCACAGTGCCATCATTTACCACACATCATATCTTATTAAACTTTGGGGTGCCATGTGATCTTACATTTACTAGTATTATATATCTATGTATCCATGTATGAGGTGTATTTTAAAAATTTTACTATGAATTCCAATTTACATTTTTTAAGTGTGAAAGTCCTTAGTTTATGTATCAGTTGTTGCTGAAAGTGGGAATAAAATTGGGTGAAAATGTCTGAATAGTGTTTGTCTCACATGATTGTTAAACTGCCTTTATGCATAACACACCTGTAATCTACAAGTGGGGAGCTTATAGTGAGCTTTCTTCCACTTGCTCGGGACTATTTGTATCATGCAGTACTAGACATTGAACAAAAAAGTAGCAATCTTATCATAATCAATTTTGAGAAAAAAACTCAAGTGCATCAACCAAAAACGGTATGCTCCAAACAGAAGAAAACAAAGATATGGGAAACAAACTGAGAAAGAAAAAACTTTATTCATTGTATCGGAAAGTATGATAAAAAAGGGTGTAGACCCATTAAAATGTACATTTCATTGTTGAAGAGAGGACAGTGAAGAGTTACACAAACACAAAAGATGACACAGAAGCCTGTTTAGGCCATGGGTGTAACAAACACAAAGACAACATTGTTTGGAAATTTGTAGAAAATTGCTTGGAAGTTTTTTGGAGATGTTGAATCTCTAATTACATGATTCATTGTCACAAAAAGGATTTGAGAGAAGACATTTCTTTATAAAAACAACCTTAGGGCTGTACCATCAAAACAAAACAGCACAAAAAAAGGTCATTCAGAGGTATATAGAATAAAAATACAGACTAGCCTGTCTTGTTATTCTGACACAACCCTTGCCTACTGTCACTATTTCTTCATCAGTCTCAAGAGGATAGCTTGAGGCACACCAAGGAGGTTTAAACCTTGAGTACACAAATGTCCTAACTTATCACTAGTATATCTAATATCTACTATCATCTTTGTACAAAGCAAGATGTTCACCACAACAGTTTGTCATGTGCATGAACATCTCTCTATCACAGAAATAAATCTATCATGGTTAAATCTACGCCATCCCTCCAGCTGCTGCCCCTCTTCTCTTCTTCTTGGCTCTTCCATCCTCCAGCACCCCTTCCCCCGTTCCTGCGGCCTGGACCGGGCGGGAGGTCGGGTTACCCTGGGCGTACCTGGTCACCGTGGAGACCCCGTCAACAAACTTGGTCTTGTAGAGAACGTTGGCGTTGTTGAACATCCCGTCCTTCAGCGATACCACTATGAACTACAGACATAAAAGAAGGGTCATCAGGATCAGTACTTACTTGTACTTTGTGCTCAACATATAATCCAGTGGTAACTAAAATCTATCTTTTGTCCAAGAAGAGGTTCATTAGTCAAGTAAGATTAACAGTTAGTAGAATATTCATCGATCAGTGATCAAGATGTACAGTCGACATCGAAAATTTGGAGGTACATGTTTCTACCTTTCAAAAACAGTCACTAATAGATGAATATTCTGCTATCTTTTGTCCCTATTACGTCATTGAAAATGCAAAGTTCTAAGAGTCTGGTGATCTCTAAATTTGCTGGTATTAAGTAGGCACAAGGATTTTGAGTCTTCTTTGACAAATTGTCTTGGCATACAACTTTAAAATACTCCAAACAAGGGACAAATGGGACAAGAAGAATTTTGAAGTCTTCCAAACCCAGAAACAACATGGACAAGAAGACCTGAAAGAGTTTTAAAGTGACACTAGATCTTACCCGCATGTATGCATTTAATGTGAGATTTACTCTTACCTGTGTTTTTAGTGATCTTGATCTCGAAAGAAGGTGAGATTTACTCTTACCTGTATCTAAGGTGAGATCTAATCTTACCTGAGAGTGTTTGAAGTGAGATTTGATCATGCGGCCGATGTTCTGTGTGTGAGACAGATCCAGGGCTGCGTCCACCTCGTCCAGGATGTAGATAGGAGCAGGTTTGAACAGCAGCATGGCCAGGATCAGGGACAGGGCAACCAGGGACCTGCAAAACAACAAGGAATTTATCTGCTTGGTTCTGCAAACAATGATAAAACAAGTAGCTTTAATCAGACATGTGTAGCAAGAGAAAGGGTCACCAAAGACATGATAAAAGGTGGTGTGAGGTTTTAGTCAGCTTTAATAATTAAGATTTGTGTTGTCTCGACATGGAATGATTGGTTAGCAGCCTTGCTTTGCACCCACTGGGTTCGAATCCCTGACTTGCATGTTTTGTAAGAGACTGCATGCACTGTTCAGCAAAGTCCAGCAAACTGCAAAGGTATTACAAGAGTTTAAGCATTCTACGACCAGCTGGAGAACCAAGTGTTCTCGTCTTACCTCTGCCCCCCACTCAGTTCACTCAGAGACTCCTTCCAGACATCCCCAAATGCGACCTTGACCTCTAACCCCTGAAGGACAGTCTGACCTTCAGGTGGGGCCAGCTTAGCGTCAGTCCCCGGCAACAGGGTGGAGTAGATGGAACCAAAATCCTGGCGGGAGGGAAATTCAAGGAAAATATGCATATGATATATACAAAATGTACATGTAGTACCCAACATGAGTAACCAAGATATTAAACATTGTTTAAAACTGTAAAAACACTACCAATATGGAGAATATCACCAATTTTATAAGCCCTATAATACATATTTGGACTTCTTGCTGAGTACACAGTTAAGTAACTTCACTCAATCAGCTAATCTAATCTTTTTCAATCTAATCTTTTGTAACTTTGAACATATCAAGCATAAAACTTTTTCTTGCTAATTCCAAGTTTTCTTTTTTTTTCAAAATCCAAATTAGTGCTACAGTCAAACCTGTCAAGGGACCACGGAAAAATGGTTGTTGACTGGGAGTGGTTGGATGGTACAGTTGGGGGGGGGGGTCTGGTTGGTATCTTGGCAGGGTAGGCTCATACTTACAAATAAATAATTATAAGCAAAAAAGAAAATACAGAGTACATTTTAATAGTGAGATTTTATTGACATCACACACATATGACTTTGAAGTCAAAGTTATTACACAATTTCTCAGTTCAGTCTTCTAAATTTACAATCATGTGACTGATGCAAATCATACTTTATATCGTAGAATTTGAGGCAAAAAAGTGGAAAATAGCGGCAAGAAGTATGACAAAATACATCATGTGTACTTGGCTATCTCTAGTCACTACTAAGTACTGTTCGATTATGTTTTCATCAATTGATACAACAACTGTTCTACTGTATTACGAAACTGGGTTCGAAATTTAATTTTACAAGTCCCTAAATATAATGCAACGAAAATAAGAAAGTGAAACGTTCTGCCTTTGAGCCTTTGTCCCTTTCTGCTGAAGAAGTCCTCCATTGTAAAGTCCTCCACTGTTTAACGGGGCCAAGGACATACCGACGCCGAGTTGATATTTTCTTGCCGCCATTACGGGTGCTGTGTCGGCAACTTTTGCAGACTACTCAATACTGGCGCAACATTACAGCAGTCAACTTAATGTGACTTCAAAAATTCCTAAAAGGTCATTTTGGGCTAAGAAATTTGACGGAAAACTTCGTTCGCGATCACAAAATGGAGAACAAAAATGGCGCTGGCTTGGAAAACAACAACAACCAATCCACTGTGAAGGGGAACAATGAACATGCAGCAAAAAATACATAACGAAATTTCAAGTTTGTATAGGCGTTTGTAAGCAATTATAACTCTAGATAGATATAAAATGTAGTTAATTCATATTTGATTTGCGTGCGGTGACCGCACGTGTCAAAAACAAATTGAGTAAAAGTATTCAGCAACCCTTTAGAAATGGAACCTTCCGATGACCCACAGGGTGACCCAAGCGCGGCCGCCATCTTGAAACAGAAATGCCGAGGAAAAAACACGAACTAAGCATAAAAAAGGCTGCTTTTCATGGAATTCCACGACCATACAACGAATTCAAAGAATAGTTGGGGGAAAATATCTGTGTTTATGTGATTTTATGGTGTGTTTGACGCGATTTGGGTCTTGAATCCGCCGGAACTAGGCGCCGGCAGTGTGTCGAGATCAGCGTGGTTTTCGCACGCCGTCAAAACAAGAAACAAAACGCCCGCTAAATAAAACCCAGGACAACATTTTAGATCCCAGCGATTGTGTTTTCTATAAAAAATATTTGTGGATATGCACAATATTCCCATGTTTTAACCGTATGCTTTCTCAAATTACAATGTGTTATTCTTGTCGCAAGCGCGGTACGTGTGTGTGCAGACGGCGTGAGCCTCGGGCCCACTAGATTTTTTGTCGGTCAGTGCACAGCATGCAGAAATTATGATATAATCTCAATTTGTTTTCGAAATTATATTAGTAAAACTATATTTGTACAATTATCAGTTTCTTTTATTGAAGCATAATATTACTCTGGTCGTGTCATTCCAAACACATGTGCGTTGTGCCGACGCACCAAGATCTAGATCGCTTGCCCTTATGCCATCATCTGGTTGTTGACTAGGGTGTCCGTGCCCCGTAGGGACCACAAGAAAGTGGCCGCTGGTTGCGTTTTACAGTTGGTTGCCTGGAAGGGGGTCCTTACTATGTAAAATGGCACGGGACTGTTTGAATGTGGTTGTTGATAACAGTTGGTTGCCCTAAACAGTTGGTTGGACGGACAGGTTTGACTGTACTAGGTTTTTCCACATAGCTTATACTGCTGTACGTTTGAATAAATGCTGAAATGTCCATCCCACCTTGTTGACCTGTTCCCAGGCCTTCTTGAGAGCTTCGTTCTTCTTCTTGTCCAGCTCCTGGATGACTGTCTGGATTTTCGCCTTGTCGTTCTCCACAATCCGCTTCCTCTTCATCAGGTCATTGTACTGACAAGGAGAAAGAGATCTTTAAGGCATGCCTTTAATAAGGTCACTCAACCCAAAACATAATTATTATAAATCTTGATTCAATCAGTTCCAGATCTATAGACGTTTCAATCCCTATCCAACGATCATGAACAAGTTATGTCTTCCCTCTGTTGGTGTTACAGCTTCAATCGAAAGTCAAATTTTCTTAAAGATCCGTAAAAGTCCACAAGGTCTTCCCCAAAAAGAATCATGTCTACGTATGTTGCTTGAAAGACAATGTAGGAGGCAAAATCACAGCATAGGCGATTCAAATTACAGCACAGAGGCCCCGACATTCAATCAGCCAATTGACAACAATGATAACTGTCCCCAGCTACCTTTTCCTCAGCCTTGCCCAGCATGTTCATGGCCCTCATGTTAACGTTCTTGCTCAGCTTGTCCTTGGTCTCCTCCAGTTTCTGCAGTCGCCGCCCCGCCTCCTTCGGGTTGTTGGCCTTGAAGTCGTACGGCGTGTTCGGCTGGTTGAAGAACTTGCGGTCCGACGCGATCCACTCGTACTTGTTCAACATGTGCTCCACCTGGGAAAGAGACACATTTTTGTAGTTAGGCGAAGAAAAACAAGCCTACATCATCAGTACATGGATATTTTCAGTGCCACAGCAGAACTTGCGGTCCGACGCGATCCACTCGTACTTGTTCAACATGTGCTCCATCTGGGAGAGACACATTAAACTTGACATTTGTAGGGTGAAAGGAAAGCAGTCCTTGATTCCTTGGAGCATATCTACAAATATGGTTGGGATTAGAGGTTGCAGTTTTGAGCCACTCGTACTTGTTCAGCATGTGCTCCACCTGGAAGAGAGACGTGTCCATTGTTGGGAGGAAAAATAAGCCTACATGCACATTTTTTCATGCCACAGAAGGACTAGAAGTCATTGCTGAATAAAAATTTCATCCAAAGCTTTACTATCTCTGAGAAGCCATAAAAATCTTGCTTCATAAGACTTGCACTTGATGCAAGCACGTCTAACCCCCCACTTTAGGTAAGAAAATGATGTTAAAATTGGGTAAGAGAAGCATGGATAAAGGTTAGGCATCAAGGTAATGAGATACACAAGAAAACTGTTAGAGTTACTCTAACGACTGGATAAATTTTGGAAGCTGTGACGGAACATATCAAATAGCATCCAACACTTTTCATCAAACTGAGAAGGCAATCTGATTCTTCCAACAGAATTTCTCTACTCACCGATTTAGCAGCATCCTTGCTGTCCTTGTTGTGTTTGTTGACCTTGTGCTCCAGTTCCTGGATCTTGAGCTGAGCCTCGTTCTTCTCCTTGTCCAGTTCCTTGGCCTCCTTGTTCCTCTCCCCGATCTCCTTGTTACACTCCCTCAGAACCTCACGCGCCTGGTTCAGCTCAGCCTGCGCTGCCTCCACACATTTCTGTGGGAAAGGTTACAAATTTTGTGTCAGACAAGAAGCATTGGGCAATAATTAGTGTGCATTGATCATGAGATCAATAAGAGACTAAGATCACAGGAAGACTGTATACAATGTCATTGATCATTCATTGGAATACCTTTGAGAGAATGTCTGAAGAAAAATTAAACTACATTTACCAAAACTTCTTCAGTTGTCAATCCAAACTATTTTTACCAAACTTTCATACTGTGTTAAAAATATTTCAAACCTGGACATGAAGAGGAAAAATGATCACAGAAAAAGTCTGTGAGGAAAGTGAAAAACCCATGAATCTTCATAGTTAGGAGGGTGTGCTTTGCTTGTGCTGGAAACAATGATAGCACTCTGCAAATACTCCATACCTTTGTCTCTGCAGCTTTTTTCTTGAGCTCCTCCACCTGTTCCTCATAGCCAGCAATGGCCTGGTCAACTGCCTTCATCTGGTCCTCATAACCTGAGATCTCCTTCTTCAACTCTTCTGCTTCCAACTTCACTGCCTCAAGTTCCTATACAACAAAGGGATTACCAATCAATCAACCAATCAATCAATCAATCAATCAAATGGTTCATCAGGCAGCATTCTTCAAGTTTTCATCTTCACTCTGTCAAGTTCCTACACAACAATGAAAAGTGCAATCAGACTTCAACTTACCTACACTGCTTTGCAAATCACACACACACACATTCACAGACACACACACACACACACACACACACACACACACACACATTCACAGATACACACACACACACACACAGGCACAGACACACACACACATACATGTACGCGCACACACACACACAACACAGATGCACACAACACATACACACACACACAAAGCCACCAAATACAATGTCACCAACTTGGGCTGAAGTAACAACAGTAATATTTAAAAAAGAAATACATAACTGCTATAAACTTACAGGAGCAATTTGGACCACACAGAAACAAACTTATTTTTTTAAAGTGCAAACAGAAAGAAACAATAAACAACTTCATCCCCACCTGTCCTTTTTCCCTCATCTGCTTGGAGGATTTCTCAGCCTTCTCCTTGGCCTTCCCCACGTTCTTCTCCGCCTCCTTGAGTTCCTTCTCCCGATGCTGCTGAGCCTCCTTCATCTTCTTCTCCAGCTCCTTCACCTTGTCTGCCGCCTTCTTCTGACGATCCTTCGCTCCCGCAAGAACCTGCTTACCCTCCTCTGGAAGAGGGTAAAAGTACAGAAAAGTTTTAGCTCAGATCATCTTTGCATCATTGAAAATCTTTTGTCCCACTGGTCATGACAAGAAGAACAGAGGCTATCTAAGCTCTGTGTACAATGTAAACTGCCCTAACTCTATGTAACAACTTAGTTAAAAGAAAAGCTATGAACAGTGGTCCATTTCTTAGAGTTTCAACCTTAGGAGTGAAACTTTGGCAGCAACAGCTAGGCTAAAAACTCTTAACTCTTTCTTTCAAACTTTTGGAATCATGTTCTTACCATTTAGGCCTGTGTAATTTCAAGTTGTTAATCTCATCTAACACACAGTAAGTTTCATCATCATCATTCCTATGGATAATCCGTTCAGGTACATTTGATAAAGTCACTCTAGTACCCCCTGGCAGACACTACAGCAGTCCCTGCGAGACCAGTGTCTTTCTCTAACATTGACAAAAGTTTAACAGCTTAGTACACAGTTGAACAGCTGTAAGTGTTGCACTGCAATACCGATGGTCTGCTCCAGGCCTTGGGGACTGTGTACGTAATTTCAACTTGTTAGTCTCATCTAACACACTTTAACAATTCTAAGTGTTGATCTGCAGTACCGATGGTTTGCTCCAGGCCCTGTATATCCTCCAGCTGCTTGTGATGTGTACTCTGCTCCAGACGGGTCTTCAGCAGCTCAGCCTCGTGTGTCTTCATGTCATACTGCTCCTTCAGACCACGGTACCTGGGGTAACAACCACAACATACTTAAGTTGACATCTGACATTTGTCACTTTAACGAAAAGGCTCTGAGTGGTAGAAAACCAGATAAATTCTATAACATAAATATTGGGATTGTATGTTGATGCCTCATTTTTAAAACATTCTTGCTGCTGCCTAACCCTGTAACCACTAGAGAATTGGGATTCAAATGGCTTCAGTGTGCTAAAAGTTAAATCATGTTTTGCTTTAGGCTAGCTTGGGCCATGTCCAGAGCAGGAAAGGTAGTCAGGGTACAACTTATTTCCAAATGGTCCATTCCGTGACCAAGCCTTGAAGGAGTCAACTGAAAATTTGGGGAAGTCCCTAATTTAGTCCAGTGTTGGAAAGAAAGCTTAGTCTTTATTTCATAAAGATGAAACTGACTTGTCAACGACTTTCTTGATCCCCTGCAGCTCCTTCTCGACTGCAGCCAGCTGCTGCTGTTTCTGCTGCAGTTCCTCTGTAGCTGCCTTGTACTCATTCAGCTTAGCCAGGACAGACTCTCTCTTCTGAACGGCACCTAAACAAACAAGTAAGCAACATTTAAACGAACAAGAATGGTCACCTACAAACAACCCACAGATAATGTTAACCCACAGGATAGAGGCAAGTAGTGAGTAGCCATCAAGCCACAGTATTGCTGTGCAAGCACGTCTAACTCTCGGGAGACAGGGGCAGTAAACGCTAAACCGCCAAACTCTGGACCTCTACTCCAGACCGAGACTTACGAACTTCTAAACCTTAGTACAGCATGCCCCGTAAGATGTATATAATCATTATGTTGTCGATTAATTGATTAAACCACCTTGTGGGGTTGTGTGACATAACAGCAGAGCATTCGGCTCAGAACCAAGGGGTTCAGGGTTTGAATCCTGACAATTGCAAGCCACCAGCCTTGTGCCCTTGGGAAAGGCATTTCACATGACTTTCCTCACTTCACTCAGGTGAAAATGAGCATGCCAGTTTGATCATTATCATGATCGTGGGCGTTAAAGGTAAACTCATCATCATCATCATTCATCCTCCGTAGAGGTGGAGCATACAAAGTTAGTTCGCCACAACTGTCTGTCATACATCACTGAGAAAAGTTCATGTCCCTCCAAGCCAGTTTCAGTTTCAATAAGTTTCTTAACTGTTATGTTTGGGCGTCCAACTCTTCTCTTACAGGTATCAGGGTTCCAGAGTAGAAGCCTACTGGCTGGTTCTTCACTACGTATTACATGACCGGCCAAGCTTAGTCGTCGACATTTGACTACTGAAGTTACATTTGGTAGCGAACCGTATAACTGTTCATTAGGTTTCCACCATGGTGTATTGAAAACCACTTCATCTTCCACAACATCTTCGTGCATGTTCCGTTTAGTTTTCTAGAATGTGACATATTCATGACCCATGATTCTGACCCATACAAAGGTAAACTAAACCAAACCAAACCTCCAGACAGCAGGCCGGCTGGTTCAAACGAGTCGCCATCCAGGGTCACAGAACGGGTCATCACCTTCTTGTCAAAGGTCACCTGCAAAAAAAGCAACAAATTATGAAGAGAAAAATTAGATATAAGAAAATTATTTGAAAGAAAAGTCAAACTTTATTTGGTATTTAGCTATATATTAGAGAGATCATTCCTCAAGCTAACTGACATCTCGCATATACAGTTGCCCTCAGTAAGACATCTGGAGCCACATAGTTCCTGTTTAAATCTTTTATTCAGCCTGTCACACTATTATTTGGTACTTAGAATAAATGTGATTTGCAACTGCAGGATGCTAAGATTTAGTGCAATATCTCGAGTAGAAAAGAGTGGAAGAGTATCATCGTACCTTCTTGGCGTTGTCCAAAGTGTCACAGACAAGCGTGGAGCCAAAAACAAAGCTGACAGCGGCTTTGACCTCGTTCTCATACCCAACCAGGGACAGGGCAACTTTGGCGCTATCCTTTCCTACCTGAAGGGGAAAAAAAACAAACTTTTTCTGAAAACTTGTACATAATTATATAATCCAATACTTGTATATACACGATATACACACTGTATCATTGTTAATTTGGACTGTGTATGTTATCTATCATATTTGTATTTATACCTAAGGCCACACCAATTTAATTTCTTGGTTAACGGATTTTTAAAGAAAAATAATGGAGCGGGCGGGCGAAAAAATAATAAAAATAAAAGCAGGCCTAGGCATCCTATTATGGCCCAGAATGGTACGAGAGGAGCCATAAAGTCAACATACCAGGCTGGTTCAAAATTTAAGCAATGAATTTTGAACTTTTAATGATACCACTGCATTGAAAGATGGAATAACTGTAACAAGTAGGATGAAAAGGACTGTTTTCAACTGTTCAGGGCAAAATATGAGCATTTTGCAATTGATTCTGAATTTTTATTTTTATTTGCAAATCAGAAAAAAGTGAAGCGGCGAATCCGTTAACCAAGAAATTAAATTGGTGTGGCCTAAGGGTTGACCATTTATAATAGTCTATGACTAGTTGAGCAATCCTGGCTTTTGTAAGCTGAACTAACAAATAAATGGATAAAAACAGCTTATTTTCTGAGAAACACTGCACAAACATTACTAGCAGTGGTCGAAATACTTTTTTTCAGTGTTCTGCAATATTGCAGAAGAGTCAAAATTTTGTTCTGCAATTTGGAAATACTTTCTGCAAATACACAAGCCTCTATACTACAATCTTGCAAGTTTATAAGCATGAACTATTGATTGATATGCAAATTAGTTAAGACAAATTTTTTGGAAGTCCAAAAGGAAACAAAAGATAAACAAGTCCAGACAAGGTTGATGTAAATTAGTGAAGAAGCTCCTGTTGTTTCAGAACAGGAGCTTAAGTGTTGTCTGTCCTTGGGGCCAAGAGCACCAAATCCCAAGTGCCAATTTTTCCTGCTGCAAAATTGCAGATTGTTTACATTTTTCTTCTGCAATCTTTGAAATCTATCTGCAGATTGCAGACTGCATGCAGGTATTTCGAACACTGACTAGTAATAGAAGTATGAATACTTTAATCCAAGTGTAATCAGTGCTTTCAAAAGACATAAATTTGAAAAAAAAATTAAAGCTAAATAAAGACAAAATTATGGTACAAGAGAGTTGCAACTTAACTATATCATTAATAGTTATAGTACTGTACATTCATTTATTTTCAAAGGAATTTTATTTCATGGTAAGAGGAGGTTTTCATTGTTTTTAAAGTTCATAGCGGAAACATTTCTGTAGTACAGAGGAATACGATGCACATATTCCCAACATCATTTCTTGTAAGAAGTCAGTGTGAAAAAAAGTGAGCATTTCATAAGATTTACAGTATCACAACAGCCAATCTTTTGTTAAACATACTAGAAGTAAATGCTGAGTTGTACTGACCAGGTTCTGAGCTTGCTTGAGGGTGTCATTAGACAAGACACGGCTGCTGATCTTCGTGAGCGGGATGATCGTGAAGCGGCGTTTCAGTTGTCCCTTGTCTATAATCTTCTTACCCGTCACCTCATTGTCAACAATTACATTATACAACTGGGGAGGATAGAAGAATATGATTAACCTTCTACCTGTGGAGGTAGCCTTTACTACCAAATACATGTAGACAGCATAAGGCAGCAGGAAGAAGGTTAACAAGTTGAGCAAAAAGTATACAATTGTATAATGGACAAATTTAAATTAAATGTTTGGATGGTGTTCAGCACCAAGGACAGGCATGTTTGCCTGTGTGTGGATGGTGTTCAGCACCAAGGACAGGTGTGTTTGTGTGTGGATGGTGTTCAGCACCAAGGACAGGCATGTTTGCCTGTGTGTGGATGGCGTTCAGCACCAAGGACAGGCATGTTTGCCTGTGTGTGGATGGTGTTCAGCACCAAGGACAGGTGTGTTTGCCTGTGTGTGGATAGCATTCAGCACCAAGGACAGGTTTTTTAGACTGTGTGTGGATAGCATTCAGCACCAAGGACAGGTGTGTTTGCCTGTGTGTGGATAGCATTCAGCACCAAGGACAGGTGTGTTTGACTGTGTGTGGATGGCGTTCAGCACCAAGGACAGGTGTGTTTGACTGTGTGTATGGATGACGTTCAGCACAAACTCTGGTTGAAAAGTTTTGGCCAAAAGGCAAAATGTCAAAGTTCTGTACTAAGTAAGAGTTACACATCCATGTTATGAGTTTGAAAAGAGAAGTTTTGGAACCATTGTATGTTTCTATTCTTTTCTTGACATTCTCAGGGTGTAGCTTTCATCAAATACACTGTACACGGACAACAGCTAAGAATGGCCTATGTAAAGGATGTTTCCAAAAGGTATTCACACATCGGGAGAATGATTTGATTCCATACCCTGTGGTACAGCAAGATCCAGGAATAAAATTTGGCAATCCTGCATGTTTATAGTGGCTTGGTACACTATCCCTCACCTCACCAGTTCATAGCTGTCATCTGTCAGCTGTAAGGACAATACAATTTGATCCCAGTCTATTAGAACAAAAAGTAAATGAAGTGAAGTCCTTACCTTGTTGCCGGCGGCAACCTCCAGTGCCATGGCATGTTTGACGTCCTTAACTGTGATCAGCTGTGCCACCAGACCTTTGACCCTACTGCGGTCCCAGTTCTTCTCAGGGTCACGGTACTCAAAATCCAGGTTTGGGAACCTGGACAGGGACAGAGGAGGGAGGCATTAAGCTACAATACGAGTGATTGAGATGACGTCACAGGCAGCGACTGTTATGCAAAAAGCGGGTGAGAATTGGCTGATGTAGTCACCAATGATTTGCAAATGTTTTCAAATAATTGTACATAATGCAAACAAAAACAGCTAACGCTCGCATTCCATGTCTAGTTTAACACCTTCCAGTACTTTTAAGCAGATGTTTGAACAACAGCATTGCGTCACTTTTGAGCCAACATGTCATCAAAATATTTTCTGTATTCGTGCAAAGATGAGTTCATACACATATAATGTACTTTTTCTAAACAGTAAAACTGATCATCAATACTTTTTAGCTTTTTGAGAAAGGGGACTGGTGTGTTTACATAAAAATCATTCTGTGTTAAACTGTTACATGTATGTATTTAAACTTGGAGTATACACTGCCAGCTCAGTGAGCTGTGATATCCTGAGTATCTCACCTGGCCTGTAGAGTTTCCACCTTCTCCTGTAGGTTAGACACAGCCTCCTGTAGTCCACGTCTGCGGAAGGAACAGAGCAGACATAAGCATCTAGATCAACTGTAGTGCTGGAATTCACTGCAACTGGATATTTGACAAAGACTGGGTATGGACAGTCAAAATTTGTCAAATTTATGTGTTGGAAATTACAGTTGAACTTAACTTCAGTCCACTTAATACAGCTGTATATTTCTCTCTACACTTTGGCTATCAAATTTTGGTTGCATTTGAGACGAGACTACTTGAAGTTTACCGCAAAAATTGTAAATAATAAAATGATTAAAACAAGTACTTCTGCTCTAGAAGACGCTCCTCTTTCCCTTCTTCATAGCCGAGTTTCTTCATTTCAGCCTGGAACAAAAGAAATCCAAGATGTACTATTACCACTTTCAGCAATGTGTATCTAAAGAACAAAAATAAACTTAAGTTAAGGCAACAATTCTGAGACATAGGAAATTCAAACTCTACTACTGGATCAATTACAGAGATAATTTCCGAAACGTTCTGAGTGCCATCCACCACTCTGTCTATCCTTCATCAACGTATTAAGGCAACAGTCAAAGAACTAGAAAGGCTATCTTTCAAGATGAAGAAATAGCAATAGCATGATCTCTGATGGTCTTATAAGCTATATTTATATGGTCAGGATAATCTTTAAGATCAAGATATCACTAAGAATTCAAGAACAGCTGCGAACCTCAAGTTTTTCCTGGTTCTTCTGGATAGCCTCGTAAGCTGTCTTGTCCTTCTCATAACTCTTCTCTGTCTTCTTCAACTCTGCACGTTTCTTCTTCACCTCTTCCTCTGCATGTTTCAGTCTTAAAGAAAAAAAAGTTATAGAAGTAAGGATCTGACAAAACTAGAACAAGCAGGTTTTGGGCTGTGTTTTCATATTGATGTTCTGCTGATTATGCATAGTTTTCTAAGTACATAAAACATAACTGCCATCACTAAACAGTAACTGTACATGATGGCCAACTAGACAAAATATACTGTTATACATGTACTGCCTGGAGGCCACCATAAAGGAGTCTTACTCCTTTGAATCATTACTCAGACCAATGCAAGTTGTCCTACTCCTAGGGCTAGGCAATGCAACTGTCATCAATATCAATTCATACATTAAGATTAACAATGTCCTTTTGGTTTATTATCATAGAGAATATGGACATGTACTTACTTCATCTGTGCTTGCTTGGTGTCTGTGTCCACTTGGCTGATTTCATCCTTTGCAGCTGTAGAAATGCAGATTGTACAATCAATAGGAAGCAATTCACCATGAAACAATCTCCTCAGAATTACAATTATTACAGTTACCAATTTTTTATTTGCTTGTCTAGTACTGAATCTGCACTGGGAATAGAACAGAATAACTTTTCTTGGAAGATCTAAATTTGTGATCAGAACTTCCACAGATAACATTAGCATTGCACCTTTTCACAGATCGTGGAAATATGGGTAACAAAGTAGGTAAACAACACACAAGGTGGGTGTTAACCTCTACAAATGTAGCAAATTCAAAACGAGCCAACTCTGTCAGGAAATCAATCAATTAATTGATCAATTAATCTCACCCATCATCTGCTCAGCAAGTGTAGCGTCCTCCCCTTCATCATTACTGCTGAGTCCAGCGGAGACAGCCTGGAAGTGTTTCTGTGCGGCCGTGTGAGCGTCTGTGTCCTCCTTAGCCTGGTTCTCCAGTTTCTGCTGAGCTGCAGCCAACTTCTCTACCTCCTTCTCCTTCGCCTTCAAGGCTGCGTGGTCCTGGAGATACAAGAAACAACTCAGTGGTATACTTCATTCACTCACTCACTCATACATGTTCCAGAGAGTGTGGTGGATGTTGTCTTCCAGTTGGTTCTGTCTTGTGCCTTCTGCCAGGCTAGCTGTGGCTAGGTTGAGACCCATCATACTCAGGTCTGCAATAAGCTGGTCTTCCCATAAGTTTCAGCCACAAACATTTGTATATGTCACAACAATGTCTAAACAACATCTCAGATTTGAAGAATTAAAAAATATGTGGGAGATCAGCGTGAATACAGTCTGATGCAATTTTTCCTCTTGCTAAATTCTTACTTCATACTAAATTTCAGGTAAGAATGTTTGAGTAATCTTTAGCACATTTGTCTGATCTTCAAACTGTTTTTACCCCACCCACCTCGTCAATACTTTTGGTGATGTCTTTTTTCTTCTTCTTCTCAGAGTTGAGGGTTTCCTTCTTGTTGTCCAGACTGCTCTGAGCCTTGGCGTCTGCCTTCTGTTCCTCACTCAGACGGCCCTCAAGGGTCTGGATCTGTCCACCGGTTTCCTGCAGAATAACTTACTCAGTTACTGTAAATTTGTTTATTGTTTATTTATTATTTGTTTGTTAATTGTTCATTTCTTGGTCTTAAAAACGCCTCAATATGTAATGAATTATATACAACGAATGTGTGGGACAACCCATTCACTTTCACAGTGGATGTATTTTCCAGTACATTATGAGGGAATAGGTTTTTACAGCATTTTGAATTTTCAGCTGAAACAATAAAAGTAAGTAGTATAGTACTTAGTCAGACTCATACAACACTGAGACATATTTGGAGTGTCATGAATTTGCGGGAAAACCTTGAACACCTGTGTTTCATGTAACTGTAGTTTTGTGTTATGTTCAGCCTAACAGTTACAGAGAAACTGTGATACCTCGTCTCTTTTCTTCTCCAGCTCTTGGACGGCTTCATTGAGTTTGGCAATCTGTTGGTCAATCTGTAGGAGACATTAAAACATGATTAAAACAGAAGAAATTTGGTTGTGAGAAAAGACTTCTTACCTTGAATCATGGATCATAAATTAACCTCAAAAGTATAGTCAGGGCTCGAAATACTGGGTGCATGTGCACCTTAGGGCACCAAAATTTGGAGGCGTGCGCCCAATTTTTTTCTGTGTAGGTTTACGTACGTTAAATATGTGCACCTATTCCCAAAAATGAATTTCGAGCCCTGTTAGTACCTTGCAGTACAAAGAATTAAGCACATACATATGACAAAGGGTCTAGCTTACTTCCTGCTGCCTTTTCTGGAACTGCTGGATGTTTTCTGTAATCTCAGCCAGGTCCTCAGCAGAACGCTTCTGAGTTTCCTGAGGAGGGTTAAAATAGGAAAAAAACCTCATCATCAAATTAAAACATTCACTAATACCTAGATGGGCAAACATGTGTATTGTTGATTTTACCATATACACTCTAGATGAATTTTTTGTCTTTCCATTTGAGTAAGGTAAATGATCATAAAATGAGGCCATCCTCTGTAGTTACCGCCAGCTCCCTACTGTCATTAGCTACCTTGGACTACTGAGGATGGCAACCAGACCAGAGCCTTGGGGTAGGTGAGTTTTTTTTCAAACAGGCAAAAATTAATGCGCACGCGGATGTCATCCAAGAAATCAAATCAGTGTGGCCTTACAGTGTTCGAAATACCTGTCTGCCGTCTGCAATCTGCAGATAGATTTTCAAGATTGCAGGAGAAAAATTTATACAATCTGCAATTTTGCAGAAGGAAAAATGGGCTACAGATTCAATAGTTTTCAATTTAGCAACCTAGAACTCTTCTGCAAAATTTTGACTCTTCTGCAATATTGCAGAGCACTGAAAAAAGGTATTTTGACCACTGCCTTACTAATATGATATTAAGTTTATATACTGTTACTATATCATGGGACATACCTCTGCACAGAAGAACTGGTAGGCCACATGCATACGGGACAGGTGTTCTATCTCACGTAGAACCTTCTGGTACTCCAGATAGTTGGATCGCTCCTGGAAATACAACAAAAACAGACAGTCAGTTACAGTACAGGCAGTGGTGCATGGGTACAAATGGCCACTAATTTTCAAGCAGATGTTTGGGGTAGAGTTTCTTTTGGGTAGAATGCTGTGAGAATGTGAGAAAAACAGGTCTTAAAACTATTACAATTCTCTACCCCAACATCTGCTTTGCCAAAACATAAACATCTTCATTTAGAAATGCCTCAAATGGAGATCTTTGCTTATGACAAGGGAAAACTACCTCTTTCAACCGTGTGAGAGTTGGGCTGATTTCTTCCTCGAGAATCTGTAAGGGAGAAAGAAAAAAACATGTTGATTTTGTGTTGGCAATTTCAGTTTAATCTTGATTCATAATGACTTCCACCAACACAGATAAACTTTCAAGATAACATTAATTGAGTGTACATGTACATTAGTTTAGAACTGTGACTAACTAACAAAACCAGGTGTTGATGAACCTTGCCGTCCTTACCGTGTTGATCTCATTGAGTTTGGCGTCCTTTTTCTCAATGGTTTTCTGGGCCGACTGTTTCTTACTCTCGTACATTCTGGTCCCGGCTGCCTCCTCGATCATGGACAGAATCTCCGGTGGTTTCATGTTCAACACCTTTGTGATGCGGCCCTGGGAGAAACAACAAGGCAGTCAGAGATGGAAAACTTCACCCCCTTACCCATACATACAGCCCTTCCCTTGTACCAACATTGTTACAAAAATAGCTGCCTCAATAATCAAACCTTGCTACATTTTTTTCATAAAGTAGCAAGTACAATTGCAAACACAGACTGTCAAGCTGACTACCTGGAAAACTAACAATTCAAGCTAATATTGTGTGACAGGCTGAATAAAAGTTCTAAACGGGAACTATGCGGCTCCAGATGTCTTACTGAGGGACGACTGCGTGTGCAAGATGTCAGTTAGCTGAGGAATGAATCCCCTCGAATTCACAATTCAAGCTAATATTAGTAATAACACAAACAGTTTCATTACTTTAGGCATCCAAGGTTATGTTGGTAATTATTAGGAAGGATAATATCAGATGGAGATTGAATAGGCATAACATGAAACATTACAAAGAACAGAAAACCGAGAATGGCAGAGAAAACAGATTGTCAGATCATCTGTGGTGTCCCAACAATCAAATAATCAAACTTTAGGGATAGATGAGATGAGAACCATGGCAACAGCTGCTATATATATATATGGCGATGAAGTGCTCACCTGCATGATGAGGAAGTGAGGGTTGTTGATGTTGAGGCCGACGGAGTGGAAGAGGTCCTGAACCCTCGTGTTGCTGGCATTGCTGCCGTTGATCAGGTACTTGTTACGCCCTCCAATCACAACCTGGGGGGCAGAGTTAATTCTTAAACTTTCTTACATTTCACTCCATACCAAGGTATGGATGAAATGTATTGTTTTCTCTCGTTTCTTCTCCTCCACCTCTTCCTGCCAAATCTTCAAAGGGATTCATCTCAGTCATTTTTGGGAGAGATGACCTTAAATTCGGCATGGAGGTAGAGTGGGCAAATACACCCAAACAGTTTTTTTTTTGTTACAAATCAACAATTTCAAAGTTGTTCTTTTCATAAGCAGCAAACCATTCATGATTCGACACAACACATGTTCACAAATCTGGCATAAAATTTGGATAGCAAAAGTTGACAGAAATATTGCCTGGGTGCCAGCCCTTTTCAAAAGCGAGTAATAATTTCATTCTGCCATGGAAGCCATACGCCTGGGGCCCAAGTGAGCACCTTGGCTCAAATTATCTCCTTGCTACCAGCGTGAGTGATAAAGGGCTTGGGCGGATACTTTTGGTAGTGGACAGTAGAGTTTCTCAAAAAAAAAATCTATCGCTTATGAATCAACAGGGTCTGTATACACCCCCAGCAATCAAAAATTAATATACACAAAACTATATCTGACCTGTCTTGAGACAGTGATCTCATCGTACGACTCGTATCCCACAGGGCTCTGCTTCTTGTCGGTGTTGTCGAAGGTGATGGTGACGGTTGCCTTGGTAACGCCGGCCTGGCCGCTCTTGTACACCAGCTCCTGCAGGCTTCCGGCTCGCACCTGGGTAATTATAGGAAACAAACTTATCAATAATCTTAACTAGTTTATAATCAATAAATGCAGATGTTACTGATTTGAGCTAACACCCCCTCAGTAATACCCCATTTAAGGGTACTCAAGAAGACATAATTTTTGAATATGTGAACTTGATATTTACTTTGACTTTATTTGTCAGCTGTCAAATCCCATATGACACACAAATAACGTGAGGAAGAGTCGTGACCAGAACCTATTACATATAGTTGTTTTAACAGTTTAATCTGCAACCTACAGACTTCATAAGTCATGAACAAAAAATATAATTTTTTTTGACAATCATCTATACTTTAGCTTTGTTAGATTTTGTGTACACAAATTTCAATTTGAAGAATGGCATTTTTGGAAACCCCTAGAATCAATTCATAGCAAAGTCATGAGAAGACAACAACGCAAGGAAAGAAATCTTAAGTCTGCTGAAAAGTTACCTGAGAAAGGTTGGAGATGCCCAGGAGAAAACAGATGGAGTCCAGAATGTTGGACTTGCCGCTGCCGTTTAGACCCGTAATGGCGTTAAACAGCGGGTCAAATCCGCTCACAACCGTCCTTTGGGCGTAGGACTTGAACCCATCGATGACGATTTCCTTGATATACATCCCTGGACGTCTGATTTCTTCAACTTTCTGTCAGAATTCGCCGAGTTCACAACAAAACCCGGTCAAAAATGGCGCTCAAATGGCGGTTACCTCAAAATCTCGCAAATTCTCGCGACACGTGACGTTACTGCGAGATCTGGAAACTTCCCGAGATGCCTTGCAAATCCAAGATGGCGCCGCCCTGTTGGAAATTTGCGATTTTCGGTGCAATTTTAGTTGTTTTCTTCCCTGTTTCCATAATGGGGCAGATTCAGGGGCTCTACTGTGGCGAGCAGAACTGCTACGACGTCCTAGGACTGACCCGAGAAGCCACGACGCGGGAAATCGGCAAGGCGTACCGCCAACTTGCCCTGAAGTACCACCCGGATCGAAACAAGGCGGCCGACGCCGAAGAAAAGTTTACACTGATCGCCACCGCGTACGAGACCCTCCGAGATGAAGAGAGCCGGACCGACTATGACGACATGCTGGACCACCCGGAGAAGTACTTCCAGCACTACTACAGATACTACAGACGCCGGGTGGCGCCGAAAGTCGACGTCAGGATCGTGATCGTGGTGACGCTAACAGTCATCTCCGTCATACAGGTGAGAAAACAACAACCCTGGGGGGTCCGGGTGTACACGTCACGCACACAACTTCTGGGACAGGTCGATATGTGTGGTGTGGAAAGTAGGACATTTTACTTAACCCTGTACATTAATGGAAGCCAGGCTGTAACCAGGAAAACCTGCAGCTGCTGGCTCAAACCTTTCTTTAGGGGGCCCAGGTAAAGTTTCCTTGGGGGAAATTACAATGTATGGTGGCATTTGGTGCACAGGAACTGGCCTTTGTAGGCCCGACCCTGGCTACAGGTTAGATTACAGGCTACAGTTTAGCCTATAGGCTACATTGTTTATGATCTTAAGTTCTTAAGAATAGAGAAAAAACAGGACACTGCATGTTTTGGGTTGTTGATGATGGTCAACTTATTCAACTAATTTCTAGGCAGAATGTTATTTAATTAGTCAAACTAAGCAATCTACAGAAGTTACAGAACTAAAAGTAAAAGTAATGAAAGTCAAAACTTAAGTTCATTACTGATTTTGTTCCACAGTACCTTGGCTGGTGGCATCGCTACAACCAAGCCATCTCCTACCTCGTGACTGTCCCTAAGTACCGCACGCGTGCCGTGGACATCGCTAAGGAGCAGGGTCTCATCAACAACAAGAAAAAGGGACGACGCTCCAAGGAAGAGATCAAGCAAGAAGAAGAAGCTGCGATAAGGAACGTGATTGAGAACATGATGGATATCCGCGGGGGGTACAGCAAGCCGAGCGTGTACGACGTTCTGTGGGTAAAACTTGTCCTAAGTCCGTACCACGTGCTGCAGTACGTGTGCTGGTACGCGAGCTGGGTGTGGAGATTCTCAGTGCGCCAGCAGCCCTACGGCAGAGAGGAGAAGCTGTACCTGATGAGGAGAAACATCGGCTACACCGCCACACAGTGGGACGCTGTCGAGGACTCCGTCAAGGAGACGTACCTACTAAAGGGACTCTGGGACAGAAAAGTCTTCTTGGTAGGTTCTACTGGGTTGTATTGTTGCTTGTACATGTATACCCAAAAAAGTCCACTGTCTGCAACAGTGTGAAAACGTACACCTAATAAGGCTATGGTATGGTATATATTTCAAATTGAATGTTATGTTCAACAGTTGTTTCAGCTTTAAGTAAAGCAGTGTTTCTATGCAGTGTGCAACATGCCTAAAAGAAGGGCTTGAATTAGGGGCTCATTTGTGTTTTTGAAGCTCTATAATTTGACAATCACATCAATAGTACATGTATTACTAGTACAGTACTTTTGTCTATGATTCATTTGATACCTTTTTGTCAACTACTACTGCTGATACTGCTACTACTGTTGCCCAAAGTCTGAAAAATGGATCCATCCCATGGTCTATATGTCAGTTAGAACACAGGGAAGATTTGTGTCACCATGTAGTATGACAAAGTTTCTAAATTATTACACCCTCCCTTTGTGTGTTTCTGCAGCAATGGAGAAAAGAGCAGGAAGAGGAGATGAAAGCGAAGCTGGCAGAAGATCCGAAGTACAAGAGATACCGACGGTGGATGAGGCAGGGCGGGGCCAGCAGGATGACGTTTGAGGACTAGTCTGGGGTGTTTGGGAAATGACAGGATATCCTCAGTTGTTAGGAGTCTGTTGTACCCTATACCAGGCTTCAGCAGTGGTTTCAATCTGTCAGTTCTTAGGTCACACCAACTACTGCTGAATCCTGGTAGAGGGTACAAATCATTCCTTGGCTGCTACCAGGCTTCAGAAGCAGCTGGAAAGAGTAGATATTGGCCAAATAGACAGATGACATGCCAGGGGAGTTGGTCCACTAAAGGAGTATATAGGTTGCCATTTGGCATACCAACTCCCCTAGCATGTTATCTGTCTGTTTGGCCAACTTCTACTCTTTCCAGTGGCTTCTGAAGCCCTTTAGAGGCCAAGGGGTCGGCGCAGTATGTAGGCCACACAAACTACTGAAACAAACTCAATTTGTACCTTTTTACCATCACAGTTTAAGTAAAAACAAGCTTGTCTTGTGTGAGCAAACAAACTTTCCAGTCTGGCTGTTGTTTCTTCCTAAGACCAGAGCAGGTTATTGGCAAACAATGCAAGCTTGTTAGTTTTCTCAACAACGATGTTGAAAAGGTCTGATAAGGCTTAAATTCTCCAGGGCTTCGTTCTGTGTGAATTATACAGACCTATGACAAGTGAGGATAACTGAGGATGAGTACAATGTACTGCTGTAGAAGAGTAGAAAAATGTATATTTATATGTCAGAACACTGCCAAAACAATGGAGGTACATTTATCTACAGAAGTAATGCTGCTGTCATGAATGAGGAAAAGGTGTCAGAATTTTTTAAACAGAACTTGAAAGTTTCTTGATCTATTTGCCATCAAGTCCTTTGACAAGTAAGATATTTATTTTCAGAAGTTATTGTCAATGTCAGGACAACTTAGTAAGATGGTGCTAAAGAATAATGATTAACAATCTTTACTCATGCAATGTCTTGTATCTATACCAGGTATGTACAGTATATTGTTATTAGCCACAAGCCATCCAACTGATGAATTGTACATTAGTGACTTTTATTTGGAAAATGTCAAATGTCTCTTACACAATAAGGTTTCTATGATGTTAAAGAAGAACATGCTTGTAGAAAATTATGCTGCAATATAGAGCAGACACTGACTACTGTCTACACTGAGTGGGTAACATTTTTGTATTAACTCACTCAAGGTATATTCTGATTGAGTTTTTCTTTATCTTAAGAACCAAGTTGTTTGTTCTTGTACCAGTCAGCAAAAGATCACAGAACTTAACTGTCTGTATGAAAGAATTGCAATGAGGAGAAAAATCCTGAATAAATTTCCATTGATTAATCCCTCTCCTGTGTTGGTGGTTGTACATAGATCTTGCAAACTACAAAATATAAAGTCCTTTTGCCATCCCTGCCAGTTCTTTCACAAGAAACCGGGTACAAACAGAAGTGTGAGGAAAGATGCATTAAGCCACATAGCTTAATATACTGATGACATCCAGGTCACATCAATTTTTGTCTGCTAGTATTTCGAAAAATGAAAAAAAAAGTTTGCTGTCTTTAGTACTTTAAGTAACAAAACTGGTTGATCAGCATCTAATGTACATCTTTACAATGCCTCGTGTACGTCTCTGCAGCTATGCAGATCTCAAATATCAAACTTCATTTAATAATAAGACTTTCATTGTCATGTCTGGTATTTCTGATCTACATTTATACATCATTCAGCATACGCAACAGGAAAAGCACACGTCAAGAAATATGCTGATGTTGTTCAATGGTGATTGGCTTGGTGAGTCTCCACTCACATGTACCTGTACAGTTCTATACAGTTTCCTCTAAAGCACGCCACTGCTATGTAACCATCAGGAGTCAGAGCGACTCCACTAGCAAACCCCCCTTTGACTGGTCCCACTTTCTGTTTTAAAGTCCCGTCAGGCGCGAACACCTGCACACGGCCGTCTTCTGCGCTACCTACAATGATGTTACCTGCCGGGTCTGTTGTTACACCATTTGGTTTCCTAAATTCGCCATCATTGTCACCTTCCTTACCAAAATCGAACTTCAGGTTTCCGTCCAGGTCAAACGCGAATACTTTGTGTGCGGTCTTGTCTGTGACAAGCAGCACATCACGTGACTCGTCTACAGACACGAACGCTGGCCCCTGTAACTGCCCCTTGCCGATCTCCCGGATGAGGCTCCCGTCAGGCTGTAGGAGGAGACATGATATCTGCTGAGTACGGTCCACCACCACCATACGGCCGTCCTTCAGAACTGTCACGCCGTGCGGATCGTGCATGCAGTCAGGCTTAAGTGTGTTCAAAAGTTCGCCCTCCTTGGAGTAGCGTCTTAAGCCGGAATTCTCGCCCCACGACGTCACATGAAACCGTCCCTCGGAGTCAACATCAATACTGTGTGGATTCTCACCTTCAACTGGGAAGCTACGCAAAGACTGACCCGTGTCTTTATCGAATATCTGAACTCGTTTGTTCCCTCGCTCCACCACTGCGATGTTGCCGTCCTTATCAACAGCGACACCTACCGGCCAGATCAGTTCCCCCACCCCGCTGCCCCCCTCTCCGATTGTCAACACGGGGTTCCCCTTCACGTCAACATCAAACGGACTTCCTGCTACTTGTTGCGAGTTGACCTTGACCTCTAAACTATGGTTACCCGCTACCTCAGGTGTGTACGAGATTTCCCACAAGCCCCTGCTCTTCATCTGTACTTCTGTCGGCAAGTTCTTTCCAGACGGGTTCTTCATCTTGGCTTTGACAGATTTACTGTTCGTAAAACAAGGGCGGCCTTCTTTGTTCAGTGTCGTCAGCTCGGCGACACACTGAAACCCCCGGACTGCCGGCTTTACGGCAACTTTGCACTTCGAAACGTCGACGTTTGTCTTTACGACACCGAAATTGTCAACTTCTTTTTTGACATCAACAACTGTCGTGTTCTCGACGAACTGAAACTCGCTCCAGTCGGACTCCAGGTCCAGTTCTTTTGCCAGCAGAGTTTCCACCCTTGTTTGGACTTGGTTTCCCACCTCCAGAACGTGCACGTCACTTCCGTGTTCTACAGCTTGTTGGCAGAACGTCTGTGCGCTCGTCAGTCCGGCCAACTCGAACTCTATCGCTTCCTTCTTTGCCTGTAGAGCCTTGCCGTCCGCGCGGCACTGTTCGTCAATCTGGCTCAAAATCTCCCCTTCACGCTTCTGCAGAAGGTCGGCAAGTTTGCGGAAGTACGCCTTGGCTTGGTCTGTAGCTGCTTCTTTCGCAGGGATCAAGATAGAAATCTTTCTATCAACTTCTTTCACAGCATCCTGTATTTTCTTCAGACGCGGGTCTATGTCTTGCAGAAGTCCCAGCAGTTCTGCCTTCCTTCTCTGAGTGACAGTGGCGATTTCTACGGGATTGTGATCTTTGCCCGGTCGATGGTCGACCACGGTACACGCCGTGCAAACCAACGCGTTACAGCTCTCACAGTAGAAGACCAGTTCTTGGTTCTTGTGTTTTGGACAGTGTCGCTTGCGATGAAATTTACCTGCGTCTTTTTCTGCCTTGAGGGTTTCTTCAGCGACGACTTCGTGATCTTTCGAATATGGAAACTTACGGTGGTGCAGCGTACATGTCTCACACATTAAGATGGCGCAATCCGCACACCACGACTTCGACACCTCCACGTTCCCCTCGCACACCTGGCACGGCACACCTGGCTCCGCCCCTTTCTTGGCCGCCGCGAAGTCCAGCAGGTTGTTGACATAGAAGTTGGTCCTGAGTCCGTCCACACCTTGGTCTGGTAGTCTGACCGGTTCGCGACAGGTTGGACACTCCAGCGGCTGTTGTTTGGCGGCCCATTCTTGCAGACACTCCCTACAGAAACTGTGCAGACATGGCAGGATTTTGGGGTCCCGGTAGTTCAGCATGCAGATCGCGCAGGTCAGGAACTGCTCGTCAAAATCCTCAGGTGCTGGAAACTTACTCGCCATTGTGTTTGAATACGTTGCAAAGACACTTTACCGCAGTACAATGTGTCCTTCCCTCACTCGGGTCGGGTACACTCAAATTGTTCCTTCTTTCTGAGCTGGGACCTGTATTTACTTGTTGCTGACGTAATTACTATCACATGATACAAAGTCAAGATAAGGGTCAGTGACCGCGTCCTTTGCACCTTACTTCACATGTTCCCCACCTGGCGCACACGTGAACAAGTCTTAAACTGTGTGTTGAAATGACGGACCACAACATTGAATATTTAAGTTCAACTTACTTCTTTTCGCACGGTTTGATCTCAGGCTATGGATTGTGGAAGTTAGTTTCGGTGATCGACGTGACTGATATCTCTTGATCCCAGCAACTGGACGCTGGTGAGGTCTTTTATATGCGTTGTTTGGACATGGAGTTGGGCACATACATAATGGCTATAGTAGATGTGGTAGAAATGAGTTATACCCACACAATACTCTCTGTGATAAGGGATATTATAGTAAAGAACTCAACCATTGGGAACTAGTGAGGTCATCTTATCCTTAAAGCGTTGTTTGAAATTTGGGTTTCATGGGAACATACACCGAATGGCAAGTAGTAGAAATCGAGTTATACCCATACACTTTATAGTGCGCTCTGTGATGAGGGCTATTATAGGATAAAGGTCGCCGCTGGTGTGTTACGCCAAAATTAGTCTCCTGAGCAGGCTCAACACTGGGCTCTTGTCGCACAGAACGATCTCTGGGTCTGGTTCTTGGAAGTTAGTTTCGGTGACGTCACTGATATCACGTATTTACAAAGAACGCAACCATTGGGCGATGGTCAGGTCATTCTTTTCTTAAAGCGATGTTTGAAATTTGGGTTGCCAATATACACAATGGCTAGTACTAGTAGTAGAAATCTAGCCTGGTTACCAAACCTATTATAGCTCCCGAGTCCTTCAGCCTCTCCGCAAATAGGTCTGGACCCGCTTCATTCACAATACGCCCCGTGATAAGGGCTATTATAGGAAAAAGGTCGCCGCTGGTGTTATACGCCAAAGGTAGTCCGTACTCCATAGCAGACGCAATACAGGACATACAGGGATCTTTTCGCACGAAACGAACGATCTCAGTCTGGTTCGTGGAAGCTAGTTTCGGTGACGTCACTCATATCATGTGATTACAACGAACGCAACCATTGGGCGATGGTCAGGTCTTTCTATTCTTACTGAGTTAAAGCCCCGGGATCAATCAATGGACCAATCAATGTGTACTTGGAGGTAGTGTGGTCACCTCCAAGCAGATGTTGGGAGGGGAGATGGTAATGTCTTCTGACTGCCTTGTTTTTCGTACACGCTATTGTCTTTGGCAGGGTTATCTGTCAGAAACAGGGCAATCAGAAGATCGATGTTACGATCTTTCCTCCCAGCGTCTGGTAGAAGACTGTGTAATGATAGCAGATAAACTGTTGTAGGATTCTGGACTTGCTCACCAAGTAGACGTTTTCTAGCCTGCTTTTTTTGGAGATTAGGTGGCTAAACGGTATGCATGCCGGCAAAACTCCTCTGGCCAATGGATACTGTCTTGTCACTGAAAGGGATCTGCTTGGAGATTAGAGACACTCCCAGTTGGTGTGGATTGTATAGTAGGCCATTCTGCTGGGACCTTTGCTTTTATAGTGTTATAATAAAAGTGACAGGCCTGATAGTCAGGATGAGAGTTGAAGAAAGGGACACATGCACAGTAATGTTGCTGTTCTACTCAGGGTTTTTAATGATAATTGTGTCAAGATACAATATGTGTACCTCAGAACTCGCACTGAGGCAGTCACTTTTGTTGCATTTTAATGTCATATTAATGTAAACATTTAATGGTAAAAGCTTTAGCTTTGCTGCTGATAATGATTCATGTGATTTCAATGAAATAACTACTGGAACAAGCATAAAACATATTCATTTAGTGGTCTATTGTATTTGCTCTATAGCATAGCATCAGCGGCCAGCAAATGACATCTGGAACCACAGAACACAAGATTATGGGGTTAACTCCTGCCTGGCTATGTTCACTGTTCACTATATCTTTTTAAACCTTTAACACACATATATATTTTTGAACTAGTTTTATGTATGACTCAACGTTACACTTTGTTCACTTTATGCAAGATTTTAAAACATCAACAAACAAGAAAATGAGTACACTACAACACCTGGTCAAGAAAGATGCTGATGTGCGATGGCGATTGGCCTGGTTGGTCTTGGTCTTGGCTCACATGTACCTGTACAGTTCTACACAATGTCCCTCCCAACACGCCACCGCTATGTAACCATCAGGAGTCAGAGCGACTCCACTGGCATCCCCCCCTTTGACTGTTCCCAGTTTCTGTTTGAAAGTCCCGTCAGGCGCGAACACCTGCACACGGCCGTCTCCTTCGTTACTGACAATGATGTTACCTGCCGGGTCTGATGTTACACCGAATGGACTTTGAAGTTCGCCATTATTGTCTCCTTGTCTGCCAAAATCGAACTTTCGGTTTCCGTCAAGGTCAAACGCGAATACTTTGTGTGCGTCGCTGTCTGTGACAAGCAGCACTTCACGTGACTCGTCTACCGACACGAACACAGGCCCCTGTAACTGCCCCTTGCCGATCTCCCGGATGAGGCTCCCGTCAGGCTGCAGGAGGAGACAGGAGTCTTCCCTTGAACCTGGGCGGTTTACCACCACCATGCGCCCGTCCTTCAGAACTGTCACACCGTGCGGATCACACATACAGTCAGGCTTCAATGTGTTCAACAGTTTGCCCTCCTTGTAGTAGCGTCTTAACCCGTAATTTTCACCCCAGGACGTCACAAGAAACCTCCCCTCGGTGTCCACATCAATACCGAATGGATTCTCACCTTCAACAGGGAAGCTACGCAAAGACTGACCTGTGTCTTTATCGAAGACCTGAACTCGTTTGTTCCCTTGCTCCACCACTGCGATGTTGCCGTCCTTATCAACAGCGACACCTACCGGCAGGCTCAGTTCCCCCACCCCGCTGCCCTCCTGTCCGATAGTCAACACGGGGTTCCCCTTCACGTCAACATCAAACGGACTTCCCGCCACTTGTTGCGAATTGACCTTGACCTCTAACTTATGGTTACCCGTAACTTCAGGTGTGTACGAGATTTTCCACAAGCCCCTGCTCTTCATTTGTACTTGTGTGGCGACGTTTGTTCCAGACGGGTCCTTCATGCTAGCTTTGACGGATTTACTGTTCGTAAAACAAAGGCGGCCTTCTTTGCTCAATGTCGTCAGCTCGGCGACGCACTCAAACCCCCGGACTGCCGGCTTTACAGCAACTTTGCACTTCGAAACGTCGACGTTTGTATGTACGCCACCGAAATTGTCAACTTCTTTTTCGACGTCAACAACAGTCGTGTTCTCGACGAACTGAAACTCTCTCCAGTCGGACTCCAGGTCCACTTCTTTTGTCAGCAGAGTTTCCACCCTTGTTTGGACTTGGTTTCCCACCTCCAGAACGTGCACGTCACTTCCGTGTTCTACAGCTTGTTGGCAGAACATCTGTGCGCTCGTCAGTCCGGCCAACTCGAACTCTATCGCTTCCTTCTTTGTCTGTAGAGCCTTGCCGTCGGCTCGGCACTGTTCGTCAATCTGGCTCAAAATCTCGTCTTCACGCTTTTGCAGAAGATCGGCAAGTTTGCGGAAGTACGCCTTGGCTTGGTCTGTGGCTTCCTCTTTCGTGGGGACTAACTTTGAAATCTTCCTGTCAACTTCCTTCACAGCATCCTGTATTTCCTTCAGACGCGGGTCTATGTCTTGCAGGAGTCCTTGCAGCGTTTCTTTTCTCGCTTGAGCAACAGTAGCGATTTCTACGGGATTGTGATCTTTGCTCGGTCGGTGGTCGACCACGGTACACGCCGTACAAACCATAGCTTTGCAGCTCTCACAGTAGAACTCTAGCTCGTACTTCTTGTGCTTGTCGCAGTGTCGCTTACGGTGGAATTTACTCATACCTTCTTCAGCCTTGAGGGTTTCTTCAGTGGTGACCTCATGATCTTTAGAAGATGGAAACTTACGGTGAAGCAGTGTACATGACTCACACATTAAGATGGCGCAATCTGCACACCACGACTTTGACCCCTCCACGTTCCCCTCGCACACCTGGCACGGCACACCTGGCTCCGCCCCTTTCTTGGCCGCCGCGAAGTCCAGCAGGTTGTTGACGTAGAAGTTGGTCCTGAGTCCGTCCACACCTTGGTCTGGTAGCCTGACCGGTTCGCGGCAGGTTGGACACTCCAGCGGCTGTTGTTTGGCGGTCCATTCTTGCAGACATTCCCTACAAAAGCTGTGCAGACATGGCAGGATTTTCGGATCCCGGAAGTTCAGCATGCAGATCGCGCACGTCAGGAACTCGTCGACAAAATCGTCGCTCGCCATTTTACTTGCCATCTTGATTTTGAACGATTGTAGAAGTAACGAAAGTCTTGTTTGGTAAAATGTCACTTGTCTTTGGTCCACTTCTTGCCGCACGGAACGATCTAAAGTGTCTGGCTAGCTGGAAAGGGGAAGTGCTAGTTTCGGTGACGTGGTTTATATCACGTGACTAAAAGAACTCAAAACCATTGGACGCTGGTGAAGTACTTCTTTAGTTTAAATGTTGGGTTGGGCACAAATACAACCGCTCAGCTACTAGTAGAAATGAGCCATATTCACGCAAGGTCGAAGGTTACCGCTGGTTATGATAACGTTATGCCTAAGGCTCCGAGAGGACTGGGCTGGGTCTTTTTAAGGGTGAGTGCTTATATGTGGCCACACTTATTCAATTATATGGATGACATCTTCTGGGCACCTGTACCCATACAGACAGCTAAGTTCTGTGGTCTTTAGCTGACTGGTACAAGAACGACCAACCCCTTATTTCACCCCACCAGGGCATGTCTCTGAACTGTGTGGAGATGTCGCTGTCCCGTGTGTTTGAGAGCGGACAGGCGTACGTCGCGCTGTCCCGCGCACGCAGACTGCAGGGTCTCCGCGTGCTCGACTTTGACGCCAAGTGCGTCCGCGCCAACCCGGACGTGCTACAGTTCTACCAGAGGCTGAGGAAGCAGCAGAGACTGATGCAGGCTTCCATGGACAGATATGTGGACAAGGAGAATCAGCAGCCTACTTGGTAGCAGTTATCTTCAAGCAGATCGTTTTTGAACCTCCATTTTTTTCGGACACACTAATAGTTGTGGTGTCAAATAGGTGTCAAATTCATCAGCAAACGCTAAGTAGAGAATGATGCAGGCTTCCATGGACAGATATGTGGACAAGGAGAATCAGCAACCTGCTTGGTAGTAGTTATCTTCAAGCAGATGTTTTTAAACCTGTTTTCAGACAAACTAGTTAAGTGTCAGATACGTGCGGACAGCCTGCTTTGTAATAGTGTAATATCTCCAAGCAGTCTCATGTTTTCTAACTGTCCTTTCTTTGGGCACACTACTAGTGTCTAGTATGAATGTATGATGCTATGATATTTCCCCCAAATGGATTAGAGACAAGCACTTTGGGGTTTGTGTAATGATGGCAGATAAACAGTTGGACAGAAGCTCAGAATTGGCCTCCTTTTGGAGAACACAGTCTACTAGTTGGGGTGGACTGTATAGTAGGCCATTCTGCTGAGACCTTTGTTTTTGTAGTGTGGAATAAAAGTGGCAGGCCTGATAGCCAGGATGAGAGTTTAAATGAGGGACACACACAGTACTGTTGCACTTTTACTCAGGGTTTTTAATGACAATTGTGTCAAGAATACATTTGGTCTACCTTAGGACTCGCACTGACACAGTCACTCTTGTTGCATTTTAATGTCATCATAAAAGTTTAATAGTGAAAGCTTTTGCTTTGCTGCTGATAATGATTCATGTGATTTCAATGAAATAACTACTGGAACAAGCATAAAACATATTAATTTAGTGGTCTAATGTATTTGCTCTACAGCATATCATCAGCGACCAGCAAATGACATCTGGAACCACAGAAAACAAGATTATGGGGTTAACTCCTGGCTATATATATGTTCACTGTTCACTATATCTTTTTAAACCTTTAACACACATATATATATTTGAACTAGTTTTATGTATGACTCAACGTTACACATTGTTCACTTTATGCAAGATTTTAAAACATCAACAAACAAGAAAATGAGTACACTACAACACCTGGTCAAGAAAGATGCTGATGTACAATGGCGATTGGCCAGGTTGGTCTGTGCTCACATGTACCTGTACAGTTCTACACAATGTCCTCTAAAGCACGCCACCGCTATGTAACCATCAGGAGTCAGAGTGACTCCACCGGAATATCCCCCTTTCACTGGTCCCAGTTTCTGTTTGAAAGTCCCGTCAGGCGCGAACACCTGCACAAGGCTGTCTCCCGCGCTACCTACAATAATGTTACCTGCCGGGTCTGATGTTACACCTTTTGGCATTTGAAGTTCGCCATCATTGTCTCCTTGCCGTCCAAAGTCGAACTTCAGGTTTCCGTCAAGGTCAAACGCGAATACTTTGTGTGCGACCTTGTCTGTGACGAACAGCACATCACGTGACTCGTCTACCCTGACGTAGCGTGGCACCCGTAACTGCCCCTTGCCGATCTCCCGGATGAGGCTCCCGTCAGGCTGCAGGAGGAGACACGACTGCTGTTTGTAGTCCGCCGCAACCATGCGGCCGTCCTTCAGAACTGTAACGCCGTGCGGACCGCGCAAACAGTCAGGCTTAAATGTGTTCAAAAGTTTGCCTTCCTTGGAGTAGCGTCTCAGTCCGTAATTTTCGCCCCACGACGTCACAAGAAACCTTCCCTCGGAGTCCACAGCAATGCCGAGTGGCTTCTCACCTTCAACAGGGAAGCTACGCAAAGACTGACCTGTGTTAACATTGAAGACCTGAACTCGTTTGTTCCCGCGCTCCAACACTGCGATGTTACCGTCCTTATCAACAGCGACACCTGCCGGCCAGCTCAGTTCCCCCACCCCGCTGCCCTCCTGTCCGATAGTCAACACGGGGTTCCCCTTCACATCAACGTCAAACGGACTTCCTGCTACATGTTGCGAGTTGACCTTGACCTCTAACTTATGGATACCCGTAACCTCGGGTGTGTACGAGATTTCCCACAGGCCCCTGCTCTTCATCTGTACTTGTGTCGGCAAGTCCTTTCCAGACGGGTCTTTCATGTCAGCTTTAACGGCTTTATTGTTTGTAACACTCTGACGACCCTCTTTACTCAGTGTCGTCAGCTCAGCGACGCACTGGAACCTCAGGACCGCCGGTTTTACAGCAACTTTGCACTTCGAAACATCGACGTTTGTCTTTACGCCACCGAAATTGTCAACTTCTTTTTCGACGTCAACAACAGTCGTGTTCTCGACGAACTGAAACTCGCTCCAGTCGGACTCCAAGTCCAGCCGTTTTGTCAGCAAAGTTTCCACCCTTGTTTGGACTTGGTTTCCTACCTCCAGAACGTGCACGTCACTTCCGTGTTCTACAGCTTGTTGGCAGAACGTTTGTGCGCTCGTCAGTCCGGCCAACTCGAACTCTATCGCTTCCTTCTTTGCCAGTAGAGCCTTGCCGTCGGCTCGGCACTGTTCGTCAATCTGGCTCAAAATGTCCTCTTCACGCTTTTGTAAAAAGTCAACAAGTTTGCGGAAGTACGCCTTGGCTAGGTCTGTGGCTTCTTCTTTCGAGGGGACTAACTTTGAGATCTTGATGTCAACATCCTTGACAGCGTCCTGTATTTCTTTCAGACGCGGGTCTATGCTTTGCAGAAGCCCTTGCAGTTCCGCCTTCCTTCTCTGAGCGACAGTGGCGATTTCTACGGGATTGTGATGTTTGCCCGGTCGGTGGTCGACCACGGTACACGCCGTACAAACCAAAGCGTTACAGTTCTCACAGCAGAAGACCAGTTCTTGGTTCTTGTGTTTTGGACAGTGTCGCTTGCGGTGAAATTTACCTGCGTCTTTTTCTACCTTGAGGGTTTCTTCAGCGACGACTTCGTGATCCTTCGAATATGGAAACTTACGGTGGTGCAGCGTACATAAGTCACACATTAAGATGGCGCAATCCACACACCAAGACTTTGACCCCTCCGCGTTTCCCTCGCACACCTGGCACGGCACACCTGGCTCCGCCCCTTTCTTGGCCGCCGCGAAGTCCAGCAGGTTGTTGACGTAGAAGTTGGTCCTGAGTCCGTCCACACCTTGGTCCGGTAGCCTGACCGGTTCGCGGCAGGTTGGACACTCCAGCGGCTGCTGTTTGGCGGCCCAGTCTTGCAGACACTCCCTACAAAAGCTGTGCAGACATGGCAGGATTTTGGGGTCCCGGAAGTTCAGCATGCAGATCGCGCACGTCAGAAACTCCTCGTCAAAATCGCTGGTTTCCATTTTACTTGCCATCTTGATTTTGAACGATTGTATAAGTGACTAATACTGCGTAAGCCTTGTTTGGTATCTAAAACCACCACTTGTTTTCTGTTTCGCTCTTCTCTCTCACCGTCTGGTTCTTAGAATTCAGTTTCGGTGACGTGACTGATATCACGTGACTGTGTGTGACTCGCAACCATTGGCCGCTGGTGAGGTCATTTATATGCGTTGTTTGTAACGTACGACGCCTACGCGAAACCCAGATTGCCTCTTTATGAAATTTAGGTGGCCAGGAAGGTAACCTGGTTACCAAACCTATTATACTATAGCTCCCGAGTCTTTCACCCTCTATTCGGAGGAAAGATAATAATAGCATCTTCATGTCCCAATACCAATGCTGTGAAATGGTGTTTGGTGGATTCATATGTTTCCTTTTGTTGTTGTTTTTTTATCTGGTTACGCTTCCCAATCTAAAAAAAAGATAGGTCTGAGGTGGTGGTGGTGCGTATCTGGCCCGTATTGTGATGTAAGGCTAGCTAGTTCAAACCAGACATCAATAAACGTGGCAAGACCTAAGGCACTATGTAGGTATATTTACCCCACCCGTATCCCACCCCGCCCAACCTGAAAGATCAGAGGTCACGCGCACTGCCTGATGGATCAAGTTTGAAAAGAATGTCGTCAGCAGGTATCACCTAGCAACGTGTTTGCCTTTGTCACATGATACGAGTGAAACCAACTTCCAAGAAGAAATTTGCTCGAGCCGATCGCGAATCACTCCGTTGTTAAGGGCTGAAATTGTCGACTACGTTCGGTCAAGAACGCTAACTCTTTGAGTTCTAACACTACAAGATGGCGAGTCTCATGCCAGACGATTTTGACGAGGAGTTTCTAACGTGCGCGATCTGCATGCTGAACTTCCGGGACCCCAAAATCCTGCCATGTCTGCACAGCTTTTGTAGGGAGTGTCTGCAAGAATGGGCCACCAAACAACAGCCGCTGGAGTGTCCAACCTGCCGCGAACCGGTCAGGCTGCCAGACCAAGGTGTGGACGGACTCAGGACCAACTTCTACGTCAACAACCTGCTGGACTTCGCGGCGGCCAAGAAAGGGGCGGAGCCAGGTGTGCCGTGCCAGGTGTGCGAGGGGAACGTGGAGGGGTCGAAGTCGTGGTGTGCGGATTGCGCCATCTTAATGTGTGAGTCGTGTACACTGCTTCACCGTAAGTTTCCATATTCAAAAGATCACGAAGTTACCGGCGAAGAAACCCTCAAGGCTGAAGAAGGTATGAGTAACTTCCACCGTAAGCGACACTGCGACAAGCACAAGAAGTACGAGCTAGAGTTCTACTGTGAGAGCTGCAAAGCTTTGGTGTGTACGGCGTGTACCGTGGTCGACCACCGGCCGGGCAAAGATCACAATCCCGTAGAAATCGCTACTGTTGCTCAAGCGAGAAAAGAAACGCTGCAAGGACTTCTGCACAGCATAGACCCGCGTCTAAAGGAAATGCAGGATGCTGTGAAAGAAGCTGATAGAAAGATTTCTATCTTGATCCCTGCGAAAGAAGCAGCTACAGACCAAGCCAAGGCGTACTTCCGTAAACTTGTTGACTTTTTGCAAAAGCGTGAAGAGGTCATTTTAAGCCAGATTGACGAACAGTGCCGAGCCGACGGCAAGGCTCTACAGGCAAAGAAGGAAGCGATAGAGTTCGAGTTGGCCGGACTGACGAGCGCACAGACCTTCTGCCAACAAGCTGTAGAACACGGAAGTGACGTGCACGTTCTGGAGGTGGGAAACCAAGTTCAAACAAGGGTGGAAACTCTGCTGACAAAAGAAGTGGACCTGGAGTCCGACTGGAGAGAGTTTCAATTCGTTGAGACAACGACTATCACGGACTTTGAGAAAGAGGCAAAAGATTTGGGTGACGTCTATACAAAGGTCGACGTTTCGAAGTGCAAAGTTTCTGTAAAGCCGGCATTCCAGGGGTGTGAGTGCATCACTGAACTGACGACACAGAGCAAAGACGGCCGTCTTTATGTCACAACCAATATGAAGGACCCGTCCGAGAAGAAAGTCCCGATACAACTACAGATGAAGAGCGGGGGCTTGTGGGAAATCTCGTACACACCTAAGATTTCTGGTAATCATACGTTAGAGGTCAAGGTCAATTCGCAACAAATGCCAGGAAGTCCGTTTGATGTTGACGTGAAGGGGAACCCCGTGTTGACTATCGGACAGTACGGCAGCGGGGTGGAGGAACTGGACGGCCCGATAGGTGTCGCTGTTGATAAGAACGGTAACATCGCAGTGGTCGAGCGAGGGAACAAGCGGGTTCAGATATTCAATAAAGACACAGGTCAGCCTTCGCGTAGCTTCCCTGTTGAGGGTAAGAATCCACATAGTATTGATGTGGACTCCGAGGGGAGGTTTCTTGTGACTTCGTGGGGTAAAAATTACGGACTAAGACGCTACTCCAAGGAGGGCGAAATTTTGAACACATTCAAGCCTGACTGTATGCACGGCCCGCACGGCGTGACAGTTCTAAAGGACGGCCGCATGGTGGTGGCGGATGGCAAGCAGAAGTCGTGTCTCCTCCTGCAGCCTGACGGGAGCCTCATCCGGGAGATCGGCAAGGGGCAGTTACAGAACCCAGCGTTCGTGTCGGTAGACGAGTCACGTGATGTGTTGTTTGTCACAGACAAGAGGGCAAACAAAGTATTCGCGTTTGACCTTGACGGAAACCTGAAGTTCGATTTTGGCAGACAAGGTGACAATGATGGCGAATTTCAAGAACCAAAAGGTGTAACGATAGACCCGACAGGCAACATCATTGTAAGTAACGCAGGAGACGGCCGTGTGCAGGTGTTCGCGCCTGACGGGACTTTCAAACAGAAAGTGGGACCAGTCAAAGGGAGGCATGCCAGCGGAGTCGCTCTGACTCCTGATGGTTACATAGCGGTGGCGTGCTATAGAGGACATTGTGTAGAACTATACAGGTACATGTGAGCGGAGACCAACCTGGCCAATCGCCATCGCACATCAGCATCTTTCTTGACCAGGTGTTGTAATGTGATGTTTATAATTTCCTTTTTGCTGTTGTTTTAAAATCAAATCTTACATAAAGTGAATGATGTATAACTTACCATTACAAATGGCTTATATGATATGTTAAAGGTTTTAAATGAGTGAACAAAGCCAGGAGTTAAACCGTGGTTCTAGATGTTATTTGCTGACAATGCTATGCTATAAAGCAATTATGATAGAGCTCAAATAGGTTTCATGCTTGTTCCAGTAGTTATTTTATTCAAGTCACATGAATCATTATCAGCAGCAGAGCTAAAGCTTTAACCATTGAATTTTCATATTAATATGACATTAAAATGCAACAAAACTGACTGTTACAGTGCAAGTCCTGAGGTTGACAGAATGTATCTTGACACAATTATCATTAAAACCCTGAGTAAAACACCAACAGTGCTGTATGTGTCCCTCATTTAAACTCTCACCCTGGCTATCAGGCGTACCGAATTATAAAACTTAAAACCATAAAACCAAAGGTCTCAGCAGAATGGCCTACAATCCATCCCAACTAGTAGTGTCCAAAAAAAAGGCCAATTCGGAGCTTTCTCCCAACTGTTTATCTGCTATGATTACACAAACCCCAAAGTGCTTGTCTCTAACCAGACATTTGGAGGAAATATCACAGCATCATACATTCATACTTACTCTAGAATACTAGACACTAGTAATGTGCCCAAAGAAAGGAAAGTTAGAAAACATCTGCTTGGAGATTATACACCATTACCAAGTGAGCTGCATGTTCTCCCTGCCTATGTATCTGTCAGTGGATGCCTGCATCCGCCCTGCTTAGCCTCTTCTGATTGCTCAGATTCTAAAACATATCCCTCCTGAACCCACTAGTGTATCAGAAAAACAAGGTTAGGAAGTCCCCTCCCAACATCCACTTGGAGATTACAACGGTATTACCAAGCAGGTTGCTGGTTCTCCTTGTCCACATATCTGTTCATAGATGCCTGCATCAGTCTCTACTTAGCATTTGCTGATATTTGACACCTAAACTATTAGTTTGTCCGAAAAAATGGACGTTCAAAAACATCTGCTTGAAGATAACTACTACCAAGCAGGTTGCTGATTCTCCTTGTCCACATATCTGTCCATGGAAGCCTGCATCAGTCTCTGCTGCTTCCTCAGCCTCTGGTAGAACTGTAGCACGTCCGGGTTGGCGCGGACGCACTTGGCGTCAAAGTCGAGCACGCGGAGACCCTGCAGGCTGCGTGCGCGGGACAGCGCGACGTACGCCTGTCCGCTCTCAAACACACGGGACAACGACATCTCCACACAGTCCAGAGACATGCCCTGGTGGGGTGAAATAAGGGGTTGGTCGTTCTTTTACCAGTTAGCGAAAGACCACAGAACTTAGCTGTCTGTAGGAAAGAAGCGCAATGCGGAGAAAAATCCTGAATAAATGTCCTTTGATCCGTCTCTTGTCATGGTTGTTGTACATGAATCTTGCAAACTAAAAAAAAAGTTCTTTTGCCATCCATGTCGGTTCTCCCTGGGCCGGCACAAGAAATCGGTTTGGGGATACGGGTGCCCAGAAGATTTCATCCATATAATTGAATACGTGTGGCCACATATAAGCACTCGCCCTCAAAAAAGACCCCGCCCAGTCCTAGAGCCTTAGGCATAACGTTAACATAACCAGCGGTAACCTTCGACCTTGCGTGAGTTTGACTCATTTCTACTAGTAGCTGAGCGGTTGCATTTGTGCCCAACCCAACATTTAAAGTAAAGAACGACTTCACCAGCGTCCAATGGTTTTGAGTTTTTTTAGTCACGTGATATAAACCACGTCACCGAAACTAGCACTTCCCCTTTCCAGCTAGCCAGACGCTTTAGATCGTTCCGTGCGGCAAGAAGTGGACCAAAGACAAGTGACATTTTACCAAACAAGACTTTCGTTACTTCTACAATCGTTCAAAATCAAGATGGCAAGTAAAATGGCGAGCGACGATTTTGTCGACGAGTTCCTGACGTGTGCGATTTGCATGCGACATTACAGGGCCCCCAAAATCCTACCATGTCTGCACAGTTTCTGTAGGGAGTGTCTGCATGAATGGGCCACCAAACAACAGCCGCTGGAGTGTCCAACCTGCCGCGAACCGGTCAGGCTACCAGACCAAGGTGTGGACGGACTCAGGACCAACTTCTACGTCAACAACCTGCTGGACTTCGCGGCGGCCAAGAAAGGGGCGGAGCCAGGTGTGCCGTGCCAGGTGTGCGAGGGGAACGTGGAGGGATCGAAGTCGTGGTGTGTGGATTGTGGAATCTTAATGTGTGAGTCATGTACGCAGCTTCACCGTAAGTTTCCATATTTGAAGGATCATAATGTCATCGCTGAAGAAACCCTCAAGGCAGAAAAAGACGCGGGTAATTTCCATCGCAAGCGACACTGCCCAAAACACAACCAAAAACTGGTCTTTTACTGTGAGAACTGTAACGCGTTTGTTTGTATGGCGTGTACCGTGGTCGACCATCGCCCGGGCAAACATCACAATCCCGTAGAAATCGCTACTGTCGCTCAGAGAAGGAAGGCGGAACTGCAAGGGCTTCTGCAAGACATAGACCCACGTCTGAAGGAAATACAGGATGCTGTCAAGGAAGTTGACAGGAAGATTTCAAAGTTAGTCCCCTCGAAAGAAGCAGCTACAGACCAAGCCAAGGCGTACTTCCGCAAACTTGCCGACCTTCTGCAAAAGCGTGAAGAGGAGATTTTGAGCCAGATTGACGAACAGTGCCGAGCCGATGGCAAGGCTCTACAAGCAAAGAAGGAAGCGATAGAGTTCGAGTTGGCCGGACTGACAAGCGCACAGACGTTCTGCCAACAAGCTGTAGAACACGGAAGTGACGTGCACGTTCTGGAGGTGGGAAACCAAGTCCAAACAAGGGTGGAAACTCTGCTGACGAAAGAAGTGGACCTGGAGTCCGACTGGAGCGAGTTTCAGTTCGTTGAGAACCTGGCACTTGTTCACGTAGAAAAAAGAGTTCTTGACATTTTCGGTGGCGTAAAGACAAACGTCGACGTTTCGAAGTGCAAAGTTGTAGTAAAGCCGGCAGTCCAGGGGTTTAAGTGCGTCGCTGAGCTGACGACACTGAACAAAAAAGGCCGCCCTTGTTTTACAAACAGTCGAGCCGTCAAAGCTGACATAAAGGACCCGTCTGGCAAGAACGTCGCCACAAGAGTACTGACAAAGAGCAGGGGGTTGTGGGAAATCTCGTACACACCTAAGGTTACGGGTAACCATAGGTTAGAGGTCAAGGTCAACTCGCAACAGGTGACAGGAAGTCCGTTTGATGTTGACGTGAAGGGGAACCCCGTGTTGACTATCGGACAGAAGGGCAGCGGGGTGGGGGAACTGAGCTGGCCGGTAGGTGTCGCTGTTGATAAGGACGGTAACATTGCAGTGGTGGAGCGCGGGAACAAACGTGTTCAGGTCTTGAATGCGGACACAGGCCAGTCTTTGCGTAGCTTCCCTGTTGAAGGTGAGAAGCCATACGGTATTGCTCTGGACTCCGAGGGGAGGTTTCTTGTGACGTCATGGGGCGAAAATTACGGGTTAAGACGCTACAACAATGAGGGCAAACTTTTGAACACACTGACGCCGGACTGTATGCGAAGCCCGCATGGCGTAACGGTTCTGAAGGACGGGCGCATGGTTGTGTCGAACGGCACACAGAAGTCCTGTCTCCTCCTGCAGCCTGACGGGAGCCTCATCCGGGAGATCGGCAAGGGACAGCTACAGGGGCCAGTGTCCGTGTCGGTAGACGAGTCACGTGGTGTGAAGTTTGTCACAGACATGATCGCACACAAAATATTCGCGTTTGGCCTTGACGGAAACCTGAAGTTCGATTTTGGCAGACAAGGTGACAATGATGGCGAATTTCAACAACCAAGAGGTGTAACAACAGACCCGGCAGGTAATATCATCGTAAGTAACGCAGGAAACGGCCGTGTGCAGGTGTTCGCGCCTGACGGGACTTTCAAACAGAAACTGGGACCAGTCAAAGGCGGGCATGCCAGTGGAGTCGCTCTGACTCCTGATGGTTACATAGCGGTGGCGTGTTGGGGAGGACATTGTATAGAACTGTACAGGTACATGTGAGCGGAGACCAACCAGGCCTGTACATCAGCATCTTTCTTGACCAGGTGTTGTAATGTACTGTTTATTATTTCCTTTTTGCTGTTGTTTCAAAATCAAATCTTACATAAAGTGAATGATGTATAACTTCACATTACAAATGGCTCAAGTTAAATGCTTATATGATGTGTTAAAGGTTTTAATTGATAGTGAACAAAGCCAGCAGTTAAACCAGTAACTTGTGTTCTGTGGTTCCAGATGTTATTTGCTGACAATGCTATGCTATAGAGCAAATACAATAGACTACGAAATTAATATGTTTTATGCTTGTTCCAGTAGTCATTTTATTAAAATCACATGAAACATTATCAGCAGCAAAGCACCATTTAACTTTTATGATGACGTTAAAATGCAACAAAAGTGACTGTTACAGTGCGAGTCCTGAGGTAGACCGAATGTATCTTGACACAATTATCATTAAAAACCCTGAGTAAAATGGCAACAGTACTGTGTGTGTCCCTCATTTTAACTCTCACACTGGCTATCAGGCCTACCACTTTTATTATAACACTTAGTCTATAAAACCAAAGGTCTCAGCAGAATGGCCTACAATCCATCCCAACAAGTACTAGTAGTAATGTTTCCAAAAAAAAAAGTCCAATTCTGAGCTTCCTCCCAACTGTTTATCTGCTATCATTACACAAAATCCTAAACGTTAGTCTCCAACTAGACATTGGGAGGAAAGATCATAGACACTAGTAGTGTGCCCAAGGCAAGAGAAGTTAGAAAACATCTGTCTGGAGATATTACACAATTACAAAGCAGGCTGTATGTTCTCCTTTCTACATAAAAGGAAGGTTCGAAAACATTTGAGATCACAACGGTGCTTGGTGCTACCAAGTAGGCTGCTGATTCTCCTTGTCCACATATCTGTCCATGGAAGCCTGCATCAGTCTCTGCTGCTTCCTCAGCCTCTGGTAGAACTGTAGCACGTCCGGGTTGGCGCGGACGCACTTGGCGTCGAAGTCGAGCACACGGAGACCCTGCAGGCTACGTGCGCGGGACAAGGCGACGTACGCCTGTCCGCTCTCAAACACACGGGACAGCGACATCTCAACACAATCCAGAGACATGCCCTGGTGGGGTGAAATAAAGGGATAAGTTAATAACACGTCACTTAGCACATCACCTGACATGTATATGTCACTTAGTAGGGTTCATTTAACCAAGATGGGTAAATGGCTACTTCAGTAGATGCTAAAGGTGAAGGGTATGAAAACGTCTCCACAGTTCAGGAACAAGCCCTGGTGGGGTGAAATAAAGGGAAAACTGAGTGAATAATTCAAGGAATATATGAGGCAAAATTAGGCCATGGCCACACTGGGAAGTAGGGCAATGTTGCATTGTGTACACACACACGCATGCGTGACCACGCGCGCGCGCGCACACACACACACACACACACAGAGTGACAGACAGGTGAAGGAATGAATGATTGAACCAAGAAGAAAGGAAGGTTGCATTGAAGCCATAGCTTGAATCACAGTCTTTGAATCATTGAAGGTTAAATCATCACAATTACTTAACACGTCACTTAACACGTCACTAACACGTCACATAAAACGTCACATAAAACGTCACATAACATGTCACTTAACTAACATGATACTTAACACATCAATTAACACATCAATTAACACGTCACTTGACACTCAGTGTGTGTAAAGACATAAAAAGCTCTGGGTTGGACAGACAGTATTAACCTTCTTCCTGCTGCCTAACCCAAAACCAACACAAATTTGGCACCAAATGTCTACCCTAGCAAGCTGAAAGTTGACAGGTTGTGACCTCTGACCTGGCTCTTGTGGATGGAGATGGCCCAGGCCAGTTTGATCGGCAGCTGTCGCCTCGTCAGGTAGATGCCCCCGGTGGCTTTGAACGTCCAGCGTTCGTTTTTCACAGGCTCGGTCACTCCACACAGGAACTTCACAATGGGGAGGCCTAAAGAGGGAGAATTAGAAACATGGTACGATACAATTATGACTTTGTTAACTGTGAATGACTTGCATTGATAGTTATATGTTTTAGAGGCCACTAAGTATCTGTGTCAAAATGTCATAATGTTTTATTATATCCTGTAGTTTTTATCCTGCATAGGCCTTGTATAATGTGCACAAAAACAGGTCACATATCATATGCCAGTGATTACTAAACTGAAACTGAACCAGTTTAGCTCACTGAATAGTAAATAGTTGTTTAGAAAAGACAGACTATATGATGCAGTAGAGAATGTATGGCTTCACTTTGCCAGGGACAAAGTGTTTTCCAACAATATGCCCAGTTCTAGACACTGCAACCCACTCCAGTAGTGCACATGTCAGCCTCACCTGCCCCTGAAGTCTGGAAGCCTGTCACCACTCCCCGAGCACCGTTCACCAGACCTCGCTGTACATCCAGGTTCTTAGCCAACATCACCTGAAAAATAATAGGTAAAGAAACAGGCTTTAGGTATGTTGAATTACTGGTTACTATCAAACCAGGTAGAGCATTCTACATAGAGATGTGCAATGGAAAAAAGGAAATTTCTTATGCCTTTAGAAGACTGATCCTGGCTGTCTGTGTGACCAATAAGATTGAAGAGATGGAGTGTATGTCTGTCAACTTTTTGCCTTCCTACACTGTTTTACATTTTGAAAGAGAAGGTGAGGGCTATGGGACACATGTACTTGTCTGTCCATTGGCTGAAATATATAGCCATGACTTCCCCTGGTAAACTTCTGAGCAGGTTAGAGGTATTGATTGATTGATTGATTGATTGATTGGTTCCTCACCTGTGCTCCCACCTTCAGCTGGATGGTTTTCTCCACAGGACAGAGGGTGTTGATGGTCTTCACCAGGTCTGGGTCGCTGTCATGGGCCTCAAATGCCTTTGTGTCTCCTGCACAACATGTCAATAGCATGTATATGATGATAACATAAGAGCACAGCAATCATGGGCTTCAAATGCCTTTGTGTCTCCTGTATGACAGTATAATAATTGTAACATAAGAGCACAGCAAGTCAAAGCAAAGCAGTCAGCAAGTATAAGGTAGAGAAATGTTGTCTTGTCTAATGGCTAGCAGTGCAAGTTGGCCTTACCACAGTTTGCATAGAACCAAGCAGATCTGGTCATCGAGAACAAAGGATCTTTAATATAGTATTGGATGATATTACACAACAAAGTCTTAGTAGTAGCTTTCTGCTGCCTTCCTGACAGAGCTGTGACAAGGAAAGGAGCAGGACGACTACTGAAACATTAGCAGATAAGATGAACAATTAGGCAGTGTGCTTGGATACAACGAAACCTCTACGTCTATTTGCATAAGTTCAAAGGATTCTCCTCTCCTACACATGACATACCCTCCAGCTCGTTAAGTCGGACTTCGTTAATGTGGTTGACGTCCTCCTTGTGCGTACAGAGTCGTGTGGCAACAATGTCCTCTCTCTCAATCTTATGTGTCTCGGTAGCAGACAGTCGTGTAGACACTGCTGGTGGACATCTTAATGTGGAGGGAAAAAAACAGAACTTTTAAGTCTAAGATCAACAAATATCTGTCCTCACTGCCTGTACTGTCACAGTAACTCAATATATTTGAGTGACTCCCATGAGCCTTGTTTTGTGGTGAACTTGAAGTAAAAAAAAAAATCATGTTATACACAGCATCACATCTTCTAACCAGTTCATGCCCCCCTATTTCAACAAAATTTTACCCAATACATTTGTATATTCCTCAACAAGATTCTTACCTACAGTGTATTTATTTGTTTCAGGCTCTCACCGGCCCATAGTTAGACAGTACAGGAAGAAAACCTGAATAAATTTGAATTACATGTACTTCCTAGAACAAGTGGCTTCCACTCAACAACCCCTGACCTTCACCCTTTGACCCCTGACCTACCTGCCGACCCTGATGTTCTGTAGGATGTTGATGAAGGTCGGGTCGGTCTGTCTCTTGACCTGGGTCAGCTCGTAGCTGGCCTGGATACACTTGTGCCAAGATCGGGACTGGGGAGTCACCAAAAGACATAATGCATCACAGACATCATGAAATCTCTTCACAGTATCGTTTAACACCAAGTTTGAAAAAAAGGACAAATAGAAATTCTGAGTTTTCAAAGCCATAAAATGTGGTAAATGTTGTGTTTTCAATAGACCATATGATATTATGTGTTCGCAACTGGTCCGATTTTACATCATCTTTACAAAATCTGATGTGACACAAGACCAGTGTATATAGATGTTGCTGATGCCATTTTAATTTTTAAGTTAACAAAAAAAGGCAGGTGAAAGCAAGCTGATAAAATTAAAATGTACAACATAAAAATCAAAATCTATGGTACCTGATGATTATATTTTTTCAAAAGAAGTTTACCTGAAAACAGAACCTTCTCTTCTCCCCAGGTTTGGTGACAGGAGGCAGCTGTAGGAAGTCTCCACACAGGATCAGCTGGATCCCTCCGAACGGTTTGTCGTTTTTCCTCACCGCTCGCGCAACAGCCTCCAACTTGTCGAAGAAGTCACCATCGATCATTGAGACCTGCAATGGGGAAGGGCAACTTGTAAATGTTTTGCCTTCCCTTCGTGGAAAATCCTAATAAACAAAATACAGCCCCCATGAAAGTTCATCTGTGTTGGTACTTATGTGTTTAGAGTTAAAAATTTTGATCCAACACAAAAAGTTTGTCACACTTCAAAGAAGCCATGTGACAACAAACTTTTGATCCAACACAAAAAATTTGTCACACTTCATAGAAGCCACGTGACAAGCTTCACTGGGTGAGTCTACTGACTGAGGAAGACCAGAGTGACAGGTCGAAGGCTCTAGGTGAGAGAATTTTTTGTGTTGGATCAAAAGTTTTAACTCTAAACAAAATGAAGCCACCATGCTTGTGTCATGAGGCCCGTGGACGATTGATCAAAAACAAACAGACCTCGTCCACGATGAGATGTCTGCACTGCCTCCACTGTTTCCGCACGCCAGGCCGTGAGGCAAGCTCGTAACACTGCTGGATAGCTGCCGTGCCTGAGCCTATACCTGAGGGGTGGGAAAACTGATAATTTTAGAGCTCAATGTCCAACACTATCGTTTGTACATATTACCCTCAAAGACCACCCTAAAAGAGCAGCCCATGGAGGTCAATGATAGATCTGTTTAGAGTATATTGCGTCACCTTACCCTAGCCCTGCAGAGTTGAGAGCTAAGACTAAAATTGTGATATTCAGAGCTCAATGCATAAGACTATTTGTACATATTGTTACCCTTAAATACCTCTATGAAGAGCAGCCAATGGGGATCAATGATAGATCTGTCACAAACAAAGACTAAAACTGCTAAAGAAGCCTGACCCTTTACCTGTTGAGTTGAGAATTAGGACTATCATTGCTGAATCATACTTGGAGTCCAACATTTGTTGGCATGTAGAATGATGCCTTTCTTAACTAAGATTTGTTTGGTTGCATAATGCCAAACCTTTCATTACATAAAGTTAAAGAAAGTTTAGACTGTGTCATACAAGGTAGTAGCTGGGATCTAGAAATGTTAAATGTCAGTCAACTCTATCTTGTGTTAGAAAGAGTTAAACTTTTTGCATGAGGAGAAAGCTACAAGTTTACATCTTTCCAAGTTTTGTAAGATAGGAGATTTACTCATTACTCATTTACTCATTGTTTTGATAACAATAAAGTCAGGTTACAAGATTGTTTATGCTAAGCAAATGCTTTCACTACCAGACCTGCAAAGGAATGCAGAGTCGTCCCTCCGATGTGACAGGCGGCGACTCCTGTACTGGCCGTGGCAAACGTGTGCTCAGGAGGGAGGGCTCCGATAACCTTCCTCAGCAGGAAGGACTTCCCTGTACCTGCACTGCCTGGGAACAACATACAACACACAACTCAGGTCATTATAAGGACTTCCCTGTACCGGCACTGCCTGGGAACAACATAAATAACATACATTACAACACAGAACTTAGCTCATTATATAAGGTAGCACGTGTGCTGGCATATATTGTACATTGTACATCAGAAAGTACCAATTGTGCATGTTGATGTTCAGGCAACTTGCCAGCAATGAAAAGGATTGCAGTCCTTGCAAGAAAATGTGAAGCCATGGTCTACATATTGTTATACCCAGTACTTGTTGAAATGAGCGACAAAACGTACCAAGTAGGGAATTTTTACATCTGTAACATAACTTGTATATAAACTTCTGCGTGTACATAGTTGCTAACATAACCAGGTTCTGGTTGGCAAGAAAGCTTAGCTACTAGTAGTAGTAGTAGTATGCAACCTTCTGTTCTGAAAGATGATGGTAGCACTCTAGGTCTGATGTTGTGGCCGTGTGCAGCATCTGGTATCAGCTTCTACTATCTATACTGGTAATACCTGTGAACCTGAAGACAGCTAATGTATCAATACATGTAATTTATTTATTGTTACCAGTGAAGAAGATGTTGTGCCCAGCCTGGACAGCGTTGAGTACAGCCTGCTGCTCCTGGGTCAGTCTGGACACTGTGCTGGACATGTGCAGCTTCTTCCTTGGGACAGGGTCAACCTGGGGGCATAGGTCAACAACAGTGAGGGTCAAGGTCAAACTGGGGAGCAAAGGTCAAAAACAAGAAGGGTCAAAGATCATTGATGGTTGATACACACATGCAACATTACTAGTAACACAAAAACTTTAGTAATACATGTACATAGTTTTGTGTTGTGTTCTTTCAGCAGTGCAGCAACACAAATACAGTCCACATATCTTTGTTGTGTCATAAAGCTTTTCATCAACAGACAATGCATTGTGAAAAACAGCCCGCCCGGCAATATGCTGTAGACTACTGCAAACAAGCCTGTAGTCTACAACTAAGTCCAAGCAGCTGTATGGCTTCAGTTTGTTTTGTGCATTGTTTGCAGTGTGTTGAATGATAGTTTTTGTATATGTTTGCATTCATCCTATAGTCACAAAACACTGCAGTTTGGAATAGAAACCAGACGATTGCCAGAGCAGCCTTTTGTACTGCAGTGCAGGTTGAAAAAATTCTTTGGGGGTACAATGTATGTGAAAAACAGCCCTACACTACAGCAAAGCACCTAAATAAGGCCTGTGTACGCCCTGACAACAAGCTGGCATCTAGGCTAGGAATACTACAAAAAGGAATGCAAAATCAAACTGTTAGCCATATACACCTGCTTGAAGTTTCCTCTACCTGAGCATTTGTGGTGTCCCCCAGTGGTCTCTTCCTCTTCAGCCCAGGAGTTCTGCCCTTCAGTGCAGCACTAGCCTGGGCCTCCCTGATTCTGTTTACTGCATCCAGGTCCTTCTGGTTCAGTGGACTGATGTGCTCCAGTCTTCTGGGCAGGTTTGATCGCAACCTCTGTCTGTCTGAGGCCACACCAACCTGCTTCAGGTGTTCCACCTTTGCACATAAGGGACACGAATAAGTACTGATGACAAAAAGGGCTAAATGTTCATAATGAATTATACCGACACAGCTGAACTTTCATGCTACAAATAAGTACTGTAAAGCACATACGATGTTACAGTGTACTAGTAATTTACACAGTCTAGTTATTTTCTAAAAATAATTGTAATTTACACAGTCTAGTTATTTTCTAAAAATGATTGTATGTAATCATGTGCAATTGTATGTATTCTTATGTCCTTATGACGTTATGTACTAGTACTCTATCTACCCTCTCCTGGAAGAATAGCTGTCACTCATTAGTACTACACTGAAGTAGAGTTATATACAGTATATTTACAGTATATTAAACCACACTATGGCCTCCTTCTGTCTAGTGTTGACCATGGCAAAATCCTAATTGTTTCCCCCATTGTGAACCACAATAAACCACAAGTCTACCTTTGCAGCGATAGTTCTCAGGAACAGCACAAGCTTTGCCGGGGGACAATTTGAGATTAAGAGCTGGATTTTCTGTCCTGGGATTCGTATCGTCGCTTTTCCGTCCTTCGCAAATCTGCTGAACACCTTGATGTCTTGAAGGGTGTATTTAACGTCCGTCTTGCCCTGGTCGATCTTTAAGATGATGTCCTTGAATTCGTTGCGTAATAAGACGAGGGTGATGTTCTTGAAGAGTTTGTTCTTGAGGACTTCGCCGGTCGGAGAAAGATTCTGGACTGATACGCTGCAGTTGAGCTCACTGATGTCATAATCCATGGTGGAAACAGCAGGACCTGAAATTAAACAGAATTTGGAAAATTTGAAGAAACGAAAGATGCATAAATGTTCACTAGGCAATGTACAGTGTAAAAATAGTTGTACAGAAACAATACTGCAGGCAGTTATAATTTTAGAATTCAGCTCATTTTTCTGATTCACATCATGGATCACATACAAAGTAGCCTTGGCAGGCCTTCACCAAACCAGTAGTTATTGCACGACTATCCTAGAAACCTTGTGTTCATAACAAAATTTGTTTGAAATTGAGCAAGGAAAGAGGTTTGGCTTTGGCTTCTTATTGTCTGGAGTTTTCAAACACAGAACGAAGCCCAGCTGTGGCTACTCAACTTGCTGCAGACCGTCGTTACAAGAAGCCATACATATGCATAACTTTGACAAAATTTTTAGGATTTTTGCGTACGGTATTCACTCCGTAGTTTCTAAAAAGAGAACAAACAAAAAAAAGAACAAAAAAAGAACAATCAATGCTTGCGTATATGCATAGTAGAAACAGGCGTACCGTCAGTATTTTTATATGGTTGTATAATTCTTTAAACGCACACGTAACAAAGGCGAGGAAACCAAACTTCGTCAAAAAAAATCAGACTCGGCAATCCATTTGTTTTATATACGCCCCCCTCCCCACGTATCCACGAAGCTAAAGACCGCGCGCAAAATTGTGGTTAATTTGCCGACTGTCTTGCAGATTTGGCCTCTAAAATTGAACGGCGAGCACCCCTATCTTTGCACTCACATTGCAAAAGCTAGAAATTTCTACAAATCTTAAGAAAGGGCTACAAACCCAAGCTAGTTGTCGCTCTGGAAGTCCTTGGATATATGACAACAAAGGCGCAGAGACGCGTTTAAAGGTCCCGGGCAGCCGGACCAATCAGAGACGGCCGCTCATACAAACAGACCAATCAGCGCGCGTCTTGTTCAAACCGCGCGCGTGGCATCATGGGATTGTCCCGGTCAAAAAACTAGCGGCCGATTCAAAAACACTTTCATTGTACTTTCGTATTTGGGATGGCCGGCTCCAGACAACATAAAATTTCATACTAGTAGTTCTATCCTTTGGCAAATCAGTCGTCAAAATACTACCGTTTCCCACGAAATAGTGTTCTGAGCCTGTCAATACAGGTATTCACTTGGTAGCTGTTGTGACTTTTCAAATCGCTAGATGTCCCCACAGCACACACCCCCTCGACGAGCTGCGGGCCAAAAGAACTGGTTAGTCCACTTTTAGAAGTTTTTGTCGGGGAGGGTTCAGTAGTTAAGCCTTGCAAATCTTTAGCAAGACTTTGTTTACGAATATACATTCACTTGCTAGCGGTCAAACAAGTGCATTATTCGGTGCATACATGAATAACATACTAGTAACCTAGGATAGGTGAGCTAACAAGGTGGTTTATCAATCCTGAGTGAATAATGATCAACTATCTATTTGTTCTGCGACACCAAGAACCTAGGAAGCGAGCAAACTAAATTTGTCAATTCGGTATTCTCCACAATACAAAATACTAAATATTCTTTAATAGCCGAAATCATTGGCCAAAACTAGTGGGTAATAATTTGCCAGAAGAGTTAACCGTCTATGGAATTCTAAAGCCTTGTTTTCATCCACCACCGTCTTTTCTTTCCATTGAAGTCCTCTGGCAAATTACTCTAAGTGCCTTTATTTGGCAAATCATTTTTTTACTGGTCCAAACCAGGTCTCTACCCTGTGAGTCACAACAATGCGCGGTGACGTATTAGACAGACGCGTCCCAATAGCCTCCTTAGCAGACTTTTAGGCTAAGCCTTTGGGGACTCATTTTGTGTTGTTCCCTGATTGTGTACAAGAAATAGTGTACATTTAGACTACGTTTCAGGATACTCTACATTTAGAAAATCTTTTGGTCAAATTGGTGGCTACAATACAGTATCCAATTGGCGAACAGGCAGTACATTGTATTAAATTTACCGGGCCGCGATGATGTTAAATACGCTTAAGTTAAAGGACAAAAGCCCCGCCCGATGAAACGCCTTAGGACACCTGACAAAAGCTTTTAAAAGCCTAAACCTCTGCTTGGAGAGTAAGAAACGACACACAGTAACGTAGCAAGCCTATGAAAAGAGCCAAGTGTGTAAAGCCTGCTAACTCAGGCTACCCGTCCCACCCTCACCACCTTCTGACCCCGGCTCTATTGTCTGAAGCTCTGCCTGTCATTTGTGTCGCTCCGACGGGCTGCTAGCGTGCGCCCCACCCTCACATGACGCGCTAGGCTGTTGTTTAAGGGAGGAAACGCTGTGGTTTAAGGTGTGCTGAGATCGTACAGAGTCGGGTAACATCCCCACGGATACACTGATCCTCTCGCATCGGAGCTGCCTTAAGGAAGGAGAGAGGAATTCTGAGGACAACATTTTTAGGTGAGTGAAAGTTGCAGAGCTAATCTTCCAATGAACTACAAAGGAGTGTGTTATTCAGCACGAGATGGCCCTGGGGGTACACAGGACTAGACAGGGGGACTCTCCATGATCCAAGCAGAGGTTGGAAGGGAAGATTTTGGTTATTTTTTCCTGATTTGCCCCCTTTTCACACAGCCCAGGCATCCGACTCATGAGCCTAGCAGTCAGATCTTGGGGTCCAGAAAGAAACCGTCACGATTTTGACCCCAAAGATCTGCTTGGAGATTAGGACAGTGAGTTTAATTTGCTAGAAGGAAGAAACAGAGTATTTACGTTGTTGCAACCTTATTCAAGTTGTTCACAATGATCTTGACCTTGCAGCTAGATCATGGAACAAACTGAACGCCTCTAGAACCTGGCCGTGACAGTGGGGTGTGTTTTGTCCCTTGCGACGATTGTTAAGCCGTTGTCAGTGTGTTCTAGTTCTAGGATGACGTGGAGATCTATTGTGCCTTAGGCCTCAGTTTGTGTCCCCTTTGTTCAACCATGACAAAAACACATTACTTTTCAAAACGCATCCCTGGTGTAATTTTGTGCGAATACTTTGAACCTAAAATGTGCCATGAAACGATGATTTCAACTCAGTCGAACTCATTTGTAACACAGTATCGTTCATATCATGGCCATAGTTAGGCTGTAATTGGTACATTTTCTTTCAGAAACTTGGCAATCAAGCAGCAACTATGTCAGGTAAAGACAGCTATCAGTTAAGCAGTACACTTAAAACGGTGACATCAAAATGTCCTTGTAGTTGTACCAGACCAGTTCGATCTCGTTATTTATTATTCTTATCACGGGCGCTTCTTAGGTCCAAAGAAAAGACGGGTTTGTGTGTGTCGTCATGGCTTGTTTCTTCCTTGGCAAGTCTTTTCTCCTTGTAGTTTTGTACTCATGAAATTCAGATGGATTTCTTACTCGTTTTTCGTTCTGTGGAATCGAACCAACATGGCCGACATTCTATACGTGTATATCGAAGGTCATCCTGTGTCCTCCGGTCCGTTGTTAGTGATAAATAATAGATAACCAGTGCGGTAACACCCAACTCACACGTCACATAGCCTCCTTCGCAGACTTGTGGGGCGGCGACGTTAATTTTTACAGGGCACCGCGGATCGCTGGAAAAAAATAGTAGAAATTGGCCGAAATAAATTGATAGTATACCAGAGAAGATCCCGGGCCATAGAAGATCCAATTCGCGACCCACGGATCCGTGGTTTCTATGGCCTGTGATCTTTTCTGGTATACTATCCGCGGTGCCAGGTTGAGAGTTTTTCACTGCCCTGTTGGGTAAACTCCCTCGGTGGCAAAACCGTGGCATAACTAGCGTCGCTCCAAAAAAAAAAATAAATGTCGCCACCCCACAAGTCTGCGAAAGAGCTAGGCTACACGTCACACCGCTCCCAATGGCACTGCGTTCTTTTGTAAAACCTTCGCAGCTACATTAACTACAGTGTAACGTTACACCTAAAACACGTATCTTCCATTTTTCGTCTATTTGCTCTCTCTGTTTTAAAAATGACTCTAGAGGTCGTTAAGTAGGAGGGTGTGTCCGTGTTTACTCCTTTCCACATAGTCTATAGACAGACCGAAGGTAACACCTGCAAAATAGACTTACGGACAAAGAACGCCGCCATTTGTGTCATTGTGAATGTAAGGTGTGACCTTAGAGATGATTGGGGAGGGCTTTAATGGCGATGCTGATTCATACTGTTGATGTGTGATCTGTTTGCTACAAAACTAAAAATGTTTTGACACCTGCTATTTACATCTGTTGCCATATTCAAAACTGTGCAAAATGTAAGTTTATCCCATTTATGTGCCTATCTGATACGTGTTTCCACGTGGATGGTACAACAAAGGATAATTTTCAAAACAACAGAACACACAAAACGTGAAATTTAATTCATTGAGCGCCCTGTCAATTTTTTGGTCGCTCAGAAGCTTATAGCGGAAAGAGGTTGTAAGCACGGCAACTAGACATGTTTTAACACCTGTTACTTACATTTTATTTTAAAAATTATCGCGGCATCTTGTTTCAGTGTGCGAGATAATGGCAGATAAATATTTATTCAGAACAGCTCTTTCGGATACAGACACGGACACAATATTAACATAAAGTTCCATAACATTTTATACTTATTCTTGTAACGCAAGGACTACTTTATCTTTGGTTGAAGAAGTGTTGTGGTTGAATTTGTCAGAAGTCTGGCTTGTGAGATCATTGACCGCCGCGGGTTGTTAGATGTGAGTTATCCCAGGTTTACCCAGGTGAACAGCTGCCGCTTACTGAAGCCGTCCTGCAGCATACCTGTCCGGTGACAACAGCACGTAGTCAGGTATGACACAGAGATGGGCGGGGTGGGAAAGGTTCACTAGCCTCGTATCCAGCCTTGTGCGTGGGACAGCCCTAGCAGGAAGTCCCATCCTATCTAATTTGTCACCCAGGCTAAGCTGTACTGGCTGTTTTTTTTTTTTATCAAGATCTGTTAATGTTATGATGAAACCCTTCCCTAGCCTGGTACCCAGCCTTAAGCGTGGGTAACAGCACGAAATCGGGTATATTTACCCTGGGTACCACATTATTTCTGTCACTATTCTATCTAGAGGTGAGTAGGGGAGCCCAGGTACACTATATGTAGGATGTCGGGCTAGTCTAGGTGGGTCACTCACCCAGTATACTGGCTATGGGGTTGTATCGAAATCGCTTAATGTAAGAATTGTACTCCATTCCTAGCCTTGTACCCCTTAAAAGACATGGGCAACCCAGCCTCCACTGCCTCGGACTTGGACTAGGAAACTCACTTTGAGTGTCCGGTAGAACGTATAGGGTGTAACTCACTTCACAGAAGTAGGGGGCGCTAATGTCAATATTGTTGGTGACGCCCAGGTAAGCATGACGTCTGAGTAGTAAACTGTATCATGCAAGCGACTGAGCTTGAATTGTGATCTCTGAACCAAGAGCTTTGGCGTTTCCAGGTTTCTCACTGACCACTTGACCACAGGGTTAATGGAAAGGGCAATACTGAAGCATCAAGTATATTAAACTTTTCAACACTTTAAACCACTCCAACTCTCCTATATAAAATCGTTGACTCGAAAAGACTTTGTGTACTAAACCTCTGGACTGTAACTTCTCCGGACACGGCAAACCAAACCGTAATGTCTGGTATGGACCCATTGACCCACATTTGGGTCGGTGCTCCCGCTATGTGGCGTAAGGGGGTCAGTAAAGACAAAGGTGTGAAACTAAAGACATCAGGATCTATCGGACAGTTAGAGAGACGGACATGCACGGGCAATACATCATTCAGGACTTGGACACGTCTATGGTAAGAAATGTTGTGAGCTGCAAGTTAGTTTCTTAGTCGGATTGCTACTCGTAACGATGTAGATGTTAGTATCGTGACCACATAGTGAATACGTGAATGTAGGCAAACATACGTAGGTGTCATTTGTGGTCATCCATAACTCTTGAAGAAGGTGAGGGTAGGTTTTGTTGTTCTAGTATTTACTATTCTAGAGCATAAAAGACAAAGAGATGAATCCTGTCGGCTTCGTCGAGGATTCTTTCTCGTGACATTGCATCAGTATTGACTGGTTTTTATGCATAGTTTCACAGATTCCTGCATAAGATTTTCTAACTGTCGTCTGCTCAATCTGCCGCTTGTATCTGTTATACAACCCACCGATCAAACAATCAGTTGTAACAGTATCCTCGATCTTTATATCAAAACACTTGTCGTGCCATGGGTTTTGGGGATGTAGCAGGTATTTGCAATAAGTGACCTGTGCATTTCCGGTCATCAAAATGATTTCCACTATCAAAACGTCTTGTCTAGTTCAACGAATTTTACTGCTTCGAACATCCAGTTATACGACAAATGTCTTTGTTCAAATGGTAGCTATAGTAAACTCTAAGCAGATGTTGGGATGCAAGATCGTATCGTTTTCTGGGGATCGTACCGATTCCCAAGTTTCTCTGGTATACCGGGTTCTCTGAAAGATTTTGGTGCTTGTAAGCCCAGCTATTACGTTACAATCCTCCATTTATTATATCTAACATCTACTTGGAGGTAAGCTACAGACATTGCATCGGGCTACTACGTCATTTTAAAGCCTGGCGCCACCGACAGTGTTCACGTGATGATCACGTGAACTGACCTCAGCCGTTTAAGACCCGAGAATTTGTTAAGGGGTTACGGACACTTGAATTTCTCAGAACATCACACAGTAGCCAGAAAAGCCCTTTTTGTGTTCCATAAAACACACCGTCCGCTTTCATGTACTTGTGTACAATTTCACGTTATAGACGACAATTGTGATTACAATCTCTTTAACATTTACAGAATAACATAGTTATAAATACTTATTATAGCAGTCCAAACTATATATAACTCATCTGAAGAGTACGTTGCTATTAGGTATATGTCAGAAACAACTGAAAAGTGCTCTTTACTGAGAATGTTTATGAGTAAATACAATGGGTAGGGAGTCCCAAAACAAGCCGTGGAAATAGTATGTAACAACATTATTCAATGGACATAATGCATTCCTTTTGTACTCCCTAAGAATGCGTAACCTCCTCTTAAGAACACACGCCCGTTCCCGCCAATTTATTATCCACAGTTCAATGCACCGCAGCAAAGGGTGACCTCTGGGGCAAGGCATCGTGGACAGAATCTTAGATCATCATGATAGTTCATCTGTGTTGGTGGTTACATGTTTTAAGTTAAAACTTTTGATCCAACAAACAAAGAAGTTCTCTCACCTAGAGATTTTGAGTCTACCGAGGAAGACCAGAGTGACTGGTCGAAAACTCTAGATGAGAGAAAACTCTTTGTGTTGGATCAAAAGTTTTAACTTTAAAATAATCTTAGCAGTAGATCATTTGATTTCCTAAATTAGATCACTTTGTTACTAATTTTGTCACTATCTTAAATTTGGAAGAAGTTAAGAGGAAATATTTCATAACTGTTAAGCAACTGTTGCAAGATCTAGGTTCCTACGTAAATGACTTGAGGGGGGGGGGTAAATTTGTCAATTTTGGCCATTGTACTACTTTGATATTGTTGAAATTTGGCTTCAGTTTGTGCGACATATACACAACTATTCCAACATGTCCAAGAACGCCCTCAGTTTCCGATTCGATCGTACGATGCTCGTATCACGATTGTGGTCGGGCCCTTAGCGGGATCAGAGTTATGTGTGAAGTAGGTGCTTCTTTCTGCACGCGGGGTTATCAACCTCAGTGAACAACGCGGGACAAACGGGTCAGAGTTCGGCAGGACTTTTATCTCGCTTCTCAGGCAGAACCTGTGGGAAAGGAGAGCACTTCTGTGGAGTGTGAGTCATCGAATTAAGAAAACAAAGACAAGAGTCGATCAAAAACAAAGGCGAAGGAAGCATTGCTTCTTAGAAAAATGACAGAATTTGGCGAAGAAAGGTGTTAAGTAATCTTCAACGTGCTATTGTTTCTTCTATTTCATTTTGTTGCTTTTGTTGTATTTCGTCCTTTTTCAACTTCCGAAAACTTTCTATTTTCCTTAAGCCAATGCAAAGAAAAAGCATCAATATATGACAAAAAGCTAGACAAATCTCGATGAAGCTCCAATGTACATACTATAGTGTTCTGCAACTTCATACCAGCGACATGGAACTGTATTAGTCTTATCATTTTAAAAGTTTGTTACTCATTCTACTTGAGGAGCGATATTTCAGCGTGTGTCGACCTACTTCGCTGACAGCTTAACAAAACAAACGGCATAGAAAACTGCGGACCGTACTGCTGCTTATTTTGTGCCCTATTTCTCCCGCGGAGGGAGCCTGAGAGCCGAGAAACTTTCCTAACGCGTGGCGCCCGGTTGTAGCCTGCCCTCCGCCATGGCCGACCCTGAAAACATCTTCGTGAACATGCAGCCAAAAATGGAAGGCAGTCTGCCGCTGGTCTGCATTCTCTCGGTCACGCACAGGCTCATAAACCTTGACACTGTGTTACAGACGTGGAGAGACGACAGGAAGAGGAGGAGAGCCATGCACAAACCGATCCGAGCCGCGCTGATAGGCTTCGCCCTGTGCTGTTACCTGTTCACCATCTTCATCAACATTATCTCATCAAACCTCGGCCTGGAGCTAGGTGAGTAAAAATAGAACAGAACCCTCGAATAGAACGTTCCTGATCGAACCAATCGAACCCCGACACGTTCTATTTCGAACATCGCCATGGCGGAGGTGTTCGAAATAGAACAGGTGGTTCGACGCGTTCGATCGGGAACAACTTGAAGTTACCGCAAAATGGTTGTCGCTTCGGGTGGGGCCACTACACTACTGCAGTTCTAGTGGTAAACAACTTCAGCGGTGTTCAATCATTTTTGATTGGGGTTAATGGGCCGTTTCGGTTTTTATCAGAAACTTGTCCGTGCTCTAGAGATCTCGTGTTTCAATACGTTTTGCACGAGGTGCCATTTCTTCTAGGGCAACCAAAGCTGGATTTGTGTGCCTTTCCCTTGACGTAAATGCAAAAGTATGATTTTAGACTGAACAAAAGACACAAAAAGTAAACAAATTCGATCTTTGTCTATGAAATTTGATAAACAGTGTTTGGTCACTCAGGGGCGATAGCCTCGAGTAAAAAGAGGGTGTACTGCGGTTTGTACGAGCCGGTATATTTCTGAGTATCCTTGTGCGAGTAAGAGTTGTTGCCAGTTAAACATGGTGGTGGGAACGAGTTCCGTAGAGTGAAATATCAAAACTATGTATGTTCTCGTTTCTTGTGCTGCCTTGGACACCACAGTGAACTACCGGTTCTTTACCAGAAAAGCACTGACTAAGGATATAGCCAACATCGAAGGTAGGTAACGACGTAACTCCACCGTTCGGTGGCGCTTGTAAAGCTGGTGGTGGAGCGTAACCAGTAACTATGAGAACGTGCTAGCAAGTGCTAACTGTACCAAATGCATACTCTCACTACTACATAAGGTTGAAGTCACATACGACATACGTCGATGAAGGTTAGACATCCAGGTAATATACACAAGAGAGCCTTACCTGTACATTTTGGATACACAGCATTGCGCATCCCGCTAGGTGCTAACGTCAGGTGCAAAACTAACGACGGCTTTTAGATGGCATGTGGCTAAAGCCTTTAACATCCCTAATGTTAGGAAGGAACAACTGCCTAATTATCTAATGTTGACCCTGCTATATATCTTCATTTGGTAAAGCCTGCGAGTTAATAAACAAGATCAGCTAGACTTTCACACATTCGGTCTGTGCATGCATAAGCGACCATGATAAGTAAACATTTCAGATGCAGCCATTTGTGAGATATCTACTCGTACCGATAACGATTCAGTGCGTCTGTAGCATCCCATTGTTGCATGCCTTGTACAAATCTAGAACATTTACTGTACTATTGTATTTTAAAGGAGAGGTATTTCCTAGTTTAAAACATTGCTGTTTTCCCCCAGACTGGTTCGAGAGGTCTATCGGTGCGACCACCGGTGAGTTCGAGTTTGACTTCACCCCTGCCGGCTGGGTCTTCACGCTCTGGGCCGTCATCTTCTTCTGGAACCTCATCTGGCACTTCTACGCGCTTACCACCATCTGTCGCAGGTACAGAGTGTTTGTTTGTTTATTTGTTTGTTTGTTTGTTTAGTAGGCGTATGCAGGTATGTGTGTGTGTGTGTGTGTGTGTGTGTGTGTGTGTGTGTGTGCGTGCGTGCGTGCGTGCGTGTTTGTGTGTGTGTGTGTTTGTGTGTGTGTGTGTTTGTAAGTGTGTGTGTTTAGTGTCAGCACATTGAAGGAGACACAAAATGTCTCTTTAGCTAGTTATTTTGCTAGTTACACAGTGTGTTTGTTTGTTTGTTTGTTTGTTAGTACCGCCAAAAGCTGTGGGCACATCCGATTGTGTCCACATTTTGCACATTACTGATGCATGTACAATGAATGTATCATAATCCATTCGTTATTCAACCTGTGTTTTGAAAATGAGGAGAAAGGCTTTCAAGGGTCATAGTTCAAGTTCAAGCACAAGGAATGTCATACGACACTTGAGCTTGAGACGGACAACAAAAGTGCATTACTGGGGTGAAAGGTGGTTACCGTTCCGCTCCAAAAAGTAACGCGCAGGTGTTTTTAAAGCAACGTAGGTACAAAATGGCGAAACAAACGTTAATTTTGACTATACAACGATTTTTCCTAGTTTCTCGAAATGATTGCAATGATTGGAGAATCGGTGATTATTTGTAAAAAAGAAAATACTGGGAAAAATGAAATGTCGTCACGGACAGGATTCGAACCTGTGCGGGGAAACCCCATTGGATTTCGAGTCCAACGCCTTAACCACTCGGCCACCGTGACTACTTGTTTTATCATCATTACGAATGGCTCAAGACGACATTTTATTACTTTTTTATTACTATTCATTTATTGTATTTCTACTACGTTGACACATTACAAACATTGTCGGGATAAACAATTTGATATACGATTTTTCTTAGCAGATGTAGCTTGCCTTATACACAGTTTTGAAAACGTTAACTTGCAAAGTGTTACAGCAATTGGTACTAGTAGTTGTGATAATGTAAGGTTAACAAGAACTCTTATACCTCCGTGAAAATAACGAGGTTTTGTGAATTTCTTCTTTTATTGATTATTGTTTGGTCACTGATTCTGTCACATTTTCCTCTGGTTTGAGTTGACAATGGTCACTCTTAGTTCTGACATCCGACATTGCGCTTGCCTTAGGTATAAGCATGAGTACGTGTACGTGTTCCCCAACGCCCTCCCCACGCCGTTCTGGGTGGCCTGGATCATCAACCTGGGGCTCAACATCGGCTGGCAGTTCCTGTTCGACCGGCGATACATGATCCCGGCCGCGGTCTTCATGGCGCTCATCGTGGTGTCACTCATCGTCTGCCTGGCCACCACCTACTTCCGCACCTGTAGGGACGGAGCCTGGATGAAGGATAACATGCCGGTAGGTCGACTAGAGTCTGTTAGGAGTAGCTACTGTTAGCGATAGTTAACGTTTAACAAAGCCCGCGATCAGTGTAGATCATGGCGCTCATCGTGGTGTCCCTCATCGTCTGTCTGGCCACTACCTACTTCCGCACCTGTAGGGACGGAGCCTGGATGAAGGATAACATGCCGGTAGGTCGACTAGAGTCTGTTAGGAGTAGCTACTGTTAGCGATAGTTAACGTTTAACAAAGCCCGCGATCAGTGTAGATCATGGCGCTCATCGTGGTGTCCCTCATCGTCTGTCTGGCCACTACCTACTTCCGCACCTGTAGGGACGGGGCTTGGATGAAGGACAACATGCCGGAAGGTGGGCTAGATTATCTGCATTACGCGACAGTTAGCGATAGTTAACGTTAAACTAAGCCCGCGATCAGGGTAGATTATGGCCCTCATCGTCGTCTCTCTCATCGTCTACCTGGCCACCACCTACTTCCTGGATGAAGGGCAACATGCCAGTAGGTGGACTAGAGTCTGTTCAATCTGTTGTGAATAGAGGTAGTTATCGTCAAATCATATAGCCCAGTATCTAGCCCAACCAGACTGTCGCGAAGGTGCCTGGATGAAGTTTAAGGACACTTTCGGCAGGTGGACCAGATTCTGTTGTGAGTAGCGATAGTTATCGTCAAGCGATATGGTCTAGAACGTCCAGACGTCTGCGATGGGGTGTTTTCTAGTCGTCAGTCCGATGTTCTAGATAAGCACGATGATAAAAGAAGACCAGTTGTTGTTGATCATAAGTCTAAGATCCATGTGTTATACTTCCAATGAGGGTGTTTTTAGGATAAAGGAGCATATCCTATTCACTGGTGTTTTCTAATTGTGTTTTTATAAGCTTGTGTAACTGTCCGTTTTTGTAGGGCGATCTGTACGCAGTTCGGCTCCTGTGTCACAACGGCCTGGGCATCTACATCACCTTCGCCACGGTGCTGTTCCTCCTCAACCTCGGCATCTGCCTCATCTTCTGGGGAACGGGATTCGCCAGGGTAAGGAAAAAACAACAACTTCCTCTGCAGTATCGAGGAAAGTCGCTAAGGGACCAGAGATGGTCTTCGTTTGGTCAAGACCCACCAATGCAGTAGATATCATTACAATTGATCCATCAATAGCTTCCCGAGTTAGCCTGTTCAAAACAAACACACGCACTCCCAAAACATAACCTTCTAAATGAAAGAAAGAAGACATTAAAATGACTAAATATAATAAAGCAAGAAGATCGTACATTTATATAATGCAAGAGGCTCAAGTCGACAGATTAAGATTCTGCCCCCAGGTCTTTCAACGTTTTTCAAATGATGACTTTGGTCAAACCTTTAACCCAACAACATGGCGGACGTACATGACGTAATCGTCACGTATATCATTTGTGTAAATCACCATATTTGATATATTTCCGCTGCAGATTGACGTGACCACGGGCCTGTTCTCTGCGCTGGCGTTCCTGATGCTGGTGTGGTTCGTGCTGGAGAACTTCACGCCGCTGGAGCCGTACTGCCGGTACACCCTCACCATCTGGCCCACCCTCATCGTCGTGCTCACCGCCATCTTCATCTACCGCCGGCCGCCGGTTGCCGACCCGACAGCGGCAAACCCGACAGCGGCAGTAAGCCACTTCCTCCTTCTTCTAGTAATTCTGATGTCCATGCTGGTCCTTTTAACTATCGTATCCAGAGCTGTGGCTACGATGGTTTAGGGTTTAGGATGAGACACGGTTCTAAATAGTCTCGGCGTGTCTAAGAACGCAGCTTTGCCCCAGACACGGTTCTGGATACGCTTTTGGACTATTCAAGACTTTGTCTGAACATGAGCATCGTTTTGGAGATGGATAAAGCACGGCTCTGGATACAATATTCCAAGTGCCCATAGAGTCTTGAGTCCACAATGGTGTACGTTTTTACTTGTAAATAAATAAATCCTGACGTGAAATGCTAAACACTAGATATATCGACTTTTAGATTATAAAGTATCATTTATACAACAGATTTGCAATTTGTATCAGTTTAGATGCGACAGTGTGTGGGTCTCAGATTCGCAACCTGTTATCCACCTTAAACAAACTCACGCGAAGGCCACCGTTTCAACTGTAACCCTCACTCAGGTGTAAGGTCATCCTACTCGGAAAATCTGTATCTGCATATCTGTACATGAATTCTGTATCTGTGCATTAATATGTATCTGTACACGAATCTGTATCTGATGGCAAATAAAGATATCGTGTGATTGCCATAGATACGACGGAGTAACTAAAAACGACCATTGTTTCCTCCAGCCGCCCGCCAACTTCTGGGACGAGAACGACCGTAACGACATCTACAACGCGGTTCTGCTGGGCCTGGCCTGTCTGTTCTGTCTGCTCCGCTTCATCCTCGTGCTGGTCAACCATCGCAGGAAGCCCATCGACTACGGGTAAGGCATTTGGCAAAATAGCCTCTACCAGGCTCTTGCCTGAAGCGCCTGTAAAGAGTAGACATTGGCCAAATCTGCAAGCAGATCCCTTTGGTGGCAGTATCCATTAGCCAGAGAGGGTCGCCGGCCACCGACAGGTTGGTTGGGGTAGCGACAAAAATGGGCCATATATAAAAAGCAACGATCTTCCCCCATCAACTTCTGCTTGGAGAGTACAAATAGACAGATAACATGCCGGGGGAGTTAGACTAGTAACGGGTCGTTAACCGGTTAGAGGGGGCATAGTTTGCTGCACCCAATTTCTACTGTTTCCTGCTGCTTCTGAAGCCTGGTAGAGGCTACGATCGTCGGACGATTGCAAACTGATTGCATTCTTGGGATAGTTGAGTAAGTGTCCTGCAAAATCTCATCAACGATTTCCCCAATATATATGACGAACATGACCTGGCCATAATCGTAGACAGTCCCTAGTAAAAAGCAAATGCCTGGAAAGTTAATGAAAGGAAGGGTAATGAATAAACTTTGCGCAAGGGCGAGAGTGTGTGTTACGTAACATCTAAGTCGCTCCATTGAGTTACAACTTTATCCTCCACACAACGGCACATACGAATTCAACATAGCCATATTTCCTCAGATTCCGACGTTACTGAGCATGCATGATTACTTAGTAAACTTTAAGTTCTTCACCTTCAAACTTGAAGGTATGCCAACAGAGTACCAACTCTTACCCTGCTATGCCAGGTATAGGTTCTTGATCCGGCTATTTTTGGCATGTTCTAAAGCCTTCACAAAAGGCACTTGGCTGCCACTTTGGTGCCCAAACGGTGAGGCGGCCTACATGAGTCCTTTGTGAACAGGTAGGAAAGGCGGTGGAAAGACTCTCCAAACCGCGGGTCTTTTGTTGGAAACGTTCCCCATTATCTAAGGTCAGCCACAGGTCAACTGTGATGACGCACTGCGTGGTTCTAACAACTGGTGCATGCGCAGAGAGAACGTGAAGTCCATGATTTGTGATTGGACATAAACTTCCAGTTGTTTTTGTCAAAATCTTAAGATAAAAGACTCGGTACAACAATATTGGTCAGGATTAAGATTTAGATTGTCGCAAACCTACACTGGTGGCTGTGTTGTGTTCATGTAGTCAATTTACTATTGGAGAAATATTTCATTTTTAGTTTCCTTGTATTTATTGTAGCTACAGTATTGATGAACTGTCAATATTTTCTTCACCTTTTTGATCTACTACATCTACAAAATCACAACTACTAATCACAATGTATTGATTATCTGCTAATCATTTATCAATTTGTCTCTTTTTTTCCAGAATGTATTGATCACGAAGACTGATCCACATTGATTCCAACTGATTGATGACGCAGGATGATTGACACCAATCACAGAACACGATGATAAGAGATTATGAGATTGATCTTACTTAATTGAAATATGATTAATTGGTTAAAATGCAGTAATCGAATGTTGAATGGTATCTTTACATGTTAATCATTACATGGTTATGAATGAACTTGATCAACGAATGAAAGGGCATTGAAAGCTCTATGAATGTAAATTCCCTTTGGATGTACAGTCAAACCTGTCTATCATGACCACTTCAATACTTTTGTCATTGGGAAAGATTATCTAAGGGGCCATCAAAAAGTGGCCACAAAGGTGGTCCTAATAACTAGGAGTGGTCCCTAATAACTAGGTTTGGCTGTACTTATTAAAATATCACTGAATGAGAATTAGCGATTCAATCAAAAAGAAAAAAAAGCCATTACTGTATGGAAACATTTTGCCATACCCATGGGAAGGTCCTTAAATATTTTCTCCACCTTTACTGGAAGTCTTCTTCTCCCATGTTTGTAGCGAGGATTACCCTGATCAGGAGCAGTTTGAGATGGTCAACACCAAACGGTTTGAGAGACAAAGGTTCAGCACGATGGCATAGACAGTGTCAAACATTTGTTATGCTTAAGTTTTTAAACGTTTTACAAGTTTGAATCATTAAGAATCCCATTGCATTGCAATTGAAATCTAGTCTTACAGGAGTCCTCTTATAATGTTTACAAGTATAGTAAAATGTTGAACTTTATTCCAACACAAAGTTATACACAGAGATCAAATTTTCAGTGACCACTGTCGCCTTCATCAGGATAATTAATGTTGTTTACAATGTTTACTAGTAGTCATATGCCCCCTTTCCACTGAATGGAGACCGTTGAGAAAACCAAATTGGAAATCAGTGAACTAGTAATGACTTTATAGATTGAAATGATCCATGACTGCAATGTACACTTACTAGTGTTATAGAAGGGAACTGACGTTTTGGAAAGGATGAAGAAGCAGTAAACTATATTTGTCTGTCTGAATGTTAAACAGAAGCTTATGAAGGTGAGCTGTGTAAGCTGGGGAATGGAAAGTAACAGAAAGTGTCATTATCTGACTCCAACAACGTGAAAAATGTTGTTTGGCAGCCAGATTATGTATAATATTGTATAATGATATAATCTAGTTACCAATATTATTGTTTGAAGATAGATGGAGTAGAACATATTATTTTGATCATTCATTAGAATTAGGAAATTGTTTACAGATGGAAATGTATAACCAAGATGTTTTCATTTGTGTACATTTTTCTATTATTGTACCACATAACGTTATTATCTTACTTTTTTTTCCAAATATTCTTCACGTAAATTTTATGGTGGCCTTTAAAAGGTTAAAAAGCTATATTTGGTATTTATGAATAATCTTTGCTACGCTAGGGTATAGATTCTACTTAGAGTATACCTTTATATGATTGTTAGAAATTGTATATATTTATACATTGACGCTGGTATAGTGTAACATTTATAGGTCCGGTGTGCTTGCATATGGGCTATTCCATCTAAAAACTTGAAGGGGTGAAACAACAGAGATGAAGAAATCTAATTATAGATCTAGATGGAGTCAAAAATGTTTGTGAACACCCCTTTGAACTTTTTGAATGGTATAGTCGTGACTACTGATCGTTACTGCTCTTTGCCAATGTTCCTAGCTTGATGCCATGACATATGCATGTAAGGTATAGTTATAATATTCTATGTTTCCTGCTTTGTATACATTTGGTTCTGAATCAATAAAGATCCAGAAGGAAACCTTTGCAGTAGAAGTGGTCAGAGTTGAAAGTGTGGATGTACAGTTAAGTTTAAGTAGTTTAGATTCAGAAAAGCTTCCTCTTATATAATGGTATAATCAGCTACAGTAGTGCTGACAACAGACCACCCATTGATAAAGTGTTGGAGTGTTGGTATCTACAAAATGTATATGTCTCAGGATTCTTGAGCTCTCTGACATGGAATTCAAAACACACACAGACACACACGCACAAAAGACACTGAGAAAATTACTGAAACAGTTACCTAATTTCCAGGATGAAATTTTAATTCTTAGGTCCTCACAAAATCAGACAGTTGGCCGATGCTAAATAATCTTCAAGCGAACAATAAGTCACAATTTCTGCATGGCTAATTTTCATTGACTCTTTGCCGATTTTTTACTGGTTCAAATCTCTGAATTCTGCATTTTACTCTCCACAAAACCACCCATGATACAGTGTGTCACAATCATACACATAAAGTACTACTAACTTTTCTTATAGATGCTAGCCAGAGGTATTATGGGTCTCTCCTTACCCTAAAATTATCTTACCTACACCTACATGAGGCAGTGTTGTGATAGAGCAAAAATATCTGTTTGATAAATATTTCAGCTAACACGGTTCTAACTTTGTCACTACATAATTGCACAAGGGGATTGGGCAACAGAAAAGAACATTTGCACGATTAATAAAATTTTTAGATTTGAAGGGCTATTAAACTATAGGGAGAAAACAAAACAAATTGCACTAAGATCTTTTACACTAACCCATGCCTACAAGTCTTCAAGCCTTAATCAGCTTGGATTGTTTCAGTACCAATCCTTACTCCAATGCAAATTGGAGAGAGAACAAAATGTTTGTGTTAGGAATTTTGTTGTGTATATCAGCTATGGCTGGCTTTAGCACAATCATGATTCAATTATTTTTCATCTAAATGTCTTACCACATATTGAGGAATGTATTTCTTAAAAGGTTCCAGTAAAACAACAAAAAAGAGTAAGGCAGAATTATAACACATAATAGAAGTTCCTATGTATACCCCAAGCCTTGAATCACCATCATCATAACACTAAGTACTAATCTCTTATTGATAAATGATGATAACCACTACACCTGAAAGCTTTTCCCTCTAACACCCAAATCATCACCTAAAATAGCTGTTCATTTTCCCCTCCTAACTGCAAAATGAAAACTGCATACACCTTTATGATAAATTGTTGCCAAAACGATAGCTAAGTGTATGACATAGCACTGGTGTATTCGTCATAATCTTTGACATTTTTCATTGTGAATTTCTAATAAAATGTGTGACTGTTGTTGGTTATCATCAATCGCTGAACAACTTTTTCACCTCCGCAAAAATCTGTAAAATAGAATAGAAGACATTCAATAATCATTAGAGCTCAGCAGCAAAGGTTTCCAATATCTAATTCAATCTAGGATGAAACTTCTTTGTTTTAAGGTCTAACAGATCTATAGAGACAAGAAATATGCAATCCAAACATAGAGTAACTCTGTTTACTGTTAACAAAATCAGCAATCATACATATCTAGCACAATTGTATATCTAGCAAATACATCTAGGTGAACAAGGACTCGTCATCTTGCAGGAAGCCCTAAGACCACAACATTAAAACTTTCATATCCCCAAAGTATGACACTTCTGATATGTGGCTTTTCAAGACATTCTTGAAAAGGCCTTGATAACACTGTTTTTGGTTCTTCAAATGTGGTGATCTTAGCGTATCTCACAAGCATTACAAGAGTTGATGTTACAGCAAAATTGCTAACAAAAATAAATGCAAATAAACAACTCAAGACTCTGACCTCATCTTCCGTGCCTGCGGCGTCCACCGTCCTGACCAGGTTCAGTTTCTGGTAGTGGTCGATGATGGGCCGTGTGGAGTTGGTGTAGGTCGAAATTCTGGGGACAACAGACAACTTTCATTCACATTTATCCTAGCCTGGATGCAAGACTGTTTCCAGAACCTACACAGGCTAGTTCCTCAGCTCCAGGGCCAGCATGCCCCCAAGGAAATTATACCACATTCCCCTTCAGTTAGACATCAATCAATCTTCTTCAACATTCATTTTTGTGATCTTCTCTGAACAAGTTACAGTAAGTTCTTTCCTTGAGGGTATGTTGGCCCTGGAGCCTAAACATTTTGTCTGACCCTTACCCTTCCCTCATGACCTCAATGAAAAGCAGACTGTAGGCCGATTTGAGTTTCTCGTGAATAAAAAAATGGTTCCAACCTTTTCCTGAGGCTGTCCAGGTTGTCGTCTGACCTCTTGGCCCCGGCCTTGGCCTGTTGCTCACCTCTGTGCAGACAGCGCTGCACACACACCTGACAACACAGACACAACAGTGGTTACAAAGGAGATACATTGTACTTTTACCCATGAAAATCCAAGCATTTTAGTGAAGCGGTATCAACAGCATTGTTGGAACATTGGCATATCACTTGAGCTTCATAGGCATGCAGCAGTAGCTACAAATACATGTATATGATATATCACAAAGAACATATTTCTCCTAAGCCCTTCATATCTAACTCCATCTATTGTTTGAAGCTATCTGAAACTTACTTTTCTGTTACTCAGAGGTAGAATTATAACTGGTACTTTCTCTGTTAGATAAGGTAGAAACTCGCTAGCCTGACCATATCGTGCTTCTAGCAGCCCTGACACTGGCCAGAACCTGTAGTGAGGGGCTCCATACAGCCCTGAACAGTAATAGTTTGTGTTACACAGACTATAAACCCACCTCCTCGGAGCAGTCGAAGAAGAGGACAAACTTGAGGTTGGTTTTGTCCTGCATCCTGTCGTTCCAGCCCTGCAGGTTGTCCTCATTACGGGGGAAGCCGTCGATCAGGAACTTCGTACTGGCACTCTCCTTCATAGCCTGGGAGAAAGTTAGGACTGTTAAAAATAATTATATCTATAACAAGAGATTGTCACATGTTTGTTGCTAGTTGTGAGAAGTTTTACCTGCATGTTGGAAAGCTGTCTACAAACACCCAAGCTGCTGCTCCTGCTTGTATTTTTAACTCTTCTACATAAGACTGATGAAACCTTTCTGTCATCAGATTTGTAACTCTTGTTAATGTATTTCACATGTTGTATGTGAATTCGAGTCCATGACGTTTTGATGCTGAAAAGCACTACAACATCATATACTGCAACACTGCAACAAGAATACATTGCGAACATTTTATAGAAAGCTACTAACAGTCCAGTCTTTAGTTTTGATTATAACATAGCCATTCTATAAGGCTGATGATGATGATGGCTACAGGCACTATGCTGTGATTATTGATGATTATTGATTATAGCTAACCTACCCGTTCTATAAGGCTGATGGTGATGGCTACAGGCACGATGCTGCCATTCTTGATGTGAGTCTCGATGAGTTCTCCGTACTCTGACCCGGGGCTGTTCCGCTCTGCCCTCAGCAGGTCACCAGCCGACAGGTGGACATAACCAAACTCCTGTAGACACGGTGAAGCAAGCGGGGGTAGAGTTTTAACCATGAAAAAGCAAAGAATATATTCATTGACATCACATGAACATGAAAAGTTGCCTCTTTTACACTTGCTTAGGTAGGATCTAAGACTCTAAGACTAAGTACAGTATCTGCAATAGTACAATGAAAGAAGTTGCTGAAGTTTGAACAGGTTTGCACATTCTACATGTATTCTTGTGTTTGGATGAGGACAGCTGACCGTTACCATAACAACAGACTTAGGGTTCCTTAGATAAACAGACCCTGGATCAATACTAGTCCTCTCTCTTTACTCAACACCTCCTGTTATTGATCTGCTATTCTTCTAGTTTCCCTATAGTTCTGGAAGTAAAGTGAAAGTGTGGGGATATCACTACTAGAACAGAAGAAGAAAATCATTGACAGTGAAACCTCAATTGAATGTCAAACTTACAAATAAGATGGTTGGTTTCACAGCTTCTGTCATGATGAGTTTTATCCAAAATTTGCCCTACTTTAAACGTTAAAATAAGTTAAATACCAAGACGATAAACCGGCAAGGCCTTAGACTAGTTAGAGAAGTTCACCTTGACAATGTTGAGACTCTGCGTGCCCTTCCCTGCACCCGGTGGTCCCAGTACAAACACGATGGTCGGCTTCACAGCTTCTGTCATGATGAGTCGCCTCGCTACAGACACGGCCTGCCAGAACGTCACAATCATAGATCTGTGGCGAAGTGGGGATAATTTGAAATCAATTTAAGAAGAGCTTAACAACCCTAGCTTTTACAGCAGGCATGTTATGACCGTATTGCTTTTTTTCTGTTGATGATTAGTTACGAATAGACTTACTAAGTTAGAACAGGGCTCTGCTGCATGTATCTAAGCAATGGAATAATGATGCTGAACCACTTTGTTATGATCACAACAACACATTTTCAATTTTCAAATTTTGGCAATTTTGCTAAGATAAGAATTCATCAGAATTTGCTCGTTTGAGGCCTAAACCCACACTACGAAGAGCTACTGTGCACACCACCTTGCTCTATATCTAATGAGAGCCCTGTACTGTTTTCTGATTTATGTTCTGATGCCTCCTATTTTCTATAACGCACCATTATGATTTATAATCTGGCCATTAGTTTGTAATAAGCACAAATAATGGCACATCTAAAATTGAGATGCCTCCTAAAGTGGCTATGATGGCACGGCACCGTATTAGTGTTGCAGCAGTCAGATAATGACATATAATAGTTCACGGAAAAACCTAAACCTCAGGTAGGGTTTGGGGATGGAAGTGGAGCAAGGTTGGTGACAAAAAGGACTGAGGAGCTGTCCTTCTAAACCTTATTACAATTTACAAGCTCAGTGATCTGTAAATGGCACATTGTGTCCTTCGAGCAAGGTAAAGCATTTGAATACAGTTAAGTGCCTATTATAATTGCTAGAAGCAGATTGTGGTGCACTCTAAGAGAAGATCACCATGACAGCAACTCTTACATAACATTGGTAAGACTTATGAATTATTTACAAACCAGTTGTTAAGAACAACAAATCAAAGGCATAAAATCAATGTTGTAGTAGCTTTCTAAAGTGCAGAAATCTAGTTTGAATATACTTGATGTTCTACGATTAAAGAAATCTAACTCAGTAATGAAAGCCATGAACTGAAAATAAGAAAATATAAAACACTCCAACCCAGCACTCAAACTCAAATTTTATAACATATAGTTACTGCTAAAAAGTGAAAGTTCTGGGGTTAATAAAAAGGGAAAGGAACAACACATCAAGCAAGAAACAGAGCAATATCAATTCTTCACATCATTATGTTAGACACACGATCAAGAAAATCAATCCAAACTTGATTGTTGTCTTATCTTTTAAGGATAATTAAATGTCTGTCCATCACCACACCTTTGATTTACTGTGTCCACTGGGAGAAAAACCTGTGTGATCAAAGGGAAGAAACGTGAAAAATCGTCTTAAACCGTAAGAAACATCGTCCTAAATAGAAGTGTGAACGATCAAATGTCTTGGGAGAAAGTGAGGAGTGGTAAGGAGGCCAGTGAAAGTGAAGAAAGGGAGAAGAAACAGGTGAGAAGATAAGAAGCCAACTCACCTGCCAACATGTACAGATCAAATGCCGGCTTAGAGTGCAACCAACCGAAACAAAATGTGTTTCAAAATGTAATAAACGTGCGCCTTTATACAAAGAAATCTTACTTCTTTCATGTGAATATAACATATAGTAGTGTATTACGGTTGTTTGTTTGTTTGATATGCATAAGAATTGTTAAAAATAATGAAAACAAGAAATGTTGTTTACGTTTGGATGCCACCGATTGACCTTTGATCAGGAAGCCAAGTTTGCGGGGTCACTGCACATGCGTACTAGGACTGGCGGTTGAGCGCGAATTTTGACAGACTTTTGGACGATCTTTTGAAGAAACTTCGGCAAATTCAAATGTTTGACCAGATTTTGAGCAAAACCGTGCATTTTGAAGGTAAGGGGTACCTTATGTTGCTGTATCTATTGTCATATGGTGGTTAATTATCCCCAAAACTTATGTTTTTGAAGCAAAATTTATTATGTTGTTGAAGTTATAGCGCCCCCCTGCCCACTATGTAAATATTGTCTGGGCATCTTTGCAAGCTTTGTAAATTTGAATTACTAGTACCACAATCATCTTTGATTTCATGACTGTAATTTAGGATCGTGGCGTTTTGGTAAATCTTCTGTTGTCAACTTTGATGACAAATTATGGTGGTTTTCAGAAAAAATCTGTTAATGGCAAAAAAATCAACAACAGCAAGACAGTATGAGTATGAAAATTGCCCCTATTTTATAAATTTCACGATTTATAACGATCTGTCTTAATTAATTGTAATATTCTACCTCAGGATCAGAGTGAGTTTATCCGAGGCCCAACATGAGTGTTCGTGTGGACATGAGTAAGATGCCGGCACATGTCAGGGACTCGGCTTATTTTGTGTCCAAAGGCAACAGTTCAGGGCAGAAAGGAAGAAAAAGGTAAGAAAGTCACTTCAATGGCTACGGACTTTCACCACACACACGTTAAAGAACCCACCACACCTTTGGAAAAAGAGTAGGGGCATGCCCCGTGTGCGATGGTACAAATTCTACAATCTGGAGTCTTGCCAAGAATTGTCATTCGATCAGTATGATGATCGTGGGCATTAAATGAAAGACAAGACTTGTCTGTGGGTGAATTCAAAATTGACTTTTTATCTTGTACTTGCAAATTATAGCTGTGTACTTTGTTTATTGCAAATATCACAAAGGACAGTGGTAGGGAACTTACATATTGTCTTGTTTTCAGGTCTACAGAAAACACAGGGATTGTACCACTGAGTTTTCCTGCAACAAGGGCTGTGTTATGGTATGTTAAGATGTGTAGTTTGAAACAAGATAAAAAGTTTTTCTAAATACTAGGGAGTAAATTTGGCCTAAAGAGTGTGTGCACATGTTGGATCATTCAAAGGTATATTGTTTTTGACAGGAGCTATGCTGGAATTTACAATGTTAGTTACATGATTAGACATTTGTTTTCAACTCATTCATGCAGGAGCCGAACCCCAACAGGAACCCCCTCCACACTCCATCTGACCCACTACAGGTGAGTTGTGACTATACTTACTTTAAGACAATTAAACAACGGCACGTCTAAGCTTCAATTTGAACAAAAAAAGAAGTGATATAGTGAAAACTATATGGGTAAATACATGCAGTGATGGCTATATTTGTTATGCAGTAGTTTCTTCCCTGAAAATGATTTAAGATAATATTGATGTGTATTTCAGGAACTGCCAAGTTCTGGTGCTTGAGAAGACCCTGCGACTTGCCCAGAGACATGCTCTACAGGCAGAGAACAGTCCCTTCTCATGTTTCCTCATCGGCAGTGCTGTGGTCGACTCAGGTACACAGTCTCTGTGGAATATGTTGCCTCAGACAATGTTAAGATGTAGCCTTACCTGGTCTGGTTTCCAAACCTATGATAGCTCCCGAGTCCTACATTGTACATCCTCTCCGCAAATGAGAGGTTGTAGGACTCGGGAGCTATCATAGGCTTGGAAACCAGGCTAGTTAAAATGTACAAACAACATTCTTTTTAGCTTTTAATTATGTGGCTCTCCTATCATTTATCATGTCTGTCATTGTCAGCTCTTTCTTCTACCTTTGTTGACAAGCAAAATGTTAGCCTGGATACCAAACCCATAGCACACAAGGCTTTAGTAAAGTTATCCTCTCACACTGGATAACTTTAGGCCTAGTGTGCTATGGGTTTGGAATCCAAGCTAGCAAACTGTTTTTGTGCAACAAATGTAGCAGCCACACACTGAGATTTCACAATTCACACTACATATTACATATAGCTGGTGTGTTTTGCCAAGGGGCGGTTATACCAGTTATACAGATACAGAAGCTGGTGTGTTATGCTAAAGGATGGTTATACCAGCTATATAGATACAGAAGCTGGTGTGTTATGCCGAAGGGCGGTTATACCGGCTATATAGATACAGAAGCTGTTGTGTTGCGCCGAAGGGCGGTTATACTGGCTATACAGATACAGATAGTGAGATACAGACAGATATATTACGTGTTTTCTTAGCTATATCTTTTCTCCTTATTCCATTGACAGATGAGGAGGGAGTGACTGTAACGTTGGACAGGTTTGATCCAGGCAGGAGTGTACCAGGCAGGACAGAGAGGATCCCGACAGCCTCACTGCTGGGGGACCATGTGGTGCAAACTGCCATCACGGTGAGTTTACTTTTCAATGGTTTGGCAGACAGCTTATCAAATGATCTGGTTTGTCTGAAGTTGAAAGTTTAAAGGGTGAAGTCCTTCCCGCACCACGTGGTACATGATAGGTGCCACACAGTTCTGCAATCACTACAGCAGGAGGCTAATTCACTGGTAGAGGTGTGTGTTTTGTCCAAAAGCTGCACCAAATTATATTTGATTCCAAAGTTTTCAGACATTTTGTGTTTTTGTATACAAATATTTTATAAACCCAAACTTTTTTGTAACTCTGTATTTTTCTGCCCAGCTAACAAAAAGGGCTCCAGGCTCAGAAGCATCAGTCACCAGTTCGAAGGAGATCTTTACCAAGACACTGCAGGTAAATGTGTACATAGTACTGTAGTAAACAAATACATACATTATAAGTTGCAGGCATCCTCAGTCTATGTCATGAAACAATGGTTGTGCTCTGAACGTTTTAATGGGTGTGGGCAGTTTCTAAAGTGACTGTATCCATAATAAAGTTGAATCAAACCAAAGTGATGGAAAGGGCAGACAGATTCAAAACCTGGTAAATTCTGTGAACTGACACTACAATCTAGTTGTAATAAGCTATAAGGATCGTACTGTTTTCTCAGATGATGGTAGACAGAACTCTGGAGTTTTTTAACTGGTATGTACAGTGTCAGAAGTACCTGTATCCATAGTTAAGTTGTATGAAACCAAAATAATGCAAACTGTAGATTCAAAGCAGGTCAATCCTATGAACAAACCTGATGTTGTCATTCTGTAGACAATTTCTGAACTGTTAATTCTTTATCTCTCAGTCCCTCCACCACCACTGCTGCAGTAAGGACCCAGTGGACATCTCCAACTCCCTGGCCCTTCATGCTCACATCTACGTACAGGACGAGGGAGACGCCATGACCTTTGACCTCCACTTGTCGGCTGTCTCCATGGCGACGTGTTTTGAGGCCACGCCCGTGACCCCCGTGCCCATCATCCCGACAGCGCTGGCCCGTAACCTGGCCGGACCGCTCAACCTAAGCGAGGTGCAGGGGGCACCCAAATCTGGGTAAGGAGTCCAAACATAAGCAGTGTACAAAATACTTTTTTAAACCAGGTTGCCCAGTGGGCAACCTACCGCAAAAATTAGGTTGCCCATCAGAATTTTAGGTTGCCCCACCTATAAGTTACTACTTTCCTCAAATTGAGTAATGTTACATACATAAGCCTTTGACAATATATCTAACAGCCTTTAGTTAACTGATACTATCCAGATACAGTGGTGCAAGTCAAGTGGGCATGGTTGTGGGGGGGGGGGCATTCTTAAAATTCAGGTAGCACACTGGGCTACCTAAGTTAAAAAATAGGTTGCCCCAAGTAAAATTTGGTTGCCCAGGGCAACTGGGCAACCAGGTATTTTGCACGCTGATAAGGGATCAAATTGACAAGAGAACTGCCAATTTCTAATAAAGTAGAGGACAAACAATTTTCTCTATCACGTTGGTTGAATGCCCAGGAGGTTTGCTTTGTGAGAGAATCACTTGAAAACTTACTGATAATATTATATACTAGTATATATTTCCTCAATTTTGGGATGGTACTTTTTGTAGATCAAATGTGACCCACGATCAAAATTGTGCCAGTACACATCTTCTTTCCAGTTGCAATATAAGGCAAAATACAGCTGAGGTTTGATATTTATGTGCTCTCCACATGCATTGCCTTGTACTAAGATATCCCTGCCTGGCCAATTATTTCCCAGGTTCCTGACCATGGACCAGACCAGGAAGCTGCTCCTCCTGTTGGAGTCTGACCCCAAGATATACAGTCTCCCATTGGTCGGCATGTAAGTTCTTACTGTTCATACTGTCTGAATGATGAATGGTATATAATGTGTTACTGCTACATATGGCTTAATATACCTGTTGTAGTGTCTAGAAATGACAACCTCACAATACGTGTATTAAGGAATGATCAAAAAATTTTGAATTGTCAAGAATGTATTTTTCACCTCATGTGTATGTTTTGGGCTTCAGCAAATTTAGGTGCCATTGAACAATACAGCTTGTGGCTGACAGATGCAAGTGGACCATGTACATTTGTTTTTCTAACTTCCTCCTGCACTTTTTTCCAGCTGGGTGTGTGGTCCAGTGAACATCCACAGTCCCCACGTCTGGGCCTGCTGCCTCAGATATATGTACAACACTAACATACAGGACAGGTAGGGAGAAAGTTCATATTGAAGCTGGCCAGGAAACTTTAGAATTTAGAATACTACAAGAATAGTTCACATGTACATTTGAAGAGAAGTATGTGCGTGTGCTGTTCTCTTGTAGCCTGGGTACCATCCCCAGTAGTATATTCGCAAACTCTATAACTGGGTCTGGACTTGCACACATATAAAACGATTGGTCATGACGTCACGTAATGAGCTAGCCCGAGCAGCGGGGCTTCATTTGATTGGCTGAGCCTCAGAGGCGATGGCCAATGGCGCGCCTGCATTATTCAAGTGATGTTTGTTGTTTTGTAAACACAGATCTTCGCGCGAGTGTTCCTTTTCTCGGTGCGTTCTTTTTTTTTTACCGGTAGGACGCCCAAAACATCACGAACGAAATTATTCAATGCATCTTTTTGCTCATTTTTGAGCGACGATATTCCGTCTAAATCGTCCAAAACGGACGTGATTGCGAGGTCAACATCAACCTCCGTGAGCTGAGCGGCTTGTGCGTCAGCCATGTTGATGATTTATCGCGGAAAGACTGACTACGGCTATATCATGTGCGCTTTAGCGTTCGGTTCGCCGTCGGACATGTTGATGATAAGGCGTTCGGACGTTCGAACGGACGCTAACGTCGCCGTTCGGACGTCCGAACGGCCCTTACCTAATATGTACATACCCCAAAAAGGGCTTAGACGAGTAGGACCAATCAGCGCGCTCGTTCAAAATCTGAACGAATATTCAGACTCCAGACGCTACATATGTGTGCAAGTCCAGACCCAGTTATAGAGTTTGCGAATATACTACTGGGGATGGTACCCAGGCTAGTTCTCTTGGACAACTCTTAGTGAATTTCTGCAAATGAAAAACTTGCAGATTAATACATGTAAATTATGTTGTAACATTACCCATGTACGTATGTACTTGGATACTTGTACTCCATCTCTCTCTATCCGGTTTATCATCTGTCGTTCCCCACATTCCTAGGGTTAGACATGCTTGCACTCTGATGCTGGGGCTTGATCGATGGCAGCCTGCCACTTGCCTCTGTCCTGTTGTTAATGGGCACAGCAAATATCAATACCCCTGTTACTAGTGGGTTAGAGTCTCAGCAACTTCACCGGCATTGTACTGTTAAACAAACCCCCCTGTTCCCCCCTCCAGAGTGTACACCCCCCTGCAGGGGTTCCTGGTGGTGCTGTACTCCCCCACTCACTCCCAGCCTGAGTTCTACGACTGCAGGACTAAAGACGGCGTCATGAACTTCAACCTCTACAACTGCTTTGAAACACTGCATGTGTTGAAGGTAATCTCTCTATCTATTGCAGTTGGAAAGGTTGAGTAGCATCATTTGCACTGGAAAATGTTGCTGAATGAAAGCACTAAAGGTTTAGTATAGCCAGTGCCACTGAGTTGTAGTACTTGTACTCCATCAGACATTTAATTGAATGTCAATTTTATCTCTTGAACTTACCCGAAAGCCAGGACTTTTACTTAGGACTCATCGCAATGATAAAAACTCTTAAACACTCTTCAGAATTTAGATGTTATTCCACCAATTCATTCATTATTAAAATTGCTTATTTTTTGTATATTTGATTTTATGAACATTTGAATTGTTGATACAGGATGCGGAGAAGATGGACAAGCGTCCGCTGCATCTGGAGTTGGTGCCTGCAGAGGACGGGCAGAACTTTGCACTCTTTCAACAGGCACTAAACGATATGGACCCCATAGAGTGAGTTATCAACATATACCTTTTATAGTGCATGCCTTTATTCGATTCACTTCAATCTGTTCAATAAGTGATTAAGCTTATTAGCTAAACACTGAACTATTGTAGAATTTTGGTCTATCCATTGCGAAAAGGAAATGCAAAACATAATACAATGTATTCTTTTATGGTGGAAATTGTTTAAAATTACAAGCTGATTTTACCTGTATGTCAATTACATATTCGAGGAATATAAATCTGTCTGGTGAGAGATTGATACGTTACATAAATGCTCAACCTTCAACATTATCATACCATGTTCATAGATGTCCGACCGCCATGTCACCTGATTCTGCCATGAAGAGGATGTTCCCTGGGGAGGACAGTAACCATGGTAACAGTCACCATGACAGCCCAGTGCCACGCCCCTCTCCCTCTCCTCATCCCCTCTCAGGAAAGGTAGGGATGTTTCCTTGTTTCATCATCATTAAAGTTTTGTGTTTTTGTCCTCAAGACCGAACAAGGGCTGATAATTCAGATCAACTGAGATATTAATTTTGCAATAGATAATTAATTCTGTTATCTGATTCTGATAAAGACAGTGTTTATATATCACTAATATGGAACTGAACAAAGTAACTGTTTGCAGTGTACTTGATAAGTAGGAATTCCATCTACAAATCTTCTATCAAAACAGAACTTTAAGCAGTTATGTTGATAAGAATGAAACTTGATTGTGACTTTTTCTTGTTTCTCCTCCCTCTAGTCTCCAGTGGTGCAGCCTTTGGTACCAGAGCTGTCCATGGTCTTTGACAGCTTCTGCGAACTTCTTCCCCAGAACGTCAACAAGCTGAACGACTCCCTCCTGGGCAAAGAGAACCAAACCGTGAACCAGGGAGGAGGCAAGCACGTCCACTTCGCTCCCTCCAACACTGCATCGCCAAAGGGTGTGACATCTCCACACACACATGCTTCTCCACAAGGGAGACAACCACTGAGGAACTACAACTACCAGACACCGCCTCAGGATGGCAACCAAACAGACCAAAAACAGCACAGTGGTGGAAACCACCCACACCAGTCTTCAAACTCCAAGCAATACAGTAGTAAACAGCCTTCCTCTAACATCCACACAGCAGATGCTCACGACCAAGGCAAGGGTGCACCACATCATCCACATGGCAATGTCCCTACTCATAGGCACACAGCTCCAGCCAACCCACCCAGGGGTTACGCACCACCCTATAACCCATCTGCAGCAAACCCACACATGCCGCAGCTACAGCAGCAACAGAGGTTTGTGCCACAGCCTGACTGCAGCAGACATCCACTGCCATTGCCTGCAGGACTGAGGCAGCAGTCTTATCCACCAGGTCCAAGGCTGGTCCAGTCATATGGTCATCCAGTGGGGTCTACTCAGGCCTGGAATGGTGTCCAGACTGGTCGCATGCCTCAAAATGGTCAAATGGCTCAGAATGGTCAAATTCCACCAAATGGTCAAATGCCCCAGAATGGTCAACTGCCTCAAAATGGTCAAAGGCCTCAAAATGGTCAAATGCTTTGGAATCATCAAATGCCTCAGAATGGTCCAATGCCTAGGGTTGGCCCTCCAAGACAAGACATGGGCCCGAGACACAAGCCTCCTCCCCAACCTTACAGCATGCCCCCATCCCATCCCTCACACGTGCAGCAAACACAGAACGGAGACCAACACTGGCAGCCACGACCTCCAGCCTACCCCCCTCAACAACCCTGGCAGCCATCAGCGAATTACAACCACCGGGCCCCTCAAAACAACACCTATCAACCAGCATCACAACCGTATAGTCAACAAACACTTCAAGGAGCACAACCACCTCACCCAGGGATCTTAAAGAATCCTCAACAGAAACCTGTAAAGTCACAGAGGTCAAAGAAAAGGAATTCTTCCCACGGAACACCACCAGAAGGTCATCACCATGGAAACAGTGGTCATCACCACGGTAACAGGCGTCCTCCACAGGCTGTCCACTTCACACCCACCCCACATCAAATGGAAGGTTCCAATTCAGCGGCCAATCAGCAGCGAGAGAGCGATGACGAGCCCCTGTCACCAGCCAATCAGAGCGAAGGATACCACAGTGCCCTGCTGGAGCAGTCAGATGTGGCAGCCAATCAGGAGGAGAGTTGTGGGCATGCCCAGTCTGGGATGAGCCCAGATGCTTACAAACTGCTGATGCAGCAAGATGCACAACTCAAGATGCTGATGGCTCAGGTATAATTTAAAATTATGTGTGAATTAATAACAATGTCTTCTTTACTAGGATTTATAATTTACAGGAAAATGTTTCAAAGAAAGTTCAATGAACAAAGTAAATGGTATTTTTTAAATCTGTATTAGTATAGCTGGTATAACTACCCTGTGGTCTTGTTGCTGTCTATTTTCTCAAGCAAGAATGATGACAGTGTCCATGCGTCTTTCTGACATCTTGTGCTCAAACTAAATTGATTCTCTCGTATCCACAGATACAGCGTCTCCTTGGAGCACAGACCCCCAGTGGGGGCGCAGAGCAGGAAGGAAAAGCTCCATCATCCATCCCTTCACCCACTTTCAATCATCAGGCCCCGCCCACCAATCCTAATCCTTCAGCCAATCAGGGAACACAGATGCATGATGGCAGCAACTCTGTTGACACTGAAGTAAATACAGCCAGTGTAGCTTGCTCTTCTGAAGTCTCACACACTGAAAAAAGGACTGCATCTATCGCGATCAACACTGGGACCAGTCTGTACTGGGGTGATGCAAGTTCAGAGGTCACCTCCCAAGAACAAGCCAATCAAGAAGCTCTGCATATGTCATGTGACATACAAGACAGTAGTGCTCATGAAACAGTTACTGGTGAAACATCACCCAAATCACCAGATGAGCTGGTAGCCAATGAGAGGAGTGGATACACATCACATGATCATGATGGAACCAATGAGCGGAGTGTAGGCACATCACATGACCACGAGGGAACCAATCAGCAAGGCTCCTTTGGCGTGGACCTGAACCAGCTGCCTGTAGAACAAGAAGCAGGTCCTCAGAGCAGTATGGTCTCCTCTCTTCAGGCGGTCGACATCGAGAGTTACGCTGGCAGCACTCCCTCAAGGTCTGGTAGATTTCCTTGTAGTTGTAGTTTTTATGACTAAATTAAGGGAACAACAAAATACAGTTTTGCAACTCAGAACTTTCTTACTTTAGGTATTCCTACTGTGAGTGATAGGTCTAAATTAGATTAGACAGAAAAGGAAAAGACAGAAAAGGAAAAGGTCTTGAAGCTAAATCCATGTACATGTAAATATCAGAAACTTATGTTCTTAAATGAGATTGTAATGTTTCTAAAAACATTTCTTACTTTCCCTTTACCTCTTTCTTTGTTGTACTGCAGATACACACAAATAATGAATATTATCCTACATATCTCACCACAATACTTAAGTTGGTTTTAACTTGCAGATCCTATTTGTTTCAGATCTCCACTTGACAGTGAAGCAAACCACCGGACCAGTCTGGGCCAGATGTTCCAGAGCCCAGTGCTGGGGGAGAGTGCCAGTATGTGTGTGCAACAACAACAGGTATGTAGGCTTTGGTATTTCTGTTTGTATCACATAACCAGTGCCAACATACTAGTTTTGTACTCAAGTAGTACAGTTGTAGTAAGTGCAAGGTTCATGATACCTGACTGGTTGACTGAACCAGGCTGCTCTAAGATGCTGGTAATTTTATGGATTTGGGACTCCTATCACATTCATCATCTTTTCTATCGTACATTGTTTTTTCTATGTACAGATGGAAGGTGGAGAAGAAGAGGAGGAGGAGAGATCAAACAATCCGACATCGTTCAGGGATGAAGAGCATTTCTACCAGCAGATACTGGTAAGTTATCATATCACATGAAAATTGCCAAAATTTTAAGAGTGGTTCTTTAGTGGATGTACCAACTACAAAGTGAAATTTCAGTGTAAGATAACAAGCTGCATGTCTGCAAACCTGGTGTGTTATGCAGAAGAGTGATTATACCGGCTATACACATGTGGTTAGGGCTTGATTGACTTACACTTTTACTCAGAAGTTTTTACTACAGATAGTGATCATAAGGAAGAGGCATTAATAAGAAAAATATACATCATGTACACATGTACACGTCATTGACAGACACACGTTTTTACATCCACAGGGCCAGGTGAACCAGCTCCTCCACAACAGTTCCCCTGAAGCACAAGGCCCGCAGAAGGAACCCCGCCTGTCTCTGCCTGCACATCCCTCCATCTCACCCCCTCCCAAACCCAGGAGATTGTCTGGTCAGTGTTCATGTTCTGTTTTTTTTTTTAATTCAACTTATACATTTTGTATTTAGAAACTCAGGGATTAGAACCCTCAACCCTCCAATGAACAAGGCAGTGTTACTTACCATTGAATCACCTAACACTTTGACATTTCTGGCAGCTTACTTGGACTAGGTTCACTCTCTCTCTCTAACAGTTCCAATTGGCAGTCTGGCAAACTGCATAATTTTCTATTAGACTCTTATCTTTAGTACATACAGATGACATGAAATGATTGACTTGAAATGTCAGAAGTAGTCTTTGTTTGATCTTCAAAACATCTGGGTAGCCCTGCAACAATTCGTTGATTTCCAAGGGGGCCAGAAAGCATAAAACGTATGAAATCTTCACATCGATCAGCATGATCTATTTACAGAGAGTGCTCTGTGGGAGAAAGAACACCAGCGGGTTGTCAAGGCAACCAGACGACAGCTGAAGCGGATGGGAGCAGTGGTGGAGGAGGAACATCAGCACTCCAGAAAACACACGGACCATCAAAGGTACATCATCTTCAGTTCCATGTGGAACGGTAAAGCTGTCCTCCAACTCGAAGATTGGACTCACTAGAATTTCAACTGACTTCAGCTAACTGAGTGATAGATATCAGTAATTAGTAGAGTGGATTTATTCCTCAAGCTAACCGACATCTAGCATTGCAGTCGCATCTCGGTAAGACATCTGGAGCTGCATAGTTGATGACTTCAGCTCAGATAGCTGTAAAAGACTGAGTGAGTAAGTCAGAAGTTCTGGTGAGTCCAATCTTTGCATTTAAGAACAGTAAAACTTTTCCACCTGTATTTTAACAACTTAGGTTACCTGGTGAACTTTCTTGCTAGCATTTTCTACTTCCTGAAGACGAACACTCTATTCCAGCTCTTAAGCTCTTAAGCTGGATAGTGAGTGAATGAGTGTTTGAGGCTTACTATGGCATTGGAACACTGTTTTATTTGACCTAGTGCAGATTGTGATCTTCTTGCATACCGGTATATCTTTTCTCTGCCTATCCCAGGCCTTCAGCTGCCTTCCCTAGTGCAGAATTCATCCCCAAAATCAACTACATCTCGCTCTCTGAGATGGCTCTGGAAGGCGCCGGCACCGATCTCAGCTTCGAGGCAAACGCCATCGCCATGAAGTACCTCTCAGACGACCAGCTCTCCAACCTGCCAATCACTCCCAGTTGCCATGGCAACCAGGCTCCTCCACCAATCAGATCCACGGCTGCGAACCAGTCGTTGCTAAGGGGCATGTTCAGGGGGAGGGGCATGAGGGGTAGGACCAGTTTTGAAGTGACTCCTGTGAATATGTCCATGGCCACTTGGAAATACATGAGAAGGTACGTCCTGCAATTTCATGGAGGAACATCAATGTCTAACACTTGTTGTGTGTGCTATGCTCTTAGATCATATGATGCCATTTCTTTTCGATACTACCAAATTAGTACCAATGTCTTTTTGTCGTATCTTTTGGGTATCTTTTTTGTTGTATCTTCAGGAATCTGGGAAAGAAAAATTTTTATCCCTCCTTACATTTGTATCAAATTTCCTTCCAGTACTGCCTAATAAAATGTCTAACCAAGTAGCTTAGCAGCTTCTTGATCTGAATTCTAACAGTACATTTTTATCTTTTCTATGGTATAGATGAACAGATCAAATATTGCATGTTCTTTTCCCTGATATGCACTGTACTAGTATTACCTGAATACATCTACCAATGCATAATCTTGTCAGAGGTATGGACTGATGTAAAAGATCTCAGATACCAATTGTCATTTCTTCACCAGATATGGACTGATAGAGGAAGAGGATGAGGAAACCAGTCAGGTGTTCAGCCCTCCTAAAGACGTCACCTCGAGTCGATCCTACTCCAGCTCTGAGAGTGACCAGGACGAGGAAGAACAACACTCCTCAAGGAACACACAAGGGCGTAGAAGTGAAGTGGAAGAGGCGTCTCAAGGAAGGGCAAGAAACGGGTCCAAGGAATGCAGCTGTTGCTCAGGATCCAGCCATGGTTCAAGTAGAAGAAGTGGAAACCTGAGGGACAACATGGCACAGAGCGAAGAGCCGATCGTGGTCTTTCCTGAGAAATTCAAGGGTGCATCAAGACGACAGTCTTCTTCTTCACACTCACAGTTTGAAGATGAAGAAGGCTCAAGGGTGTCCAGAGGTTCCTCAGAAATTGGAGGCGCAGATCGTGAAAGAAGAGGAAGAAGTTCAAGGGAAGGAGGTGGAGAGACAAGTAATATACTTGATCTTGGGAAGCTGAGGCAGATGCCTAAACTTCTGTAGATGAATCTTGTCTTGTTGAAACAACAGACTGTTTACTGAGGTTGTCCAAAGTTAAAGAGTTCAAACCCAATGTAAAACTGTAGCTTAGTTTTTGTATATATACTTGTAGTGTCTATTAGCAATGTAGAAGAAAATGCAATAATATTTGATGATGGTAGTACAATTTCAGTGTTCACAGCTTATGACATTGTACAAATGTGGATGAATTTTATGTATAATAAGAATTAATTGAAATGTTTTCTGCCTATCTTAAAACGTTATTGGCAACATATGGAGTGTATATGAAAGCTTTTATAAAGTGTTTTACAAATGTACAATGAGTTAAATGCTACTAGTATTCTTGTGTCATAATTGTTTCCCTAATGATCTGTCCAGTCATTCATTCAAGTATGCTACAGAATTATCCAATGGAAATGATGAAATAAAGATCTGTTGAGTGGAATGATCTTTTCAATCTCATTGTGTGAAAGCTAAATCAATCTCTAACGAGTCTTTGAAAACCCTTTGTCTCCACTAATCAATGTTTATGATTATGAATAATACCTAAGTGTGTAGTACCTGATACAGGTATAGGAATTTCTACCAACACCTAAATAAGATACGAATGCTAGAGTAAGTAAGAAAGATAGCCACCATAGCAGTCTTCCAAAAGTATTTCTGTAATTTGTATTTTTGTATATTTTTCATGAACAGGTTTTCATTATTACAGGTACACATATAGGTACACTTAAATATCTTCATCTTATACTAGTTATAGAAAAGATTTCAAAGACTAGTGGTAAATATAGTCTTACTCAGTATTTCTGACATTATAATCTATAATATATTCCGTCTTGACTTCAAGAGTTTGTGTTGAAGTCACTTAAAGACTTGCGCTCTGCAAATACTACTTCTAGTATTAGATCTACACTTATTGATGACAAGTATCATTGCGATGAGCACTTGCTTTCACCAATGGTGTAATATATTCCTTCTTTACGTCAAAAGTTAGTGTTGAAGTCACGGGTATTGCTGAATTACGCACCCCTTGTAGTCGTGACGTCATGTCCAGCCGGCCCCCGGGTTTCCGCACTGCTCCGTCAGCTGGCAACTTTACATCCATCCGCGACAGTGAGCCGGCCCAAACCCTTTATTTACTTCCGCGTTTTCCGTTTCTTTCGTATCCTTCCACCTCTACAAACCCCTCTATTCTTAGTATAGCTCTTAATTATGACAAGGATTTGATTTTGATTTGTATTTCCTTCTGAATCACGTTTTTAAACAAAATTGATATCATATCACGGACTATTTTGTAGCGCGCAGGTATACGTCAGCAGGAAATCGGCAGTGCGGCCATGTTTTGGTGATTGGTCTAGCTGCGGTATCGGCGACCGGGAAGAAAAAAATTTTCTTTGTGCGAAAATTTCTCCGTTTTCAGACGCCTTACCAATGCCCCGGTAAAGACTTGAAGATGGGGAATTGTCTTAAGACGCCTACAGCGGATGACATCTCGCTTCTTCACGAAGGGAGGGCGGGAAGCGAGACAGGAGACAGCTCAGAAAACCTCGGGCCGCCGCCACCATACCAGGTCGGTTGGTTATACATTCTCCCGGAAATGTTATCGTTACAGCCTCTTCCTCAATACACCTTAACACGATTTTAACTCATGTACAACATGGTATATTCCTTCTACTGAATCCTTGTTGCAGTTGTGCCACGATGTGTTTCAATATTATTCGGTTAGATGATTTTTATTTTAGTTCTTTGTGTGCTCCCTTATCAAAACAACCATCGTCGTCATCATGATGAAACCACTGCACAGACGACAAAAAAAAATTCCCCTCGATCGTCCACGACCGCACTTCCTTTTCGGAGAACTGGTCCTACAGACGTTAGGAAATGGCCCTTGTTTCCTTTCTTTTGTGGTTGTTTCCGTTGTGTTTTGTGTTCTGAGATCGCGTGTAAAGTTATAATCAGGCATAATTTGAAACGATATAAGCAGTAAGAAAACATTACAGAGTGCCGCTAGCCTTTGTTGACAAGATGTCTAGGTATTGTTCTAGCTTTCACGACTGGGTCCCAAAAGATTGACAGACAAAAACTGGGCATTCTCAAGTGATCATTCAAAACAAAAGTCCTACGTGCACATCTAAACGCTCTCAATGGCTGGACCGCTTTAACATACAGCTGTAAATGCAAATGATCATCCAACAAGTTAGCAGAAAGAAGTATAACGTTGTGTTAGCCTTGGGGTCAAAATGTACATAAAATGAGGAAGATAGGACATTGCCCTTTCAAAACACAGGAACAGGTAGTTCATCATATAGACTTAGCTTTCACTGTGTGTCCTATAACTCTTTCTTTGCCAGTTCTGCAGTAATTAAGTAAGATAATTGGCTTCTCTTATCTGAGACCTACATCTGGCAATTTCTCCATATGGTAATTATTCTGCTTAGATGCACACTATAAAATTCTTAATTGTTTTCGTCATATCTAGATAGGCTGCTGCATTTTGTGTTCATGTTAAGTAGAAAGACTATATTGAGTCCTTGTGTAAGAGGTTTATCCAAGTATACCAGTACAAATATACCCTAGATGCCCTTTGTGTATCTGTGTGTAAGGGCACCTGAAAAGGGGGCACGTAGGGGTCAAAGGTCAATTGAGGGGGTTGACGCTTTATGTTTGTTTTGTTTATAGTGTTGAGTTCTGCAGTAAACAGTACAAATTTGATTTTCGAAGAATCCAAAACAGGGAAAAAGGTTCAAACGAAACTTAAGGCAGGAAAAAATTTTGTGTTTCCCGACCCACCCTAACGTTTTTTGTGTGTGAACCCCTGCAAGGAACGTAAATTTTTCTAGCTGACGAACAATTTTACTAGCTCCATGATCTGACACCTGAGTGATGAAACATTGTGCAATTGGTTTTCCAACATTGACATTGAAAATGAAAGTGTCCTCATGCAAATTTTAAACTGCATTGTACATGTATAACTTGGATCACTAGATGATGGCCAAAGTTTAGAAAAGGAAATAAAAAAGATGATCCCTACCTACCGGTATACCAGCCCTACTTTTTTTCAGGGATGAAACAGGAAACACAACATTTTTTTCCTAGGCCTAAGCAATACTTCAAAAGTTCTTTCTCTTTTGTTTGTAAATATCTGATAACCAAATAATTAAATTGGTGTTGCCCAAACAAGGCAAACAGAGATTCCTGCATAATCGTACCCCAGCATTGATTTTCTCCAGCTATAAACGATTCTTATCACTTAATTCAGTATGACAAAAGCCCGTAGTTACCGGCACCAGCCAGATTTCCCAATTTCCCAATTACATGTATGCATCACCACTGGACAGTGTAAATCATTGGACATGATTATTGGCAGAAACTTAGATTCACCAACTGCTAGTGTGGAAAAACATTCTTGTAGTTGTATAAAAAATCAAAAAGTATATACATTGGTTGGTCGTTAAATTCTTCATCAATTCATTACTTGAACAAGGACATCAAGTTCATATTATATATGCCAAAAAACAGTTACTCAAGCAACTGGATATGATTTTGAAAACGTCAATCGTATTACCTGGATGTCTAACCTTCATCTTCATATTATATATGTTCTGATAATATCATGGCCTTTTTAAATTAATTTAAAATTTTGACAAAGGCAAATCTGTCTTAAAATAAGTTAAATTTAAAAGTTTGTCCCCATTTTAAGTTCAGGCCAATTTTCCCATCTCTTATTCTGCTTGTGTATTGTATTATCAATATATCCTGTTATTAAAAAGGATAAGATATGTTGCAAATCACGTCCTTGAATTGGCCCAGAGTATTATGCTCTTAAGTGCTTGAATATCTCATGAGTAATACGGGTAGATTATTTTCAATGACATGCACAGCAAGTATGCTGTTATTGACGTCATAACATGTCGAGTATAGCTATTAGTCGGTGCAATGACTTTCAGTAACCCAGTTTCCTGACACCTTTGTTGTCGTGAATCTAGTGACACACCACTATATAATTTATACCGGCTATACGCTGATACTTAAATTGGTTGAAATTGTGGTGAGGTCTGGGTCTCTTCAAACACAGATAGCTTGACATCCCTAGAGCCTGGGTGACAGCCATAGCAAACTGGGCTCAAAGTTATGCAGTATGCAGCTTGCACACAGGATCACTTGGTCCTTGTGATATGGGTCTGGCATCCAGGCTAGATATTATGTAACCATGAAAGTTGAGTAGTGCCTCAGCTTTAAACAGAATAGTCTCCACCAGACTCCTTTGCAGGCTGAATGAATAATAGAAATCGGCTGAGGGGGACATCATTTACCAGAGGAGTTGGCCGGCCATAGAGGGTCCAGCTTGCCTGCACAGAGTCTGTGATTTCTACTATTTATTCAGCCTGCAAAGAAGTCTGGTGGAGGCTATAGACAGAAGGACAGAGACTGAGAGATTGGAACTTTGTGGTATGTACTGGAGCAAGATCATCGATCATGAGACAAGACCACGGCTTGCTTCTTAGGTTGGACATGAAATATTTAAGAGGAAAAGTCAGTCGAAAATGACATCAGCAGTAAGTAACCACAAATTCGGTCCCCAGGGACAATTGGTTGTCATTCAGGACTTCTAAGTTGTTGTTAGTAGAATATTCTTCTTCAATCAGTGACTGCATTTCAAAGGTAGAAACATGTACCTCCAAATGTTCGATGTCGACTATACATCTTGATTACAGAGTGACCTTAAATCAAGATGTACAGTCGACATCGAAAATTTCAGTCACTGATTGAAGAATATTCTACTAAATTTTAATCTTACGTGACTGATGAACCTATTCAATGATATTCTGACTTGTAGATGTCATACAGTACAGTATATACTATTTTACAGAGTCTATTAGAGTAAAAATTATGTCAGTTCTTTTTGAACCACACAAAGCTACGCTGTGACCATATATAGGTGTCGTTTTATCTAAAGACTAAACCCTTGTCGGAATGCATGCATGTGCCTTGAATACTTATTATAGAGATCAGATACATGTACATAAGAATGTATATGGTATACAGAGTCTAGACTGCTCAATTCCCCCCAGGGCAAGCCCCAGTCACACCCCCCCCCCCCCTTAGTCACTCCTGGGACAGGATTTTATGTCATTGGAATTCTGCCAACGTCACCATGGCGGTGGTGATGTCAGAAGTTCTGTTACCATGGCAATGAGGTTGTCGTGGCAACATGGGTGCTTGTTATTCTACCGGTATCTGTGACAAGGTCACTGAACTTTTTACATGCTCTAGGCTCAAGCTATAATATTAAGCTGGTAATGTTTGGCAAAGCTTGGTCAGAAACTAGGCATCATTATTCTTAGTCCATTAAGGTATGCAGAATCCTCATGTGACTTCTGGTCTTGTGATTCATCTTGTTCTCGGATTAAGGAACCAGTGGGACTCATTCGTAGACAAATGCCAACACATGATTTCACCATCACAAAAAGCTATATAAACAGCTGCCAATATGTCAAAAGTCACTATGTCAAAAGTACATGGACATAAGTCTGTCCGCTGTCAGGAATTCTGACTCCATTCTAACTGGTCAATAAGACTGTTCAATTATGGTAACTAGAAATTTAGAGCCTGTTATGCTATTACATCATACGTTTGCATCAGTCCTTGTCATAACTAGTAAAAGATAAACCAGGATTCAGTACTAAGCTGAAATTGGGTCTAGACATGTCTACTTTATCTCTTAGCATCCTAGCCTGAGTGTCAGCCTTTTTTAGCTTTCGTCCGCTCCCCACGATCCACTAGCAGGCCTGGTAGCCAGTAAAAGCTAAAAAGGCTGACACCGACCACCATGAGTCCCATGCTTGTCATGTTACAGAAATCCCCGTCGAGCCCCATGTTATGTGCAGGAAGACTCCTGCATGTTTACACATATCTGTGGGAGCCATAATCAGAGCATGTCTGTTCTCTGTCTGTCACTCCACAGTCACAAGACCAGGATACTTTAGTCGGCTCTAGATAAAACACATGCCTCTTGTGTCCTGCTAAGCAGGGCTTGATTTCTAACCTCAGTAGCTTTGCCAATTCAAGCCCAGTCTAGTATCAAAGTCAATTTCTGGTTTATCTGTTTCTATGTCCATAATCGAATGATCACAGTCCTGCAATTCTGCAATAACGCTATCAGTCCCCATTTGTAAGTAACCTTGCAGCAACATGGCAGACAAATCAGAACAGATCATCTTAGAGCCACCGACAGAAGGACTGGTCGCCTAGCAACAGATGGTCAGGATAACGGTGATTGAAGTCATAGATGGGAAAATTGGGTCTATCAGTTGGAGTAATTGCTGGGGAATGACGGCTGTGTATATCATACTGCCATATCTATTAAATCAGATCTTTCTGGGACCAAACATCATGGCTGTGCCCAAGGAGACAGTGGCTATCTATACAGAATTACATTTAAGGGCAATACAGAGTGAGACAATACAGGACATCATGGACAGGAGATCTGAACAATTTTATTTGGATATACCAGAAATTGACTTTGATACTAGACTGAGGTTTACAGGCTTGTAAGTAATACTGATGTTATTGGGGGTATGTAATGGGTAGGTTTTATGGTTTCTATAGCTACCAAACTTTTGCCTGATACTTGTATTATTACAAAATTGGATAAAATCCAAAAATCCCATAGGTTCACCAGCTTGGCTTTTGGCCCAGTTGGACATAGGCTGGTCCCAATCTTTCAATATGTCTAGCAAATAGAACAGAAGCATATCAAATTCATTTCTTCATGCATGGTATATGTATTTCTGGAGAAACCAATACATAGTACATCTGTGCCAGAATGTGGTTGATTTATGCTATATAGCATACCACAAATGTAGCCTGGATCCCAGACTGTTCTGATGGTCACTATGCAGACCAGTCCCACTCTAACCCTGAGAAACTGAGAGTCTAACTGAGGGCATCTATGGTAAGATTTCCTTGGAGACATGTTGGCACTGGCAAGAGTCTGGCACCAAGGCTAAAACCTTTGGGGTCACTATGTACACTTTTATTGAATATATAAGAAGAAGAATCAACTATCTATTATCAGACCCTTAACACTTTGGTTGATTGATTGATTGATTTATTAAAAGGATAGATGTATAGTCAAGTCTAAAGCTTTGGGTCACGGTACATTTTTATTTTTGTCCAATACAGTCCAATACAGATTAGAAGAATTGCCTAATTATCATCACAACCTGAAGATATTGATTGATTGATCAATTGAAGAAGCCACACAGGCAAAACCAGTCGTGTGACAGGCTGAATAAAAGTTTCTAAACGGGAACTATGCAGCTAGCTCCAGATGTCTTACTGAGGGACGACTGCATTTGCAAGATGTCAGTTAGCTTGAGGATGAATCCCCTCTACTACAGATTGATTCATCAATTGATTGATAAATTGATTGATATTTGATAGCTTGATTAATTGATAAAGATTGATTGATTGATTGATTGATTGATTCTGTCCCTGCAGGAAGAAGCGCCGATCTACCACCCGACCCCGAACACGGCACGACCTGTGACCCAGCTGACAGAAGACGAGCAGATCAGGATAGCGCAGAGGCTCGGACTGATCCAACATCTCCCCTCGGGGGTGTACGACGGATCCAAGAAGGGCAGAGAGTGAGTAGAGTTAGTTTCACAGCCTGTAGGCTTGAAGTTAGGCCACTGGTAACTTTCCTAGAAACTGCAGTGCAAATGCAGGCTTCAGGAGCGGCAAACTGTTCTCTCCAGGTGACCAAACTCACTTGGCATGTTATCTCTCTATTTGGCCGGTTGCTACTCTTTCCAGCCGCCTCCCGAAGCCTGGTAGAGGCTATGACGGATCCAAGAAGGGCAGAGAGTGAGTAGTCTTCATGCAGGTTTGAAGTCTGGCCCCCTGGTAACTTCCTTTAAAGCTGCAGCACAAATTCAGCTGCTAAGAATTAAGTTAGATAGCTCAGAGGCTTGGACTGATCCAACATCTTCCCTCGGGGGTGTACGATGGATCCAAGAAGGGCAGAGAGTGAGTAGTGTTAGCTTCAAGTCATGCAGGTTTGAAGTTGGGCCCCCTGGTAACTTCCTTTAAAGCTGCAGCACAAATTCAGCTGCTAAGAATTAAGTTAGATAGGTCAGAGGGTCGGACTGATCCAACATCTTCCCTCGGGGGTGTACGATGGATCCAAGAAGGGCAGAGAGTGAGTAGACTAGCACGTTGGCAGAACGTACTGCGCCTGTACTAAACCCGTAATGTATTTTGTATAGGACTTCAGCAGAACGGTTCCTTAAAAAGGATGACATCCCGCCTATAGCATTCAAATCTTGTGTTGGAAAAGATATTGTCTACAACAGGCAAAATTCTGATGCAACGGAGACCAAACATCCAACGAAAACCGTGAGAAATCCAGGTTTCATGTAGGTGCAGTACATTCTGCTGACATGCTGAGTAGACTTAGCTTCACATCCTGTAGATTTGAAGTCAGGCCCCCTGGTAGCTTCCTTAGAAACTGCAGCACAAATGCAGCTGCTAAGAAGTAAGTTAGATAGCTCAGAGGCTTGGACTGATCCAACATCTGCCCTCGGGGGTGTACGATGGATCCAAGAAGGGCAGAGAGTGAGTAGTATTAGCTTCACAGCCTGCAGGTTTGAAGTCAGGCCCCCTGGTAACTTCCTTTAAAACTGCACCTGATAATTGTTTTTTGCCCTGTGTAAATTGGCCCGTAGTCTTTTGAGACTGACTGACACAGACATGAATGGAACAGACAGGTTTGATCACTCCTCAACATTTTGACATTATCTGTATCTGCATAGCCGGTATAACCGCCCTTCGGCATAACACACCAGCTTCACAGGCACGCGGCGCAGCAGCAGCAGCTATCTATATCACACCGAGCAACTCACACCGTTGCACTCAATCTTTGCACATTTAATTGCAGTTTTTTTGTTAACTTTTCTTCCTTATCTCCCCGCAGATGTGTGATCTGTATGAACGACTTTGTGATCGGCGACCCGATCAGGCTGCTGCCCTGCTGCCACATCTACCACAAGGACTGTATAGACGACTGGTTGATGCGCTCCTTCACCTGCCCTTCCTGCATGGAGCCCGTCGACGCGGCCTTGCTAACTACATATCAAACTAATTAACAAATTGATTAATTGATTGGTTAACCTTAAAACTGTGTAGTTCAGGCCTGGACAGTTGATTTTCGTGGTTCTAGGATTCTGGAGATCAAAGCTAAATGGAGAGAAGTCCAGATGAAAACAGAGACAAGGGAAGTTTGTATCTTTTGGCACACACAGATTCAGGAAATGACATTGAAAATACTATATATGTTCTCAGTTGAACCAAGGAGGTTATAACACTATCATGATAACCTCCTTGATTGAATATAAGTTACTGGTATGTCCATCTTTTGGGGCAGGACAGATGAAAAGTGTGTGTGAAAACTGAGTGTAAAATAAACACACCCTTTTGTTGACTTTTGAGATAACATACTGCAAAAATTTCCTTTTGATTGATTGACACTTGCCTGAAAAAGACTGATTCAAATTTTCCTCACAAGTCTGTTTTCGTCTAATTCTCTTGCGTAGTTTTTACCTTGGAAGTGTCAGAGAACCCAGTAAACGAACTGTCAAGGCCTTAGATTGTGAAAAGAAGAGAAAAAAATCCACCAAGGGAAGAATGCAGTGCAATAGGGCTGAGGGAGGCAATGGATTACAGTGTATAGCTTGTAAATATTCATCAATGTCAAGGTCATCTGTGGCAGGGTTCTAAGGGCAGGCGGCCATCTTGTATCCCATCATGCACTTTTTCCTACAATGCACCTGGTTGTTCCAAACCACCGTGTCCACACCATCATGTAGAGAGTGAAATACATGGTTATGATTTGGAAAGAGAACTTTGTAAGAAAAAGAGTTGGATACTGTATGGAAATAAGTGATGATCGTATAGGATGTGTTCAGCCCATAACCCAGTACTAGTACATGTACAATATGTAAAACTTGCTGCTTGTTGAGAGAGAGAAATGTATTTATAGCCTTTAAAAAATTGGTGGCTGACAAAAACCCAGACCTTCTTGTGTTTTCCAGTATAACTATAGTGTTTGGGTGTAACATTTAGGATGTGTGGGAGACAAAGTTGCTCAAAAGTCGCACATCCAGATATCATCTAGTATTATATATGGTGTGTGTTTGTTTCTGAAGCCATATACAGCTACAGCTTTATGTTTAATGGAAAAATTAAGGGCTTGTTTTCTTTCATTTTTTGACATGAAAAATCTTGACTTTTGGGACATAAGATTTACTTGGTATTACTCATATTATGTGGAGTAATTTTGACAAGTATATAATTATCATTGTTCATTTATAAACAAATGAACGGAAAAAAATAAATATGCATGCAATTTTTTTTCAGTAATAAAAAGTAGCTGGACTACCTTTTTATGTGGTTAACAAAAATACATTGCTAGCATAGGGACTTTTTTCTTTGTTAACTAAAGACTACTAAGTGCTATAGGAGTGTTATGTTACTTAAGAGGTGTAACAGTACCTGTGTGTAAGATTTGTACACATCTATATACATGTAATCATAGGAATTTGGAATTAACAACAGGTGAATATGGATAAAACAAAATGGAAATCTTGAAAATGATTATCCTAATGATATATACAAAACTAAGGCCACAATCAACAATACATGACTGTATATGTAGGCTAGGATTTGTTAAAAGATACAAACGAGCATGGTGGAGTGACTGCTGCAAATTATATCTGATTCAATTGTCAGACTGAAAATTCTTGAAAATTTGATGCAACAACATGTTACCAAATTATGTGATTCTTTTCAGAAATGATGAAAGATAAAAGACTGAATGTTTACGAATCAGTAAAAAAAATTTGAAAAGCAGGAGTATTTCTGAAGATGTCTAACCATATACAGAAACTATGTCATCGGGTAAATTGAATGTTTGGATGCTGTCCATATAAAACATAAAGAAGGTGGCTACTGAACCTGGTGTCCTACTATCATACCTGTAGACTAATTAATACAGATACAGAACATAGTGTAAAATGTACAGTGTTCATCTGTACCATACCATTACATGTGTCAGAATTAGCCTCCATAGCATGCCAAAAACTGGGGGTTTGGGGGGTCTTTGGCAGCTTTTATGTGCTATTTTCTGATTGCATATAAACAACATTGCCGGCCTGGTTGAATTACCCCCGTTTAGAACTGGGCTAATCAGAAAACAGCGGAAGACCACCAAACCCCCACTTCTATAAGCCTGCTACAGAGGCTATGTCAGAATACTTCTGAAGGGGGGTGCACAATATATAATGATGTACAAAATTTGTTATCTCAACACAATGTCCTATACCAACCACATTTCAAATAGTGTATTGAGAGGAAGCTCCATTTAGGTTGGTTTTACCAACCCACTGTAACCTCCTTAGTTTTACAGCATGAAATTCACATCTGTAAACACTTGTAGTAACATTAGGCATGACAAATTGTCTAGCGTGATATAGCCAGCTGCTGCGCTGAAAAAAAATACTATTACAGTAACTGATACAGAGATACATTGGTCCTTAACAGCTATTGCTGAATGGAAGGATAACTGTGAAAACATTTAACAAGAAAACAAATCCTGCACCCCCTGAGACTAATGGTACATTCTCCATGAAGGCCACCTCACCAACTGTGCATACTAAAGTGTATATCTGTAAATATGTGCAAATCAGCCTATTTTGCAAGCAGGTATTACCATAGACATTGTTGATAGTTGAAGAGATATGCCTACTCACTGGTGAACGCTGTATGATTATGATGTACTAGATGGAAATGGTTGAACTGTATGCCCTATACACATGTAGGATACTCTGAATAATATGTAAGCAGATTGGTCAGGTTTTTTTTTGTAGGTCTTTTCCAGCCTTTGCATTTCAGTGTCTATCTCAAGTGGTGCACGCTTTCTTGGGGCTAGCCTCCTGCTAGCCCTAAAGAGGAGTACTGCTAGAAAGACATACTAAGTGTTTCAAAAACACTGAGACTGATTCTCACATCTGCTTGGAGATTAGGATGCTATAGGATTACATATACATATTGCAGAGTCAGCAAAAGTGACGTATATCATCATGTGTATTACTTAGGAAGAGAAGTTGAACATATTCTGGACCCTAATTTAGCTTTTGCACTACCCAATTCTGTAACATTATTTTTCAAAGATGTAAAATTAAATAAGCATGCAACCCTGTCATGTAGATTTTTTGTTCATGTTTGATTCAAAGTTCTATTTTTGGTTGTGATTGATGATTATGTGATGAAATTTAAAGACTTAGAAATTGATAATTTCTTACAAAAAAAATCAACGCTGTGATAGATTGAAGGTCCCCAAAGTTTAAAGTGAAAAAATATTACGTTTGATCGTCCCAACTATGATAGATATAATAATGATGGAAAGTATGATTATTTGCCTGTACCGTGTGGGTCTTAGTTATGATTTGTTTTCAACTGTCTTGTTCATCAATGTTTTGGAAAAGAAATCTTTTATTGTTGAACAGAAATTATGAGGCCTTCGATGTGTTTCTGCCTTCCATGCAGTATTTCTGTTCTTTATAGAATCATTACTGGAAAAATCATCAGACTGGTACAATGGCTTTTGTATGTAACAGTTTGAAAGACATTTAGATGTCTTCATACATGTACAAATGCTTGAACGTAGACAGAAAACTTGTTCTATAGGTAGAGCTGAGTACCTAAACAAACTAAGGACTGCCTTTCCACTGACCATATATTGTAACAGCTCCGGAGTTAGGAGCACATGCATGTGTCAGATGTGGTATGTAATGGGTGGCAGGCAAAGAAGGCTACCATATTGTATTACAGACAGGTGTTTCTTTGTTAAAAGTTGGTTTGTGGCTTACATCATACATATATACAGACGACAAAGAGTTATGTTATTTTCCATATTCCTGTTAGCCATCAATAAAAGTATCAAAACACTCCTTTCTCTGGTCACTTTTTTTAAATTTCTGCCTGTGCTAATTATTTCTTACACGCATAGGCTGGCTTTAATCATGGCTAAATGTATATTATCCTTTATAGTTTACATGGTTGTACAGTCAAACCTGTGCTAGTGCTAGTAACCAACCCTCCATACATAAGGACCTCCTGGCCATTTGTTGCTTCCACTTTTCGGTGTCCATGGTACTTGGTCATTATCACCCGTTTTGCAGGGGGCGAGCTTCAACGTTCTTCTGTACCAAACTAGTCTCCACCAGACTCCTTTGCAGGCTGAATAAATAGTTGAAATCGCCATAAAAGGGGGGTATCATTTAATCTCCAAGCAGGTCCCTCTCGGTGGCAAAAAGACTATCAAATTGGCCAGGCAGTATCCATTAGCTAGAGAAGCTCCGCGGCCACCGACGGTGGGGGTAGCGACAAAAAAACGCCCATATATATAAAAAGGTAACGATCATTCCCCCACAACCTCTGCTTGGACAGTAGGTATCATTGGCCAGAGGAGTTGGCCGGCCATATGGCCAATGATATCCGCATTTTAGGCCGATTTGTACCATTTATTTAGCCTGCAAAGGAGTCTGGTGGAGACTAGCACCAAACGACGTCACTTCCATGTTTCCTCTCACGTCCGCCTTGGGGATCTCCCATTTCAGCACCAAGGACATGGCCTGGCTACAGATACACAGGCATGGGCGCTTAGCCCTGGTGGTCTCAATGCAGGGATTTAGGCTTCGGCTTATTTTTGGCGTGTTTTTATCGGGCTATCTCATTTTTGCGTATCTTTTTTTTTCTCTCCAGGCTAAAAATGTACATACAGTTAGAAGGGAGGTTACATTCTGAAAGAAAGGAATCTACAATGTCGCAGATTCCTTTACGACATACCATTGAATATTTCCTCTATTAAAGAATATCTTAGTAACACCGAGATCATTTTAGAGAAACACTAGTCTATTTCTGACTAAAGTTAAGGTAGACGAAACTTGGTAAAATGTTGTAGATCACCTGTGTTTAGTATTAATGGTACATTTCCACATATTCCACGTATTCATATAAGGAATAAGTTTATTTTCATGTTTTTGTATCCACGTTTTCGTGTCGCCTATTTTCCAGACCTAGGGTAACCTCGTATTGTGTAAAGTTGCGCCGTGACCTTTGAACTCACCTGTACGTTCAAACCCGGAAGTAACTTAAGGCGTCGTCTCACCTGTCTACGTCGTAAGGTAAGTACCTCATGAATTTACCTGTAATTTTTCAAGTATACGTTCATTTCTCGTAACAATGCACATCCTTAGAATACTTCTAGTTGAAACTGCCTATTATAAGATGTCTACAAGCTCACAAAGACTACGAATCTAGTAAAAATTTAGGAAGTATTCAGCACCATCTAGTTTCGCTTTCGTACTGTGTTAAGAGGCCTCAAGGGGTTTCACGCCTCGAATTTTATTATCTTTAGCTGCCTTTATTTTTCATAAATTAGCTTCCATCGGTGAGACATACAGTACTGGCATATATGGCTAATTCAGGTTAACAGAATAATACGATACTAGTAAAATTGCACTGTATACTACTAGAATTGCACTTTATTCCGTATAATTGCACTGTATACTCTGGCACCCCTGTCTTAATGTCACTGACGAAAGGTAGTGGATGCTACCTGAAACGTCTGACCGTTTCCAGTTGCTTGAGTAACTGTTTTTTTTTTTTTTGCGAAACAGCATAATAGTTTATTATTATTCCTATCTCTGACAGACCAGTCGCCATGTCAGACAGACCCATGTCCGAGAAACACCGGGAACTTCTGAGGAAGAACTACGTCCCCATCTCACGTGACCTGCACGCTAACCACGTCATTCCCTACCTGTACCAGGAAGGGGTATCTGAATTTTTATCTGTATAGATAGAATTTTTATAGATAGAATTTTTATCTGTATAGATGGGACTAGGTAGGTAGGTAGGTAGATAGGCTTAGTCGGTATAACCACCTTTCAGCGTAACACATTAGCTTGTACGTAGTATAGCCGGTATCGAACCGCCCTTCGGCGTAACATACCAGCTTCTGTTTCTGTATACAAGTCGGTATAAACGTCCCTTGGCGTAACACATCAGCTTCGCAGCTGCCATGGCTATATTCCACCGAAAAACATGTTACGCCTAGCCTCTGCGCATCTCTAAACATTGTTTAAAACTATATATTGATGGTGCCCCAACTGTACTTGGTGACAGCGAGTTACACTCTGCAAAAACTCTGCACTAGGGAAAAAACACTTTTTGCACACCTTAATCCTTGGTTGATAACTCTGGTACTTGAAGGCATGACTATTTCTTGTCCTTTTTAGGTCCTGACGGAGGAGATGAAGCAGAGGCTGGACTCTATCCCTGACGAGAGGCGACAGGAGAAGTCCAGGAAACTCCTGGACATGTTACCCACACGAGGACACAGGGCCTTTACTGTCTTCAAGACATCAATGGAGGAATCTGGATTCCCTTTCCTGGCCAAACTTCTCGACGAGGTACTAGTATATAGTGTCTTTTTGATTGGCTGAAACTTTCGATGTGTACCCTCCCTGTTTCGTAACTGTTACAACTCAAATTCTGCATTGTTTACCTTAGCTGTATGTTGGTGAACAGTGAAATACATCTAAATGTATGTGTCTGTCGCAACGAATTGGCTACATATTTTGCTACTGTGATAAAAAAAAAGAACTTGAGTATTAAGGAGCACTGTAAAACGATGCTGTTTCTGTCTGTTTGTTTGTTTGTTTGTTTGTTTGTTTGTTTGTTTGTTTGTTTGTTTGTTACAAAGCAATTGACCAACACTTTAATTCGTCTCCGTACAGCCTCCACCGCCAGAGCTGCCTAAGAATATCGAAGGTGCTGAGTCAGCGGTCTCAATCGAAGACGTTCCGGACGGACCTCTGAAGTGGCTTCGTCTTAAGTTTCAACCCTACAAGTCTTCTGCCTCGGCACAGAAGATGATACGAGGTTGTGAAGCCCTGGAATTGGGGGCGAAACTTCTCGGCGACAGCGACTACGAGGAACCAGAGGGCGTGGTGAAGATAGTAGAAGGGTTCATGATTCAAGAGCGCCTCAATCCGCGAAGTCTGAACCGCGTTCTCTACAAGTCTGACCACCTGGACTTAAATCAGGAACGCTTGGGGGCGCTTTTAACCAGTATGGAGGACAAAAACCGTGCCTTCAGTTCCTGTTTGCTCCTCCAGGCGGCGCCCCTTCCCGTTGACGAGAATCGAGCTGCGGAAATCAGGAAGGTCCTGCAAGTCATCTTGAAGAAAGGAGAAGTCGACCCTCTTCACAAGTATCTCCACCACGTCTACTGCATGCTGGGTGGAACGATTCTAGAGATGAACTATGATGACCCATCCCCAGCCTTGCCAGCTTGTACCAGCGCTCTTACCTACAGGCAAGACTACGCCCTAGCCGTGCACCTTGCAGCCGAATGTTCCATGGTCCTCTCGCCGGCTGATGCAGTGGAACAGTTCCACCGCTACCTTCAGCTGGCCCCGCCGTGCGACAAGCGGTTCCACTGGGCGCACTACTTTCTCGCCATCCTATACAGCCGCCAGTCGGAGCAAGAAAAGGCAGAGGAACACTATAAACTGGCCACGGAAAAGGAGAAAAATCTGCTCCCTTCGTATAAGGTTGGGTGGGCGAAGGAGCAAGCACAGATGGTCCTGTCAGAAGTGCCTACTCCGTGATGAGTACCGTTAAGGAAATGTCTAGAGTTAGGTGTTCAAGGGTTAGTTGTAACAAGTCGTTCGGTGTAATGTAGCCAGCTGCCGCCGCGCCGCGTGCCTGCGAAGCTGGTATGTTACGCCGAAGGCTGGTTATACCGGCTATATAGATACAGATACATCTACAGATACAGAAGGAGGTTATATGTAGAGTGTAGACCCAGTTAAGTCTCCTTGGTACCAGAAAACAAACTTGAAAAGTGCCTTTATTTTGTGGTGCTATTTCAAAGAAAGTCAAGTCTGATACAGTAAATTAAAGTACGGATACTTGGGCCTTAGCTTGGTCCGATTTTGAGATAAATATCTACACAAGAAATCAATTTTAGATACTTCAAAGGTTTTATTCTTTTATTCAAGCCTGGCGAAAAGGAAGAATATACAGAGAATCATGAGCAAACACAACGAATCAATTTTAGATTCCTCAACATTTCTTCTAGAACAGAACAATCATGAGCAAAGTATTTCAATGACCACTATTGTGGAAGAGCTTACGATTACGTAAACGGACTTAGTATGTTACTCGGAAAATCAGTGTTTATCCTATTATGAAAAAGATATGGATGAACTCTGTTAAACTCTAAACTTCAAGAGTCAGATTTTATATTATGTATATGAGACGTATTATGTTGTATTAACGTGAAGTTGCCAAAGATTTTAATAATACTTATTATCTAAATTAAGTAAAATAAGTATTATCTAAAGCTGTCAGTGTTATTGCTAACTCATGTTGCTGAGAAATATTAGTCATTATTAATATATTATTATCATTGTTGCGATCATCATCATAACATTGCCTTTACTGGTGTTGGAGTACGAAACTGCAACACAGCTTTAATCTATCGGTTCTTTGGGCGGAGGTTTCACAAGTTTATTAGTTTTCTCATGTTGTACGTGTAGGAATTATGTACATTTGTACGTTCCGAGCCGAGCTGCCTTGCAGGCCTCTACATTTGCCTGCTACTAGCCCAGAGTCAAATATTTGCTTCGCAGTTTCTTGCCGATTAAACAGCAATTCACCAGTAAATCAGGAGGATTTCGAGTCTGAACTTGGTGTATACTTTGACAACCAGAATAAAGATGTTTGCAACACACTAGTTCTGGAATTCTTCAATGTCTTACCATTTATCTTTAATAGCTGATATACAAAAAAATGGCACTGCGGCGTCGCATACTTTATTTGCAACTTCCCAATTATCGTAGAGTGGAACTCATTGCCACCAAGCACAGTTGGGGCATCATCACTAGAAAGCTTTAAACAACTGCAATTTAATGTGCAAAGATTGTGTGTAACAAATCGTTCCGTGTGATATAGCTAGCTGCCGCCACGCCGCGTGCCTGCAAAGCTGGTGTGTTACGCGAAGGGCGGTTATACCGGCTATACCAATGCAGATACAGAACTTTGGCTTCGTCTGTACCTGGGACTATACCTGGGCGTGGCGTGACCTTTCACCTTTCGAACAGAGCAATGACGTACCCGGAAGTAACGGAGCTCACCTGAGGCAACCCTGCACACCTGGGCGGTACTCAAGGTAAGGATGACGCTGATTCTTAAGACATTTCCATCGTTGTTCTTGTTTCATGGAGATTCTTCCAACTTCTATAAGTGGTTCCTTCGGGCATTGAAGGTACGTAATCGGCTGTTAAATCAGGGCTTGTGAGTTATACGCATAAGTTTTTAGAGCAATCGTGGCCATGCTTCATCACCTGGTTACAGAGCAGCACAGTGAATACGTAGCGTTACTGCTTTGTATGCTCTCCCGAAAGACGTAGGTCATAGCTGTACTAATGTAGACAGCTAAAGAAGAGGTTGAGCTCCAAAGTACATACATTTTAACTGTGTACGCTGTTTGTACATAGTTTAACCTACGAAATGGTACTTATGCACAAAGTAAAGGTGCCCTAAATCTTACGCCCACATAAACAACATAAACCTACAGTCATATGTACACGCAACCACCTTAAGGACCACCTGGCCATGGTGACCACGTTTTGGTGGTTAAAGTTATTTCTCCATTGACCCAAGCATTAAGAACCCTGTCTATATTGACCACCTGTCCAATGTGATCATTTTCGTCAGGTTCCCTGTGTAGTAGACACTAGTGACTAGCTATAGTATTAACAGAATCCTCGTCGTCTCTCTTTTTTTCTTTCATCTAAGATCGACGTTTCGCCATGGCAGACGTGCCTATGTCAGACAGACATCGTGACGTCATCCGTAAGAAGTACGTCCCCCTGTCACGTGACCTAAAACCCCAGTACGTGCTGCCGTACCTGTACCAGGAGAAGGTGAGTAGAGTGTTTGTGTTTATTCCATCTCCATCGGTGTGACGTTAACCTTACAGGATACAGGAGTTTTCATGTACTGCGGTGTGCTAGATGTCGGTAAGCTTGAGGAATACATCCCCTCTACTATATAATGCACAACTGTAACGTTACCCCCGAAAATAGTTTCATCAGGTTGGTTAAGTACAGGATACAGGAGTTTTCTTTTACACAACCAAGATTTCTCACCTAAGTGCTGACGTTTCGGTGTCTATATATATAAGACATCTTCCTCAGAGCTTCGGACTGGAGTTATGCTTCTCGCCTCTAAATGTATGTTATTTAATAATGCTATTCTAGTCAGAAGCTCTGAGGAAGGTGTCTGATAGACACCGAAACGTCATCACTTAGGTGTGAAATCTTGGTTGTGTTCAAGAAAACTCCTGTATCCTACACTTTACCAACTATTTTCGGGGGTAACGTTACAGTTGTGCATTGTATAGCAAAGTGGGTGCATTCCTCAAGCTTACCGACATGTAGCTCACCGTAGTCGTCCTTTAGCAATACTTGAACTTTTTAGATATGAACGTGTATAATTTCAGGTTCTAACAGAAGAGATGATGGAGGATTTAGACGCCATCCCTGACCAGAGGCGAGGCTACAAGGCCAGGAAACTGCTGGACGTCATCATGACCAGAGGAGACCGGGCTTTCGGCGTCTTCAAACAGGCGCTGGTGGATGCAGGGTATAGACACTTGGCTGAACTTCTAGAAGAGGTATGTGTGATTACATAGCTATAACATCAACATTGCTGTTGGGCAATGTGTGTGTGTGGATGGATGGCGTTTACCACCAAGGACAGGTATGCGTGCATATGTGTGTGTGTGCGTGTGTGTGTGTGTGTGTGTGTGTGTGTGTGTGTGTGTGTGTTTGTGTGCGAATGTGTTTGTGCGTGTCTGCGGATGGCGTTCAGCACCAAGGACAGGTATTCTTGCATATATGTGTGTGTGTGTATGTGTGTGTGTGTTTTATGTGTGTGTATGCCTTAGTTTCTTTATTGTTTTCTGTATTTTTCATTTTTGAAAGAAGAAATAACCAGTACTTTAATCATCTGCAGCCTCCAGCGTTGCCCAAACCATCCGTCGAAAGTGGGCTGCACCAGTACGTAAGCCCGCCAGAGGTCGCTTCGGAGGAGGTTCCCGAAGGACCGCTGAAGTCCCTCCGCCTGAGCCTACAGCCGTACAGGGCCACTCTCTCCGGCAAGAAGATCATCGAAGGCTGCAGACTCATGGAGCTGGGAGCTGAGCTCCTCAACAGCAGCGGTTATACCGACATGGACGGCTTAGCGAAGGTCGTGGAAGGGTTCATGGCACAAGAGCGCCTCACTGCACACAGCTATGAACGCTTTCTATACAACTCCGACCACTTGGCCTTGGACAAGGCACGGGTAGCCGACCTGATGGCCAACCAGCTACACCACAACCCCACCGACAGTACCTGCCTGTTCCTCCAGGCGGCGCTTCTACCGTTCAACGAGACACGCGTACGGGAGATGAGAAAGGTGGTGGACGTGATTGTAGAAAACGGAGAAGACCCGCTACACAAGTATCTTCACCACGTCTACTGCGTGCTGGGAGACAGCGTGCTGAATCTGTACCGCGATAGCCCTTCTAGTGCCTTACCCGCTTTTACAAGCGCGCTGATGTACAAGCAGGACTACCCGACGGCTGTGCATCTAGCAGCCGAGTGTTCCATGGTCCTTTCACCGGTAGATGCAGTGGAACAGTTTCACCGCTACCTGCAGCTGGCTCCTCCGTGCGACAAGCGGTTCCACTGGGCGCACTACTTTCTCGCCATCCTGTACAGCAGGCAATCCGAGCAGGAGAAGGCGGAGGAACACTATAACCTAGCCGTCCAGGCAGAGGAAAAACGTCTTCCAACGTCGGTGATGGGGTGGGCGAAAGAGGTGGCACAGAAGGTGTTCGCTTAGAAAGAGATACTAACCATACGTAGAGACTGTAATGCTGGATATCTATTTTTTTTCGTCAAAGGTTTTGTTTTCCGTTTGTTTAACTGTTTGTTTGCCTGTGTGTCTGTAGTTATTTGGTCGCTGAAAGAGATCTTCAATTGTTTGTTAAAGATTATTAATTCCCGTTTTTAATTGGGGTACAACTACTAGTATTAATTCCTTGTTGACTTCTTAAACCATGTATATAGAGATGAAATAGAGATTATGACTTTAAAGGATGGAGGACAGAAACATGATGATACCTTTCTAGAACTTATTGATACGAATAACAATGGTTAATAGTTCGTAGTACGTAGTTAAACGTTTAAACTTACTTTCAATCAAAATGTCATGCATACTCATGTAGTTTAAGAACTATACACTGTAACAAACGAATATACGTGGCTGTAGAGTAGCTTTTGGAAAACGCGCCAAGTCACCTATAACCTTTCACCTTTAACCCAGCGTCGGTGGTCGTCCCGATGACGTCAAGTGTATATATTCCTACAGTCTGCTCAGATCCGGAAATTCCCGACGCTATATTTAGCGTTGGACAACCTTCAAATTCGTTACATCTGGGACTGGGGGAAAACCAGGGGCCTAGGAAAGTGTCCTGTCTTCTGAACAGATCTATACAGTCAAGTGAAAGTGTTCGCATACAAGTGAAAGTGTTCGCCACGTTGACAGTACTGTGTGTTTAGATGAGGGCGGGGTGACACCATTAAGGTTAGTAGCCTAGTAGTAGGCCGTCTTCTTCATGTATGGCCATGTATATGGTTTGTACATGTACTATAGTGCTAGTATAAACATGTTACATGCACTGTTTGTTGGCACACAGCCCTTTCCATTTGATTTCGTGACCTTACGTTTGCGTGAATCCGTCTGTGTGACAAGACAATTATAAAGGGACGATTCGTTAGAATAAGTATTAAAGCGGAGACAGAATGATGATTTTGGTCAGTCAACCGGTATGACGGGCTTTTTGTGTGTACGTTAAACAGACCAGCTTACCGCTCGGGGCCGGCTGGGTAGTATCTATTTTGAGATCGGTGTAGAGTTTCGCAGTAGATTTTCATGGTTTCGGTTCTACGTAGTACGGTACTTCAAGGTGTCTATTTTCACAAGATGCTTTGTGTACGACTACACAAAAACTGTGTAACGCCAACTCTGCCGTCCGCGGCTTTAGTGGCCGCTCCCCGCAGCAGAGAGGCCGCACTTTTCGGGGGGCGGCTGGATGTTGGGCGGCCAGCAACCGCAAAGCGATTTAATCAGGCAGCACAAAAACGGTTGGCTTTTGCAGTAGTAGTAAATACCATACCAGTATAAAGACTTTTGTATGCTCACTTGGCCAGACTTGACTTGTATTTCACTACCATTGTTACGTCCAACACTGTTTACAAAGTAAATATTATCAGGCCAACTTAACTGACATTTAATTTACTACCATACGTAAATCAAACATTAGCCTCCGTAGCAGGCTTCTAGAACTGGGGGTGTGGTGGTCTTCGGCTGTTTTTCTGATTAGACCAGTTCTAATTTCCCTTTGAGAGACCGACCCCGCGCATGCAAAAAAAAACGGGGGTAATTCAACCAGGCCAGCTATGTTGTCTCAAGGAGCTTATATGTTGTCCATATGCAATCAGAAAATAGCACATAAAAGCTCCCGAAGACCCCCAGTTTTTGGCATGCTATGGAGGCTAACATTTCGTGCAGTGTAAGCGTCGACCGGCCATAATCGCCCGGGCCTTTAGTACACACTCCATTGAACGTAAATCACCTGGCGGGCCTTGGAGTGTTCTGGTAATCCTTGAGTCCATTGTGCGCAGCGCTGCCTGCATACCTGCTTAGGCAAGTTTTACCCTAGCCTCCTGTGCAGGCCTCCAGGCGGGTGGAAGTTTTGATACTACTGCGTAAATATGGGTGGCTGGTTGCAGGATGGCCGGCCTAAGAACGCGTTAAAAATTCTGCAAAACGCAGTATCAAAACTCCCACCCGCCTGGAGGCCTGCACAGGAGGCTAGTTTTACCGCCGCCCTACTTAATTAGCCGCCATGGCGGATAGAATGCTTAATCAGATACCTGCTCATAACACATGATACATGATCAGTTACCATAAAATGCCGCATTGGAATATCAATAAACTATTTTTTGTTAATTTGTTTTTTATTGCTTCAGTCGGTGTTACACCAGGAAAGATGTTCGCCGTCAGGGAAAGGCCGATGTCCGACCATCATCGTGACGTCATCAGGAAGAAGTACGTCCCGCTGTCACGCGACCTGGACGCCCGTTACGTCACACCGTACCTGTACCAAGAAGGAGTTCTTACAGAAGAGATGCTAGAGGATCTAGACGCCATCCCTGACCAGAGGCGAGGCTACAAGGCCAGGAAACTGCTGGACGTCATCATGACCAGAGGAGACCGGGCATTCGGCGTCTTCAAACAGGCGCTAGTGGATGCAGAGTACCAACATCTGGCCGAACTTCTAGAAGAGGTATCTGCGATTTTTGATCTCCTGTGTTCATTTTGATTGAGAATTTTTGTAGAAAGGACAATGGAAGTACCTGTATGTCTAGTATTTCAGTGTGCATATAATTATATAAAATATCTAGTAATTAGTACATGCATTTGTATGTGCAATGGTCATTGTAATTGGTAGCATTGTCAAGTAATTGAATAACGCTTTCAATGCTTCTTCATCCTTCATCCTTCATACAGAAAAAGCTGTCCGAAACGTCCATCGACAGGGAAAACGCCAACATCAAGCGGTCGTCCTCAGGCGTCAATTCAGACGACGTCCCTCCCGGGCCGCTGAGGCTGTGGAGACTCAGTCTGTACCAGTTTAAAAACTCTCCAACAGCTCAAAACTTCATCAGAGGCTTCAGGTTGATGGAATCCGGTGGGGAGATACTCGTCAACAGTGAGTACAGAGACGTGTCGGGAGTGGGTAAGGTTGTGGAAGGGTTCATTATCCAAGAACGTCTCACTCCTAGCAGCCATAACCACTTCCTCTACAGCGCCGAAGGGCTCTGGTTGAATAGGGAAAGGATGGAACAACTCTTGGGAGACTTCCCAAACTGCAGTTCCTGCCTATTCCTCAAGGCAGCGCTGATGCCGTTCGACGACGGTCGAACCCGCGCGATTAGGAAGGCGTTAGACTTTATTCTCAGGAAGGGGAAAGAGGACCCGCTGTACAAGTATCTTCACCACATCTACTGCGTTCTCGGAGACACAATTTTGAACCTAAACCGTGACAATCCAGTAGCAGCCGTTCCGGTGTTCACAAGTGCACTCATGTACAAGCCCGACTGTTTTCTCGCCATTCACCTTGCAGCAGAGTGTTCCATGGTTCTATCCCCCCAAGACGCCACCCAGCAGTTCCATCGGTACCTGCAGCTGGCCCCTCCGTGCGACAAGCGAGTCCACTGGGCGCACTACTGCCTCGCCATCCTCTATAGCTGGGAGCCAGATGAGTCAGAAAAGGCGGAGGAACACTACAGACTGGCTGTGGAGGCAGAGGCAAACCTTCTCCCGAACTTTGTAACGGGCTGGGCGAAAAGAGAGGCGCAGAGACACCTCAATGTGGGTGCACAGGAGGACGAAACCAAACCCATGCAACCTCTAGATACAAAACCCATGAAAGTCCTTGATGCAGACGAGACAATACCTATGAAATGCTTATAGTGGACGTCGATGGTACCTAAAAGATCAAGTGCCTTTTAAAAATCTTACGTGATAAATTGTGATTTCGTTTTCATTGTCATATAGTTCATCTGTGTGCGCCTGTATTTTGGATATTTTTCAAACGATTTACAGAACGTCCAACATTCCAAGCTCTTGTAAACAGATTTTTTTCAATGCTATCTTCCAAAGTTGGTCTACGATATGGCGAATAGACTAGAGGAACGAACCAATTTCAGATTGTCGCTTCTGGGTTTTGTTCCAGAGATGCTACGCTTATCTGCAACCTGTCTTGCCGCTGGGTTAGTATATTGTGTGTCGAAGAATAGCAAACTTCTTTGACTAGGCTAGATAAACAGTGTAACTAACTTTTTTTTAGTACATTATGTTATTCAACACCACCACTAAAGAGACAGACTCACATGGGGTATAACCTGTCCGTGACATCTTAATATCTTATCAGTTATGTTTGCTGATTCAGTTCTATCAGTTTCCGGATATGTTATTACTGACAACTACTCTAAGGAGCTTAAATGAAGAGACCCTCTCAACTGGTTCGCCCCTTAAAGCAAGTGGTGGGAGTATAACAGGATTTCGACGACAGCTAATGACCATGTCTTTTTTCGTTTGCCTTTATTCCGTACGAGTTTGCCCATGAGTCTACACTGTCTGGTGAGACTTGCCTTTGTCCCGGAGTCCTTGTAAAGATGCCATCAAGAATTCTGAGACTACACGGGGTATGGCCTCCTGTGGCAGCGTGATGAAAGAGAATGTCAAGTACATATGATAGAAGAACAGATTACAACAGCTATTCTTACATTGACTTTGAAAAACAAGCTTGCTAACAATAATATAAGGCCACAGCAAGTAATTTTTATGGATGACATCAGCGCGCGCATTAATTTTCGCCTGATTTTGAGGAAAAAAAACAAGAAATTTTGTTGTCCTTTGACAATGGTCACCATGCCGAAAATGGGCAAAGATGTCTGTTGCCATGCCGGAAGGTGGACGGCACAAAACTTGGAAGAGAGGCTCTGATTTAATCTTTTGTTTCTTTCTTTGATGCAGTGATATGTGATGATGGCTGTGTATATGATGTTCGCATTGAATAAAACCCATTTGTACAATGATGGAGTCTTTTTTTGAGACTTTAAAATGTAGGAACCTTGTTTTTTCCGCCCGTCTTGTTTTTTTTTCGGCCGCTCGCATTAGATTTGGAGTCGGCGGAGGATGTCATCCATAAGATTTACTTGTTGTGGCCTAAAGGGGGTAAAAGGTGATTCGTCTGACTATCATTCCCGCTGGGTCCACAACTGCTGTGTTTGAAGACGTTTCGAACGGCTCTGGCAGCGGCGTCACACTTTGCTATGCAGCCACTACTGCTGGTTGTCCTCGCCTGCGCTGCGCTGGTAATATTTCAATTTCTCTTCTTCATAGAAGTATAACTGGAATATAATTTTCCCTGTAGTCTGTAAACGTGTTAGAAATTATCAGCATTTGATTGTTCTGAATCCTTTTAGTTTTCCGTTGATTTACTCGTTGAATTTGTTGGTAACGTTTGTGTAACATTACAAATCAGTGGTTACCTTTTGTTTTGTTGGCATGATTTTGTGGCCGACGTGATGATTGCGACCGGCCTTCACGCCTTTCAAAGCATCACGCCGGTTTCTCTTGTTGCCTTTATTGTCACAAAATTGTCACATCGTATTGCTACAAACGCATTTCTTTTTCTGCTACCGCATCTCCTGGAAGAGCTAATATTAAATTTTGTTGCATTTTTTTCACGATGTGTCTATCGAAATATAAGAATCTAAGATACGATTTGGTGGGTTAACTGACTATTAGTATATCGTCCTTGTTGTTGTATGTTATTAATTGTCACCATTTCGTACTCTCCAAGCAGAGGTTTGGGGTATTTTTAGCGTGTTTTAGCCTTTTTTATCGGGGTTTGCACTGAATTTTTTTCCTGAATTTTTTTTGGTGGGAAAAAAATTCAGTGCAAAAGAGAAACCCCGATGTAAAAGCTTCAAAACACGCTAAAAATACCCCCAAAACCCAAACCTCTGCTTGGAGAGTAACCATTTCGACCAAAGGCTCTGCCCACAGAGGTGAGAGGCAACTATGGCTGTCACCTGCTGTCCACTGATGAGACCGATTGTGATCATCCTGATCATTCCACCAGCTGTTAGTATCATATTGTGTTCTACCTTAGAAAAATCAAACTCATAACTCTATATCAAATATCCTTCTTGTGGGATTTGATATAATACATGGTCGATGCGCTAAAGTTTCACAATTCAATCTATATCACTGCAACAACACATTATAATATATATTCAGGCATCCAGTGTATTTTTAGGGCTTGGAAACCTGATTTTTCAAAGCCAATGTTCCGATACTGGTCTTATTTATCTACATACTGCTTTAAACCACATTATACCAATGTATATTGAACCTCATGAAGCAAAAATTGGAAAATTCTGAAGGAAAATGGATACTGGAAGGACCATGGGCTGATTTTTAGGGTACCACCCAGAAAATAAATGACTAGTCTTGGGGCTTGTTTCTGTAGTTTTAGATGCCCAAAGAAATGCTGACTCAAATGTGCTAATATGAAGCAGTATGTGTAAATATGACAAAGATTGCCTTATTCAGAATATTCCAGTTTTGCTGCACTGAAATCGCATTGGATGCCTTTTAACCGAACAGATTATGCTTTCTACCACGGGACGGCTCCCTTGTCATCCTCGGGATCTTCTCGCGGGAAGCGCCACGTTCCCCAAGTATTGTACAGAACCAGCCACCGTGTCCTCCTGTACCGAGGCGTGATCTACGAATGGGGCGTGGGCTCGACCGAGCCCTCTGAAAAGGTTAGGGGTTATTAATATTAGTATAGATAGAATACAGTTGGTTTTTAGGATTTGTTTTTGAGATACAGATTTCTTCTATTCCGAAATAAAATTCAAGATATCTTCCATTCAAGCACACCAGCTTCTGTATCTGTATTTGTACATGAATAGCCGGTATAACCACCCTTTGGCGTATGTTCTGGTATCCAGATATTACATATACAGCGGGTCTGGCCGTTTCTAGTGTGCGCGCTAAATAACAACAACATGCCCCGCAACACTAATAGTATCCAACCGGCTGGGGCAAGGTCTTCGGCGTAACACACCAGCTTCGCAGGCACGCGGCACAAAAAATGCAAGTCACATACTCACTCCACAGCTATTTTCTTTTTACTTCTTCCAACATGTAGGTCGCCTGGGAAGGTTGTCGTCCCCTAGGGCACTGCGATGTTACATGGTCAAGGAGAGCCGCAGGGTACAGCTCTTGCACTACCGCAGAAGTTACCGCTTACAGGTAGGCAGAGCTTGAATATGTGTTTTACAACTTTTCACTGACTGTGAAGGGCCTATTGAGCCCCTTACTGTATATATCAAGAGGATTCTGTGCCAGGATGCTCTCTCTCTATGGAAACCATTCACTACAGCCTCCAACATCATGGTAACCAACAGTTCTCAGTCTGACAATAGTCAGCCAATGCAACGAAGTTTAATTCCTCTTCCTCCATCATATATCAAGTACCTTTCTTTCTCACCATAAGAGCTAGAATGATGACATATTACGACATCTGGGTATGCATGAATAGTCAATAAATTAAATATCATTCAGATAAGAAATGCAAGGGAAGAGAATCGAGATTCATGTGTAACTTTTTTTCCTTCTACTTTGGCAGCCGAGCGTATAAGGGACGATACGGTCAGTACACTTGGTATTCCAACAACTGCCACCGCTACGTCAACCGCATGATGCGCTATCTGCGCTCCGACTGCTCACGTTTCCCGCGGTAAACCGTCGATCTACAACTGACAAACTGGTACATGCTGCCAGTCTGCAAGGCTCTTAACAGTTTCGGTGATCCCATCATTTTGCCGGCACATAAGAAGGCGGAACAAAGTGGATGAAAACAACGTGTCTGACTCTCATCACTGACCTAGAAAATGAACAGCTAGAAGCTTTGTATATAAAACGGACAGACGTTGTAGTAGAACGTCCTTGGAATAATTGTACCACGCGCCATCTGCCATGTGGCAGTGACACTTTGACTTTCTTCTGTTACATCTCAAGATGTCTCAAAATGTTGACTAAGTCGACATGGTATCTATAGACACGTTTTAACACTTTAAAATTGGTAAATATCAAGAAGACTGTATGTAGTGATCAGTTATGGCCTTGGATAAAAGTTACGTGTAACGTTATTAGCTAATAGATCTGAGTACATGCACGCTTTTCAACATTTAATCTAACACAAAATGCTATTAAATTTTGTATCTTGTCAAAGTCCTTAGTTTGTGGAGTCAATCATTGTTGCTCTTCCTGTGCTGTAGAAAATTACCTCCTAGGCAGTCCAGCGGACATACCGCGACGTTATTCGAATATCAGGCGTCATTAGCCTCTTAGGGTCAAAGGTTACCAAGCCGTTGGACGGGTGAAGTTTTGGGTCAGTGGTTTGTTTACGAAGGCCAGGTACCTTTGAGTTTGAGCTACGTGTCACCACCAGCGTTTCTACATTCGGCTGCCTTGTTCCAGAAGGAACAGGTATGATTCTTAGGGTAAAGTTAACATGTTTAAAGTTGTGTAGAGTAAAGTTTTGGTGAGTTACTGCCCGCCACAAGTGAAACCCAGCACCTAGATATAGGGACCCCATGTAGCGTAGAAAGCGAGTATAATTGAGTCGAAAAGTATCCCAAACTATCATTCTAAATTTACTTGTGGAAACGTCTTGTGTTACTCACTGAGTGCCATATACCTTTTGCACATTCTACGTCTTGTTTTTCTCACTTATCTATTGTTGTGGCGTAATGTAATTATTGCAGCATAATGTCAATAGCACGAGTTCGCACTGTTTACGTCCATGTAAATTGTAATAGAGTTCATGGACAAGGATGCACTAGTCTAGTAACCTACATAATGCAGGTGGTAGTGTTGTCACTGTCAGCCACACCAGACAATTTTGTTCATCACAAGTCTTCTTTAAGTACCTTACTCCTGCCTTAAATAGCTGCTGACACCATGGGCATCTTTCTCACTGACTCTCAGCATGATAAGCTTGATGCTAGACTGATTGCAGAAACCATTGAACATTCAGATTTACATTTTCTTTACAGTTTTATGACAAAAATCAGCCTCACAGCATGAGGTACATGTACAACAAGCTGAATTGCACTGATTTGTACACTCGTATGTGGCCAACCATCCCCCACCTGATGATGATGTGGAAGAACATTAACTTACATACAAAAAATAAAACTCAAGCAAGTGTTTGAACCAATGCTATACAAGCGTTACATACAAAATACCTACAAACTGTTTTTGTTTATTTTTTCCCTTCAATTGTTCCCCAGCATGGCTAGTTGGACTGTATGGCTGATGACCGCATTGGTTGGCTTGACCACCCTGGTACTGGTCAGCTGGGTACTGGACATCATCAAGCGCTGGCGGATGCCACCTGGACCCTTCTTCTGGCCAATCATTGGCAACCTCTTAAGTAAGTAGCCTCTACCAGGCTTCAAGAGGCAGCTAGAAAGAATACAAATGGCCAAATATATAGCAGATTGACACCGCTGGAGAGTACAAATTGCCAGCAAAACTGTACTCTCCAGCAGACCAACTCCCCTGGCATGTTATCTGTCTATTTGGCCAATTTCTACTCTTTCCATCCAGCCACCTCTCAAAGCCTGGTAGAGGCTATTTTGTAAATCTAAGTACCCACAGTTATTTCTGTATCTGCTGTGAAACCGGGGCATTGAATGGCTAGGGGAGCATATCACACAACACACATCACACATGTCCAGCAAACTTTAATTTTGTTCTAGGATTTCTCACTAAATTTGACCCCTGCATACCACCAACACTTTGTGGCACCGTAAGCTGTTGATACTGTAGCAAAAAAGTTTGTCAAAAATGTACTTTGGACTTTTCCATGATGCTACTTCTTTCTTTCCTAAACCTCCCCCCAGTGTTTGGCGGGCAGTTCTACCTGACGTTTATTGAGTTGGGTAAGAAGTACGGCGATGTGTTCAGTCTGAAGCTGGGCATGAGAGACGTGGTGGTACTGAACAGTCTGGACGTCATCAGGGAGGCCTTCGTGAAGAAAGGGGCAGACTTCGCAGGCAGGACACATACTATGACAGGTACATATACTTATAATTATCTGGCCGGTTGTCTCTCAAAGTACTTGAACATGTGCCTATTTTTTTATTGCCATGCGTAACAGCTAGTGCTGTGTTCCAGTTTAAGGCATTATGAAAATCATTGGGGACAAAGTTCCATGTCTTAAAATCCCACTGACTTTTCTCCATGGTTTATAAGTTTGTTTACAAGTTTTTTTTTTAAATGGTGAAGTGCTCATTGGTACAGAAGTAGTGTACCACCAAGTGATGAGTGTAGGTACTATAGTATACTTATAATAGTCTTTATGAAAATTATCGTCTATGAAATTTACCTTTTCTCCTATTTCAGGAGACCTGGTATCAGAAGGCAGGAAGGACATTGTGATGGGAGACTTCACAGCTACGTGGAAACTGCAGAGGAAACTTTTCCATGGTGCAGTCAGGTAGGATAGTCTCTTTATGCCAATAAGATCCATGTATTGTGCTGGTTCTAAACTTTTGTTTCCTGAGAATGTTCAGAATAGAAGTCAGTGCTATAATATGCTTGGTGCTTTTCAGAGCGTATGCCACAGGGCACACCTTAGAGGAAAAGGTACAGGGAGCCCTGAATGAGGTCATCGCAGAGTTCTCCAGTATGGTGGGGAGACCTGTGGATGTGGAGGATCACATTTTCAAACTTGTTCTCAATGTGGTCTGCTCTGCCAGCTTTGGTCACAGGTATGTCGGTGAAGTTTAAGCATTAGGTTAAGGTTAGGCAGAACAAGTCACTGCATTAAGAGGCTCTTTTTACACAACCAAGTCTTCTATTCAGCTGACATTTTGGTGTCCGTCTGTCACCTTCCTCAGGGCACTTTTCTAACTGGTTCACATCGCGCAGCAGAGATGTGCTCCCAAATTCAAAGTATTCACACTCCTGTATATTTGGGACTGCACTGTAGATACATTTCCCTGTAACCTCTTGGTTGTGTAAAAAGAGTCTCTTTATTCAGACTAGTATGTAATAAAAAATAATTCAATAAACTGGATACAATTTCTGAAGAGCAAGATATTTCATATAGCACCCACTGTCTTTTTTCACTGATGTTTCAGGCAGCATCTAGCCTGGATACCATCCTGCTTAGTTTATGTCCACTCCTAAGTCACTGTTTGGATGGTAGCCACTGCGAACTTAAACTAAACATGGTAGCATCCACTGTCACTGATGAAAGATTATCAATGAGTGGTGCTCTCTGAAATGTCTGACACTTTAGAAATTTATCTGCTTGCTTCCTTTGTATTTTGTATTACATATTGGTCACAGATATATTGTTTGTATCTGTAAGACACTTGGGTTGCTGGTTTTGAGTAATAATGTACATGTATGTAATAGCTGTCATGTAAAGATGCTGCTGTAACTTTACACAGTAATTCAGTTGTTGTTTTTTTCTCTAAAATATGGAAGCTGTAGAATTTTCTGTTTCATACATTACATGTCTTACATGTAACAGGTACAAGATGGAAGACAAGGATTTCCAGTTCCTGTTGAATCTCAGCAAAGAGTTCTTCGAGATCGGAGCACAGGGGATGCTGGCTGATATCTATCCTTCCCTCGGCTTCCTACCAACTCCTAGTAAGTCTTTTTTTCTTCTTTGTTTTCAGCAGTTAGTTTTAGTAAGTACATTAGCTATTCATACCGGAAATCCTACTTAAAGTAATAAGTGTGGTGGGTTCTTTAATATGCAAGAGGTGTGTCTGTTCTAACTATTCATTGAATAGGATAGAGTGGATTCATTCCTAAGCTAACCGACATCTCGCACATGCAGTTGTCCCTTAGTATCTGGAGCCACATAGTTCCTGTTTAGAACTTTTATTCAGCCTGCCACACTGAGTTATGAATCCACTCTACTATATACTGCAGTGAATAGGAGTTACAAAAGACTTGGTTTCATCTCTGAGTACAGCTCTCCTGAATTCCGACTAATTTTGCTCTGTTCCCCTCCAGCCAAGACTGCCATGGCAAAAGGTATGGGTGAGTTCTTCGAGTACTTCAAGCGAGAACTGGACCGACATGTTCAGACATTTGACCCAGGTAACTATGGGATCTTTGACCCTGATAAGGAAACAGCCTGGGTGCCATCCGATTTGTAACCGTTACAGCAATCCCAATTTTTTCAGGGTTTCAATAATTTGATGGCCCCCATGCTACCAGGGAAATTCTCCTAATAGCTTGTTTTTGATAAGTACAATGTACTTAAAGTACAATGTGTTTTTGATAAGTACAACAGTCAGGTATGTTCCATCCAAGGGACTGCAAACCTATCCAGTAATGTGCATATTGCGAGTGACAATAGCTGGGAACTCTAGATCCAGAACTCTAGATCCAGAGGCAGGGCCACTTACCACTGGACTAACGCACACTACAGTACTGTAGGTATACATTTTGCAGACCAAGGTTTATTTTCACTACTAGTATTTCACTACCAGTATTTTGTTCGATGCACATAACTTTTAACATTTTGTCTTACTTGCACATAACATTTTGCCTTACCTGCCTTATGCCCTCCTCTTCTAAGTATAGCAAGTGATAAAGGGCGGACCTAGGCTTTAACCAAGCAACTTTCATCTTGTATATTCATTGAAATAAAAGATGATTTGAAACCTACTCTCTTTATTTCCCAGATCACCTTCGTGACATCACGGATCACTTCATTCAGCTCCAGCGGGAGGCGGAGGATGAGGGAGATGAGGACATCAGGTCTCTCACGGACGTTCACTTCAGACAGACCGTCATCGACATCTTTGGTGGTGAGAGAACTTTATGGATGACATTTCTTAAAGCCCATATTCTGGAGCAAAATTGAGCAAAATTGCCTCTAAAATTCTAGTTTTATTTTATAATAGCAAAATGTTTTACAGCGTATGCTCAGTTTTAATTTTAGTGACATTTACAACATATCCTCACGGTCTATGATAAACTACAGTACCTGAGGATATCTAACCTTCACAGACATATAATGTGTTTTTGTGCTTTTGTTTATTCATGTAATTCTCAAATTTGCAGCTTTTTCATTTTAGGCATTAGGGAAGAGATAAGGGTCATACAAAATATAAAAGATACAGGTTACAAGATCGAAGTCCTAACAAATCCAAAACATATATTTGTACAAAGTCTAGTAATACATTGTAGATGTACACAATATCCTTACACACACGTTTTTTTAAATTCTTTATTAATCACTGCAGCTGCCTTGGACACGACTGTCCAGACCATGCGTTGGTCTGTGCTGCTCCTAGCTGCCCATCCGGAGGTACGAATATGAATACTGTTTATTCACATTGATTGGCAGCCAGTGTTGGCTGAATTGTACAAGTATTACATATTAAAAACTTGAAAGAAATACACTTTAAGAAGTATGGCATTGACAATTAAAATTAAATAGGTTTCAGATTTTCATAGGTCAGTCCATTTAAAAACAGAGGCAAACTACTGAGGCTTATTGCCTGAAAGAGGAAGGGTTTTCTCTTCAGTTCTAAATTTTGGTGTGGAGATGTGGTTTCCGTTTTTCAGGGACCGCTGTGTACTCTGCTGCAGAACCAAGGAATGCAGAGGGTGGTTGACATCCCACATTTGCTTGAAGCAAGGACATTATACAGAAGAGTGTTGTTCTGTTTAGGTACAGCAGAAGCTGTCCGCCGAGCTGGACAGCGTGGTGGAGCAGGACAGACAGCCCATGCTGTCAGACCGGACAGCACTGCCATACATGGATGCCACCATTAACGAGGTTCTGAGGTTTGGGATTGTGGTGCCGATAGCGATCCCTCACGCTACGACTGTGGACACTACACTGAGTAAGTTAAAACTTTTGTTAGAACTCCAAGAAATGTTGTCATCCAGATGAAGCTGATTTTTAAATCTAAATCCCTTCTGACATTTGCTGACATCTACAATTCATCAGAGAATACTTTGGGATTTTTTTCTAAATTGTGTTAAAACACATTTTATCCTTTTGAAAGAAAGCTCACCTGTGTTGGTAGATTATCCTTAGTTCCATAGAGTTTTTTCCAACACAAGACTGTTGGTTCATACTGATGAAGATAGATGAGATTGAGTGAAAATTCATGGTGAGTCTTCTTCTTGTATTGGAACAAAGCCTAAACTTTAGAACTACAATGTATAAACATTTTATATCCATAAACAGCATCTGTTATGGCACTAAACAAGCTGCCTTTGTGTCCCTCAGGAGGTTATGAGATCCCTGAAGGCACTTGGATCATGCCCAACCTGTGGAACGTCGTGCGGGATCCTGAGATCTGGGGAGATCCCGACTCCTTCCGACCAGAACGCTTTCTGGACGACGACGGGAAAGTCTTACCCAAACCGTCTGCACTCCTGCCATTCAGGTAGGCAAGGCATACATTTCAGAAACAAAATTCTTTAGTTCTTTATTCACAACTTTACAAAGCGTCACTCCACCGTCAGGGAAAGGTTAGTGTTAAGTGCTTTCCCAATGGCACAACATCGGGGCAATTGGTCTGAGTATTGAACCCCGGACCTATTGCTTCTGAGTCCAACGCTCCAACGGTTGTGCCACCGATGCCACATAACTGCTTGTTTAACAAGAACCACTGTTTTTTGTCTATTTCATCAGGGCAATTATGACTGGTTCACTGTGCAGTTAGGTGTTACTGTTACAATACAGTGCCAAATGTAATTGTTACCTACATAGATATTAGGTTACAGAATATGACAGATGCCATGGTTATCAAAATGTTGACTCACAGGTGTGATCCTATCAGCCCCTGACAGAGACAGTTTGTATAACTCAGGCTCACAAAGCTCAAGAAGAAGCTCATTGCACCCCACTCTGACTCATTTCTGCAGTGCCGGTCGTCGAGCTTGTCCAGGTGAACCCATGGCCAGAGCTGACATCTTCCTGCTGCTGGGGGGCCTGGTGCAGAAGTTCAAGGGAACTGTAGACATGCTGAAGTTATAAAACGTTAAAATATGAGTTTTCAAACAAACGTGCAGGACAAGCTAAGCTAATTCTACCCTACTCTGACTCATTTCTGCAGCGCCGGTTGCAGAGCATGTCCAGGTCAGAACCCATGGCCAGAGCCGACATCTTCCTCCTGCTGGGGGGCCTGGTGCAGAAGTTCGAGGGAACTGCAGACAATATGAGTTTTCAAACACTTGTGCAGGACAAGCTAAGCTAATTCTACCCCATTCCTCGATTATTTCTGCAGTGCTGGTCGGAGAGCTTGTCCAGGTGAACCGATGGCCAGAGCTGACATCTTCCTCCTGCTGGGGGGCCTGGTGCAGAAGTTCAAGTTCAGCCTGCCTGAGGGGGAGGTTCCACCCGACCTTACACCTGACCCCAAGGGCGCCGGCCTCTTCAGTATTCCCCGTCCTTATAAGGTGATGATGACCCACAGGAAGTGAAAGCGGTGACCCAGGAAGTGAATGGCTGTAACCTGGTGAAGTTCTAGATATTGTATATTCATTTAATTTTCCTGTGGCTTTATTTTGTGGTCACGGTTGAAAGAATTCTGTAGTACAGTAACCATGCATTAAAAATATATATTTGTAGTGTCATGAATTTGCGGTGGCACTTTTGAAACTGCAGAAATAAGGCCACAGCAAAAGTTGAAAGATTTTCATTATTTTACCCTAAAAAGTGCTATCTTGAAGAGTCTGTTATGATTAAATCCCATACTGACAAAAAATTTTTCAATGATGTAAAATTTTCACTTTTGGAACTGTAAACCTAAAGTATATTAAAATGTTAATGACAGATTACCATTGAAGAGTTTAATATCAAGTAAAATAAAACATTTTAATCTAAAGATTTCTATTTCTTAACAAAACAAAAGTTTTAATCTAAAGAAAAATACTAAGGGCTGTGCTAGGACAAGAGTTATATATATGTAGAGATATGTTACTTACATCTATCTATAATCCATCCTTTACACATATACTTGAGGTGGTAGGTTATTCTTTAGAAGTTAGAAAGAATTGATGTAAGGTTATTCCATGAACTTGATAGTTCAGAATAAAGGTTCCCACCAATGCCTTTTTTGAGACGTGTTTGTTGTGTGTGTTTACTTCAGTGGGAAAATGTGTGTTAATCACTATGTATGTCAGAACAACATCCTCCCTCTTTTGGGAGAAGATGGCAATCCAAGTGGGTTGTCATGTACGAGCCTTGGACGGCTGAGCTGAGCTGTCTTATGGCTTAGGAGACCACTACTTCTCTGTCTGGGAAGTTAGTGACTCAAAAACTAGGGCCCTCCGCAGTGCCCTTAAGGCCGGTCTGGCCGCACCAGACTGTGCCGCATGACGCCACGTAACACAACGTCGCATTATGTTATACTCTTAACATCAAGAAAAACCTTCATTTATAAGTTCATTTTACCCCACAATTTCCCTGATCCCTCTAGCCCTCCCCACAATACCGTGTTTAATATTGTTTAATTAATTTTGGTAAGGCCACAGCAAATAAACTTTATGGATGACATCCTCAGCAGACTCCAAATCTAAAGCGAAAAAAAAAGCGGGCTATTAAAACAAACAAGATTCCTACATTTTCAAATTTTTTTCCAATTCAAATTCTTTATTTCCATACCAACATCACAGACATACAATATGGAATTATAATGTTGCCTGAATGGCATTGGTATTGGCATTTTACATTGTAAACCTTGTTAAGCAAGAAATTATACCTGGTATTGTGGTAGCCTGGCCTGGCAGGCACCTAGTTTTTTCCATAAACCCTGTTGTTACTTTTTCCTAATCCTCAGAAAATGTATGTGACTTGATGAAATAAAGATCTTATTGATATACAGGCTTAAATGTACTATATACTGTATATATGTACTAAAATACATCAATCCCTCGCTTGTCCATGGGTATACTGTTGTGTCAAACAAAGCGTCTAGTAGTAAAGTATTGCGGCCACAACTGCAATACTTAATACATGGAACTGATGGTGAGTTCAGCACCAAGGAGAGGTCCACACTGGTAATGTACATTAACAAATAGGGGAGGGGTATCCACAAGTTTGGGGATATAAACACTTGCTGTGGCAGAAGGTATCCTGATCGTTGGGTTTGGCACGGAAAACAAGTCTAAAATTGGTTGACGAGAATAATTACTTTTGATTGGTGGGGGAATGGTGATGGTTAATTATCAAAAGCAATAATGATTAATCTCGTTGGCACCCCTATGCAATTATCACACATGGTACGGTCCATTCGACCAGCTGCAGGCATAGTGTGACCACGCTTTCGTGTGGGGTGCGGTGTGGGACTTCTCTCCAACTTTTGGGGTAAATTTTCGGCTTTTTGTCCGCAAATTATCCGTCTCAAGTGTACAGTATATCGTCTGGGCGTTTCCAGGTCGGATGTGTGGCGTTCTTTGGATGTTTGAGGGAGAAAAATGGTATTTCCTGGCGCTGGCGGGCGGAGTTTGGAGTCTGGAAACGAAAATGGCGACTGCCACATGGCGGCGTGGCGTGGTGCTAAAAAAGACTTCTTGCGAGGTAAGACAACAAATTAGCTCCTTGAATGTACATGTTTGTACTTCCAACAAACCTGTAGCAACAGACCACGTTATAATTCGTTATTTTAAACGTTATATTCCGTAGAAATTTGCGTTTTGTGGAATGATATGTCGCACACATATCGTGGGCCATTTTGTACTTGAATATTTTTAATACGGAGGTTGTTTTCATGACTATCGTGGTTTTGGGGAACTCTGAATATAACAGGCGACACTTTAATTCCGGACAGACACTCTAATTCCGGACTACCTCTCACTTTTCAAGCATAGTTTGTCCTGGACAATTGACATTCCATATTGTGATGTAGAAGATGACAACAACTATGTAGATAACAATGATAGTTCCCTAGGGATCAGGTTATTTCTGCAGATTTCTGCAGAAATCTGCAGAATTCTGCAGAAATCTGCAGAATTCTGCACAGATTTCTGCGCAGAAATCTAAATTCTTAAAAAAGATTTCATACAATACTTTGAAATTGTCCCACAAAACATATAATTTGTCCCTACAGATGTTACTACAATGTACTAGCTTGATTTGGGTAAAAATTGTCGGAAATGCATATTATTGGCTTTTGTTCCTTTTCATGACAACCCAATGCCCCACAATTCGGCATTCAGATACATGTAGCTTTGCACCATACTTTTTGCTTTTTGATTTCGGCCTAGCAACTTCTAGCAGCTAGCCTAGGCCTACATTGTAGCAACTAGCAGCTTCTATGCCACTAAATCATGGCTCGATCACACCCTAAAATCAAGTTTCAACCCTTCACAAATGTCTCTCCTATCCTACTTTGAAGTTCTGCAAATCTGCAAGACTCTCAGACTGGATGTCCTCGGGATTTGGGGGCTGTGTAATGGTTGGAGCAGCTGCTGCACCATCCACTTCCCCAACCTCATCTTTCTTGTTTTTTTTCGTCTGACCATCTCAGCTGATGGCTGTAGGCCAGGACTTTTTGTGGGTCAACACAAAAGGATACTGGTCTTGAACACCAGACTCTGATTATTATCTATTGATTTGTCACTATTTAGTCAAGAGGAAAGAAAGAAGAATAAAGCCTTGTTAGAACTTGGGACATGATTTTAGTAGTTGAATTGCTACATTTACTGTGAGACTGTGTGGCCCTGGACAACTACCCTTGGAAGAACTTATCACCAAGGTAGCTTGGGGTGCTACTGGGTTTACTTAACAATTTTCTATGCCCCGCCTCCACACTTATCCAAACAAATTCACGGCTTTTAATGTAAGTCTTCACAGTAAGGGGCCAGAGAGCCCCTCTTGACCACCAAACTGTAATCACTACCACATGTTTTCATAGCTTATCTATCTAGCCCATAGATAGAGGAGACCTCTATAGTCTCAGGAGAACAACCTTTAGCCTGTGTCACCCAACCTTTTTCCCTGTAGGTAAATTTTCTTGCCAGTTGTTAGGGAACTGGATGTATTTCCATTTGTCCTGCTTGAGATCTGTAAGATAATTTTTGAGTTAAAAAATGCTCCACAAAGTAATGATGAGATATGCACATACAGATTTGAAGATTCCAGGCTAGAACATACATGTAACTAGTACTGATGTTTTGTTTGAGCTATGCAGGAAAGCGTAAAACCAGCATCAGTAAACCACAAGGGGACTTTGACATTCCATTGACTGGTCACCGAAGGGTCAAGAGTATCTATTTTCCTGTCTTGTACCTTCCAAGTGCTTTTCATGATTATAGTATCTTGTTGCAGGGGAATACTTATATTTTTAAGGTCTTTTGCAAGAATTGTTTGCAGTTTAAATATGAGTGTGTCTGTAGTGTACGTACAAGTAAAGTAATCTCAAGAAAGCTAATTCTATACTCATGATACTCATGGTTCTTAAAAATGATATCTGGTCTCAGATGCATGACAACAGTCATTGCAACCTTTAATACTTGACATTGCCATACTTCTGATTTAGGCTAACAAATCCCAACATGGTCCCTCTGACTTTAGTTTATACATAAAAAGAGCCCTTGGATTTAGCACAAGAGAGTGCGTAGTCAGATAATGCTCTGAAGAGGGTCTCTGAATAGCGAATAGTGAGCAGTTTTGCACAGGATCCACATACATGTATATGAGCATGTACGAGGCCCTTATGTTTTCCTTGACTAGCCAGGTCAAGTACATGTAGAGTAGCCAAGTAGATCTAGAGAGGGTAGGGGAGGGGGGACATATTTCTTGTTGGAGGGGGTGATGATCTGAAGGTAAATTGTGGATAATTCTCTAGTCACTAATTCACTAGTAGTATCTAGTCTTTGTAAGTTTGTTCACTTGAGACACAAAAGCTACGTTGTAATTAGGGTTAGCCAGACATTTCCCCACCAGATCATACTAAATACCAAAAGAATAAAGTAGCACTTGAAGACAAGAAAATGGTCTTTTCCTCTGGAAATTATGAAATAAAAACAAGAAAGAGGAGTGAATAATTGTCTTGTCAAGTAACGTTCAGACATGATCGGAAGCAAGTTAAAACTGTGTACAATAGAAAATCTGCTGTTATAACAAGGGCATATACATCAGGGCTTGAAATTCATTTTTGGGAAAAGACACTGGTGCACCCAACCTAAAAAATTGGGTGAACAAAAATATGTCTGCAAAAACTATAATTATGTTTCATTTCAAGAAAAGTACTGTAACGATGATTGAATTATTTATGTTGTAACTACATGTACTATGTACATTAACACCCACATAAAAAAAATTGGGTGCACAGCTCCAAGGTGCACATACACCCGAGCCCTGTACATTGAATAGGCGAGACACTGAAGCAAGACCTACATGTACAGTGTAGCAGTGATCCATTCTGGTATACCAGATGACCCAGCCAGGCCTGTTTTTTTAAGAGTAGAGAGTTTTCTCCCCTGGGACCCACACTGATTGAAAGAAAACATTCACCTTGCTCTGCAGACAAGGATTTGAAATACAACACTGAAATCCTTTCCTCTACATTTTCAATGATTTTGCTCTCCTAATGTTCAAAGTTGTTAGGGGGAGTCCTGATGTGGACTTTGCTGGGGTTTATATCTTTGGCTACATGTACAAAGCCATGTAGGTGGTCAGACAAAAACCTGTTATAATGAGAGCATGATGGAAAG